GGGGGGGGGAGGGGGAAGAGGAAAAGAAGAGGGAGAGGAAAAGAAGGTGAGGCCGAGCAAGAGCTCTAATGACGGGCATAGACATGAACTAGTGACGAGTGGTTCCATCCAGAGCTGTTGCCAGTGGGGCCGAGGACAGAAACGAGCACCAGAAAAGCAAAGCAATGACGAGCAAAAGATAAACAACCGGGTCCCCGGTCGGATGGGACCTCTTTTTGATAACGGCGGTGACAGATCTATCTAGATACATTGTAGTAGTTTAGACGACCGAGTTAGATCGCAATGAACAATGTAGTTCAAGAATGAGTAATATCATCACCTAAAAGCTAAATGAACAAGAACAACTACTAACTTACTTACTACTTAGTTCAACTAAAGAGGTGGTTGGTGAAATTGGAGCTCCCCTGCCCATTTCTGCGCGTTATCATTTGCCCGACTCCAAAGTGGACGGTGCTGGCGCGGGTTCTCACTTAACCACTGACCACTACTAACTACCAGACACTTACACAATCTCTCTCACTCTCACTCTCCATCTCCCATCCCAGAATCCACTCTGGTGATGAACCTCCATCCCCTGGGTCTCTCATTCTCCGCCATTTCCTCCCCTTCCCTTGTCATCTCTCTCTCTCTCTCTCCCCCCTCCATTGACTCTTCCCATTGTATGTTTCCAAAAGGGAAAGAAACGTGCTAAGGGTCCCTGGAGCAAACGGAAGCTACTAACCCAACCTGACCCAACCTGACCTAACCTGACCTAACCTTGACCAACCAACCTCACTTCGTCTCATCTCCCCTTCCTCCTCTACGACTGTCGACTACGAACCTACAACCACTTCTCGTACTATCTATCCATCCATCCCTCCTACTTCCCTCTTCCCTCTTTAGACTATCACGCGCCGGGCTCTTGTGTTCCCGCAGCTCCCTCTGGCAGAGCCTCTCTTCCCGTCCCCTTCTTCGTCGCCCATTCGGTCCTTCCCTCGATCTCTGCCTGCACTTCCCCCGACCGCCTCCCATTCCCACGTCGGTTCCGCCTCCGTTGCAAGTCTTTGTTGGATGGAATAAGGGAAAGCGACAAGCTTGCTGCCCATTAAGGAACCCGACCTGATCCTCTCCCCTCCCAATCCATTCGGCGTATCTTCCGCCTACTCTTTGCTTTCTCTATTCAACGCTGGCGGGGCCGTCTGTTGGTCCTGCGGGCTCCCCATTCCGAAGGCATGAGCGGAATTACGAATGCCTGTCTGTCCTGCTTCTCGACAGTCGATCGATGGTGCCATATCTCAGCTTGTCTCGGCCCGATCGGGGGCCGCTCAAGGGATGGGATTTATGAGACCACTTTGGCAGACAACGAGCGTGAAGCGGTTTCCGATCTTCTGGGTTACCTTGAAAACGTACGTTCATTGCTGTCGCACCGTCCACGCCTGCTTCTACTCCAGCTGGCTGTCGCTTTTGCTCACAAGTATTCCTTGATAGAGGACCGAGACCGACTTCTTCGCCGGTGAACCCCTTCGGGCCTTGAGCACCCTCGTCTATTCCGACAATGTCGATCTCCAACGGAGCGCCAGTCTGACATTCGCTGAAATCACGGAGAGAGGTACGGGCTGATACGCACAGACCTATCGTTTCGGTGGTGGCTAACATCCGGGGTATCTGTAGATGTGCGCGAGGTCGATCGAGACACGCTGGAACCCATCCTCTTCTTGTTGCAGAGTTCGGATATCGAAGTGCAACGTGCTGCCAGTGCAGCACTAGGCAACTTGGCTGTAAATGGTGGGTTTCGCTTCCATTTGCTATTGCGCCAGCACGATTACTGACCGGTCGCAGCGGACAATAAGGTGTTGATCGTCGCTCTGGGAGGACTGGCTCCTCTAATACGGCAAATGATGTCACCGAATGTGGAAGTGCAATGCAATGCAGTCGGTTGCATTACAAACCTGGCTACCCATGAGGATAACAAGGCTAAGATCGCTCGATCCGGTGCCTTGGGCCCGTTAATCCGTCTAGCGAAGTCGAAGGACATGCGTGTGCAACGAAATGCCACGGGAGCGTTGTTGAATATGACACACTCGGGTAGGTTGCGAGTATCCCAAGACGATGTGGCTTTGCTAACAACGCGATCCGTAGATGATAACCGACAACAACTTGTCAACGCCGGCGCTATCCCCGTTCTTGTTCAATTGCTCTCCTCCCCCGATGTGGATGTACAATACTACTGCACTACCGCCCTCAGCAACATCGCTGTCGACTCGTCGAATCGCAAGCGCCTTGCCCAAACCGAATCCAGGCTGGTTCAGTCGCTGGTGCACCTGATGGATTCGTCAACACCCAAGGTCCAATGCCAAGCGGCGTTGGCACTGCGCAACCTTGCCTCGGACGAGAAATACCAGCTCGAAATTGTTCGAGCTAAGGGTCTTCCACCGCTCTTGCGACTGCTGCAGTCGTCCTACCTTCCTCTTATCCTATCCGCCGTCGCCTGTATCCGCAACATTTCCATCCATCCCTTGAACGAATCGCCGATCATCGATGCGGGCTTCCTCAAGCCCCTGGTAGACCTGCTGGGATCGACCGATAATGAGGAAATTCAGTGTCACGCCATCTCGACCCTCCGGAATCTTGCCGCAAGCTCGGATCGGAACAAGGAGCTGGTCCTGCAGGCCGGCGCTGTCCAGAAGTGCAAGGACCTCGTTCTCCGTGTGCCCCTCAGCGTTCAGTCGGAAATGACTGCTGCAATCGCGGTCCTGGCCCTGAGTGACGAGTTGAAACCGCATCTCCTCAACCTTGGGGTCTTTGATGTCCTGATTCCCTTGACGGAATCAGAAAGTATCGAAGTGCAAGGGAACAGCGCTGCGGCGCTGGGAAATCTCTCCTCTAAAGGTATGACCCTCACCATGTGCAAACGTATTATCGTGCCCTCCACATACTAACAGGTGTGAACTCAGTGGGTGACTACTCCATTTTTGTGCGTGATTGGGCAGATCCGAACGGAGGCATTCACGGCTATCTCAATCGTTTCCTCGCCAGTGGCGATCCGACATTCCAGCATATTGCCATCTGGACTCTGCTTCAGCTTCTGGAATCGGAGGATCAAAGACTCATCGGATATATCGCCAAGTCCGACGATATCGTTCAGATGGTCAAGTCCATCTCCGACAAGAATATTGAATCGGACGAGGAGGACGCTGAGGACGGGGAAGGCGAGGTCATTGCGCTGGCTCGGCGATGCCTCGAATTCCTTGGAAATGGTCACAAGCTTGTAGAAGCCTAAGCGACTTCCCCCCTTGACCTTGAACCTTCACCTCACCCTAACAACTTTTGTATGGCTTTGGACCAACCCCTTTCACTTCCCTATCTATCTTCGACCGACTTCTTTTCCTCTTCTCTATTGTGTGTTCCCACTGCCGTTCTTATCTATAAGTTGAGCCGCCTTGTGTTCCAATGTGTTGATCCATTGATATCTAGCTGTCCAAGGTGTTAAGCGGGCATGTACTTCGGTGTCTCTTTTGATTCGTGCCAGTGAGCATTCGGTGTGCTTGAGATCGTTGTCCGTTTGTTGTCTATAGTCACCTCTCCGAGGGGGAGATGACGCTGTGCCGACTTCTAATTATGTCTGCGCATAATACTGTATTCACCGTTAGAGGATTTCGAGTCTATACTTGCAATACATTGATACCATGATCAGAACTGCTATCGTTGTAGCATACTTTGTCTAGATGACCTGTCTCGTAGTAGGAACAAGAGAATGTATACCAAGGCCTCTTGATTGGCCCGTGCTAGCTGTCCGGAAGGACTGTTGTTCCGGCCGAGACCGGGTCCCGCCGAAAAAGAAAAGCTTTGCCAGCATCTCGTGTCAACAACTCAAGCTCGACTTTCTCCGAGCCTCTTCTTTCAATTCCTTCTCTTATTCTCCTTTAATTTCCAGTCTGTAAGACGCAGCGCTGGAATGGCCACTGCACTACCCACTTTGGCCATCCCAGGCCAGCGCCTAGGCTCAATTGCCTCGTATGCCGCCGGTCCTGGTACACATGTGCAGAACGCAACCATCTATGCCTCGATCGCAGGCCCCGTGGTCGTCGATCAAGCGCAACCCAGCTCCAAAGCAAAGCTCATCTTGAGCGTCTCCCGAACAGGCCCCAAGAAGGCTGCTGCACCGGCACCCAGCACCAAGGCGTCCGCCAACCCCGCCAACACTGGAAAGCCGAAGCTGAGATACAACACCCTCCCTGCCGTCGACTCGGTCGTGTTGGCGCGCGTAACTCGCGTTCAGAAGCGACAAGCCACCGTATCTATTCTAGTCGTGCTCGACGAATCCGCTAGCTCCCAGCCGCTCAACCCCTCACAGACTGCGTCGGACAATGACAACATCGAAGCTATCCTTTCGTCCGCGGCTAATCCGGAGAACCACAGCAACTCGGATGAACTTCGCTTCCAGGCTCTGATCCGCAAGGAGGACGTGCGTGCTGTTGAGAAAGACCGCGTTGTCATGGATGAGATGTTCCGTGTTGGGGATATCGTTCGCGGAACGGTTATCTCCCTTGGTGATCAAAGCTTCTACTATCTTACCACGGCTAGGAATGATCTGGGTGTCGTTATGGCCCGCAGTGAGTCGGGTAATATGATGTTCCCGGTTAGCTGGAAGGAAATGAGAGATCCTGTTACTGGGGTTGCGGAGTTGAGGAAGGTAGCTAGGCCGTTTTGATCGGTCACCTTTCTGGGGGGAGAGGATATTGATGATACCAGCAATTATGGATGACGCGTTGGTCTGACCTAGCTTTGACGGCTGGCTATGGCGCTCATCATTAACACCACAGTCTTATCGGCCACGGCACTCACTTCGAGGGGTGACCGGATTGGGCTGATTGACTGATCCCGCAGGAGTCGGGCCCTTGCAGCAGCACCTGAAGTCGGTGCGCTCGCATATGATCAGGCCAGCTCCTGCTTACAGCTTGCTCTGAAGACAGTCGCGGAAGCGCGCGAACACATACATATGACTGCCGACGCGCAAGCATATTACCACATTCGACATGACTGTACATATCTTAACAGTTGATGTACTCACATCATTGGCTAGTTACAATGACTGCCAACCCGCATCGCGGACACCCTATCCTAACTTTGATCCTTGTGCAGGATACAAATAAAACCAACATTCACACATTTTGCTTTTCCGTTCGTTATCATATCACTTTGTTTATTGTTTCCTCCTTAGTATACATGGCTTTGGCTTTTCCAATGCTAAGCTGTGTTTGTCATGTGAGGTAGATGGATGGTTACCGCGCAAGGTCTTTACTCACTTTGCGACCCCTGTTTAGAGCTTCCTGATTCTATTTCCATGTGGATTGGGAAGTATTACATACAACGGGCACATATACCTTTCTCGTAGCCAATTCAATCATATAAACATGATATTCATCCTAACTTTTCCGTCTTTCACAAAAACCAACAATAACTTAATAGTACTATCTATACCCCCTCTCCCCCACCACCCACATAAATAAAGAAAGAGCCTACTTCTTCAACGTCTTCTGCTTCTCCGCATCAATCAACTTCCTTCCCTGCACAACCAATCCCTTCCTTCGTCTCACATTATCCATATACCTCTTCGCGACATTCTCCCTATCCGCCAACTCACCCAGATCCTCCAATTCCTCCTCCGTCGCCGGCACCCAGAACGGATCCTCATCTAGCGCCTCAAAGCCCGCAAAGATCAGTTGAGGTTGCGCCGCGCCCGAAGTCCGCTTGCGGATTTCTTCCGCGAATCCGAATGATTCTGCCACCGGGAGGAGAGCCAAGATAGTGAAGAAGGGTGTGCCTTCTTTCATTACCTCCGAGAGGATGCGGCCTCGGCGCCGGGTTATCACGCCGTAGACGCGGCCGAGGACTTCGGCTGTTTATTTTGTTAGTATTGATTGGGGTGAGGTTTTGAGGGTTAGGGTAAGAGGGAGGGATGACGCACTCGATGCTTGAATCTCACAACTGTACATGGCCAGCATGATTCGAGGACTCCAGTCCAGGAATCCCTGCGTGATGCTGTCGCGGACGAGACGGATGGCTTCGCCGGTTAAGCGGCCTAGGTCGAGGTCTTCGTCCGTCGTGGTGTTGATGGAGACGGATTCAAGGAATACGGCGATGCCTTGCATGGGCTCTTGGCAGAGAGGTCCTTGGCCGGTTGCGAGTTGGAAGGCGTGCGCAATCTTGTCGCTTAGGTCGCGGACCATGAGGGCTTCGCGGGTGCTGGTGTCGGAGTTGATTTGGGGTTGTTGTTGGTGGGGTTCAAGGAGGCTGTGTATGTGTATATTAGTTGGGGAAGGTTGTGATACGAGGAAAGGAGGGATGGGGGGAAGGCATACAATTTCTCGCAGGTGTTGACCTCTGTTGAATCGACGAGGATGTTGGGTCCAACGCGTCGTGGTCCAAAGGCTGTGATCCGCTCGACTACGTCCTTCCAAAGTCCCTTGTCATCGGTTGCTTCGTCTTCGAATAGCTTGGCGAGCTCTTGCTTAAAGTCCTTCAGGGAGAGGGAGGTTGCTTCGCGGGCCTCGCCAGTGGCGTCGCTGGCTTCCATTTGCTGGGAGCTTTCGACCGTGGTTGTTCCGTTGCTTGGTTGTTCTTCCTCGTTGGATTGGGTCTCTGCTGCTCTGCGCTTCTCGGTTTGCAGACGCTTGATGGTTCCCACGTGCTTGGAGATGAAGTCTGTGACGGCTGCAGGGAGCGGCACCACGCGGAGACGCATGGTCAGTTGCTTGGATGAGGAAGTGGTCTGCACACCACCTCGTCCCAGCTCGGGGTTCTTGGGAGGTGCCATTTCGGAAGCGCTGATGATGGTTTCCCGGTAGGGTACGATGGTCTGACCGGTTGAGATCTCGCACTTAGCGAAACGTTCGCGGAGATCCTTGATACAACGCTCGAGGTGCAGTTCACCGGCAGTTAGGATGACGTGCTCGCCGCTGGGGAGAACCTCGTATTGTGCGCAAGGATCGCTTTGCTCAAGAAGACGCAGACCAGTTACCATCTTGCTCAGGTCTGCTGGGTTCACGGGCTCTAGGGCGACTCGCACGATGGGTGGTGTGTTGAGGGAGACACCAGCCAAGTTGATGCTGCCCTCGAGCTGCGAAGACAGAGTACCTGTCTTGAGAACGTGGCCTGCAAGACCGCCGATGCCGAAGACAACACCTGCCGGTACAGACTGGAGAGGTTCGAGACTGCGGCCCATAAGAAGGTAGAGATCGGTGACGGTAACCTTCTGGGGTACCGGGCTGGCGTGCGGGTTCTCTGGCGAGAACTTGGGCGCCAGGACGTATATAGAGTCTCCCACAGAGAGGGTTCCGGAGTATAAACGGGCGAATCCAACAAGATGTTCAGGATCTTCCTTCTCCTCGCTCTCGGCCGGTTTGTCATCCGATATGGTAGTCCGTTCGAAGGCGGATGTTATGCGAGAGAAGTCATCCGCCTGGTCGCCGTTGGCTTCTGCCTGCATTTTGGCAATCTCCTCTCGCTTCTTGCGAGCAATCTCCCGGGCTTCGTCGGCCGACATAGTGCCACCGGCTCTCTTCTTGCTCGATCCAAGCTCGCTCTCTGGGATGGACATCATTTTACTGACGTAGGCGATGACAGGCTCATCTTTCTGCGTCTTAAAGTTAACCATAGCATCCTTCACTCTGGGATCCACGTATTGGGAGCCAGGAGAGTCTTCAATCATTGCTGGCAACCGAGCTGCTTGAGCAGCTGGCGGGCTGGGAAGATATTCAATGACAGACACCAGCACTGCAGTAGACAAAGGCAGCCACATCGAGAATAGGGTCGTCATGATATTGCGGGGGTCGCGAGACCGCAGGATGTATGCAGGAATGTTAATGTTCAGGGACTTGGTGATCTTTTCCAACAAAGTCGGGTCGCTTTCCAAGATTAGCAGGTGTACTTTAGGTATATACCGGTTCAACATACCCCTTTCCTGTGCCCGTGCCTGTTGTAGCCTCATATGCCGCCCAGATACTGTCCAATACAAGCTGAACAAACATGGGCTTCAAAGCACGACCCTTCAAGTGCTTCGAACCCAGGACTCGCTTCGTTTTGGGATCGAGATAGTAATCTCCCCAGAGCACCTTTTCAAGGACAGTGCGCTTGATTCCGAGCTTTCTTTCATAGATCGCGGCAAACTGACGGATCGTAAAAGCCCAGCCATCGACAGCACTGCAGAAGATGACGTTGTTCTTCTCTGGCGCAAAATAGAGGTCTTCATCGTCTCTTTCCTCATACTCTGCCGTAGGCTCGTCATCTTGCTCCTGCTTCTTGGAGCGAGCAGCAGATTCAATAGCACGCTCCTCCATGCGCTCTCGCCATTGAAGGTCCTCTTCCATGCGTTCACCCTGATAGAAACTACCAATGACAGCGTTGACTTGCTCCAGCAGCTTGCTCATATGGGAGTAAGCTTCGCTGGGACTCATCTTCAGCTCCGTAATCAGTCGATCGATCTTATTGATAACTAGGATGGGCTTCAATTGCTCCACCCATGTTTGACGCAGCACTGTGACTGTCTGACTGCAGACGCCCTCTACGGCATCCACAAGCACCACGGCACCATCGCAAAGACGGGATGCGGTCGACACTTCACTGCTGAAATCGATATGGCCCGGCGAGTCGATCAGATTGATCAGGTACTCTTTCGCCACGGGCGCAGCGTCGGGAGCAGGGCGACGCATCATGGAGAAGAAGAGCGAAATGGCAGAAGATTCCATCGTAATTCCTCGGAGCTGCTCGTCTGGACGGGAGTCCAGGTAGCGGATCTTGCCCGCCAGCTTTGGTGAGATAATGCCATTGGTGGCGATCAGACTATCGGTCAAAGACGTTTTACCGTGATCCTAAATGAATGTGAGTAAGGAAAATTTCACAGAGGCATATAGTCTGATAGACTTAGACAAGCATAAGGTACATACGACGTGGGCGAGAATGCAGATCTGGGATGGCTGTTAGTGATGGCGGACAGAGCAAAGATGATGGAAGTGGGATGGAGGGGTAACTTGCATTCCGGATGTCATCGGGCCTCCGTTGCAGACGGACGAGATCATCCACGTTAACTACAGGCATTTTGGGATATTGCTGGTGCTGCCAAACAGCTCCCAGAGTCCAAGATAAATGCCAGGCCGGAAAGTTGCTCTTTCGTTGGGTTTCCGTGCCGCGAACTGCGGAATCTGGAAGAAAAAACTCGTCGCGGGAAATGTCAAGCTTGAAGAACTTGCCTATTCCTCGGATCCGGAGAGTGAAGCTCACGCCAGATCAAGACAATAGGAGATGTGGTAAATGTGAAGATTCTTTTACATGGTCTCCAAAGGTTCATGTCCTTGATTATTAATTGCTGCCATTTAACTAACTATGACTACAACGGACCCGAGTGCTATACTCTCTCTGTTGAATCATCGTCATCATTCTCTGGTATCATCCTAACTAAGTATGTATCTACCAAAATTGAGAGAAAGAAGAGGCTGAAGAAGCGATCCAAGAACTATTCTCTGGCCATGATAGGGTATCATTATTGTAGTATAAAGTGACTCAAATACTGTCATTATGAGTCATCATCGTCAAAGGATAGCTTGATCTTCTTCTTCTGTTTTGGTTTCCGAGTGCCTGATTCTTTCTTCTCTACCTTCTCTGTCTCTTCACTGGGATTGTCCTCTCCCACTACTTTGGCCTGTTTCCTTTTCCGTGGCCCTCCTATTTCGGCCACGTTCTGTTTGGAGACAGGTGCCTCGGCCTGGGTATTCGCTTTACCTTCTTCACCCGTCGCAGGCTCTTTTGTGTCCTTATGGGAATCCTCGGTATCCTTGTTATCTTCGCCACGAACTAAAGCTTCGTATTCCTCTTTGGAGATGATCTCGTTGCTCTCTTCATCAACGTAGGTAGGGGCATCGTCGTCATTGTCATCCCTCGGTTTCCGTGGCCGCGCAATGGGTCTTTCGAGGCGTCCAGAGGTATCGCCGTATTGATTCTTCAGTCTCTGTAAGAAAGCAGGCTGCTTCGCCTCTGAAAGATGGTTAGTTACTTCGATGTCAACGGGGAGTGAAGATGAAGCAACGTACCATATGCGAGATCCTTTGATTTGAATGACATGGCTTGGCCAGCCGCAGACTCACTGTCAGCCTATCTCTATTTTATAACAGTCAAGAAAATAGTAGGACTGATGTTACAGCAGCTCAATAGCGAGCGAATGTGGGCAGTATGACGTGACGCTCCCTAGTAAGTAAAACACCATGCACAATGTACTCGTATATAGATATTCCTCATCGACTGTAGCACGGTGACGCAATATGAGTGCCTCGCTCGGAAGCTACAGGCACATATATAGAATAAATATGAGCATAGGATAGAAGCGACTTGGTATACTTTGTAGCAAGAAGTTGGCTGGCCCGCCAAGGAATCAGTGGGCTGCGGTGCGCTAATCCGCATCGGGCGAGGTCGAAAAGTCCAGAGGAGCCGCAAGCTTCGCGTCGAACCAACTTCGTCCTCCATCAACCAACATACATCAGATACCATGCTCTGCGCAAGTAAGTCGTGCAATCAATCGCTCTTGCCAGTCCGATTACTGATAACTGACGTGCAACAGTTTCGGGAGAAGCACCGCAAGTGCCCGTCGTCTCGCCCAAGAGCGGTATGTCTCAACCTCGAAAGCCTCAATGCGACGTAATGCGGCTAATGCTCGACTAGGCAGCGTCTTTGAGAAGCGACTGATCGAAGCCTACATCGCGGAGAATGGAAAGGACCCCGTGAATGGAGAAGAGCTCTCCACAGACGACCTCATTGATGTCAAATCCCAGCGCGTCGTCCGCCCCAGACCTCCCACCCTCACATCCATTCCTTCGTTGCTCAGTGTTTTCCAAGAAGAATGGGATGCCCTGGCTCTCGAGACCTACACATTGCGACAGACCTTGGCGCAGACCCGCCAGGAATTGAGCTCCGCGCTCTACCAGCACGATGCCGCCGTTCGCGTGATTGCTCGTTTGACAAAGGAGAGAGACGAGGCCCGTGATGCCCTATCCAAGGTCACCGTCGGTGCCAGGAGTGCTGCTGCCTCCGGTGGTGAAGCTATGCAGGTTGATTCGACCGGTCTGCCCGAGGCCGTTCTGGCACGTGTTGAGAGCACACAGGCATCGTAAGTTGCTATGTATAGGATTCCACTGTGTTTGGCATATCTAACAACATACAGGCTGTCTAAGACACGTCGTAAGCGCCCGGTTCCGGAAGGCTGGGCTACGGGTGATGCCATCTCCACATTCAAGCCTACGGAGAGCTCCAACCCTCTTTACCCCGGCAGCAAGGCATTCGCCGTCAACTCGTCGGGAGAGCTGGCACTCATCGGCGGTGCGGACGGTGCCGTTGGCATCTATTCCATTCCCCAGAAGCAGGTTGTTCAGAATCTGCAGGCAAACGGACCAGTTACCGATGCCGCTTGGGCAGGCGAGAAGGCTATTGTGGCATCGTCTACGGGCTCCGTGAAGGTCTTCGAGCACGGCAACGAGGTCGCCAACTTCAACTCCCATGCTGGAGCCGCAACGGCGCTTGCCGTGCATGCTACCGGTGACATTGTTGCCTCGGTTGGCGCTGATAAGAGCTATGTTCTGTATGACCTTACGACGAACTCGGTAATCACTCAGATTTTCAGTGACGCATGTGAGTAGCCCGATGATGGATTATATATCCGGATATGACTGACTTTTCCTTCCTCTATAGCTCTTCTCTCGGTCAAGATTCACCCTGATGGTCATTTGGTTGCTGCTGGTGGCGTGGACGGGCAAATCAAGATCTTCGATATTAAGACTGGCGCGTCCGCTGCCACATTCACCATGTCTGGGCCTGTGAAGTCTCTTTTCTTCTCCGAGAACGGTGTTTTCCTGGCCGCGGTTACCGAGAACTCGACCACTGTGTCCATTTGGGATCTCCGTAGCGCACAGGAGAGCAAGGTTCTGGAGACGGGCAGTCAGGTTGACTCGATTAACTGGGATTACACTGGACAGTTCCTTCTGACCGCAGGACCTAGTGGCTTGACCGTGCATCAATACACCAAGGCATCCAAGTCGTGGTCCGAGCCCTTGCGGAGTGCGGTGCCCGCGGTTGCGGCGGCTTGGGGCTCTGCCGCCCAGGCTATCGTGGCGTTGAATAGCGAGGGAGGCGTGACGGAGCTGACGGCACAGTAATAATGATACCTACTTATGGATACGGAGTGGAAATTCCATTTGTTGTTCTGTATTTCTAGCTGCCGGTGCTACTGTTTGGTTTTTGTTGTTGTTCTTTTTTGTCATCGGCGTCTTGTTTTTTCTCTCTCAGACCAAACCCAAAGAATAAAGGAAGGAGAAGCCACCTGGCAACAATAACGAACCCGGATTATAATGGGATTATCATGAGCATAGAACAACCAGGATCTGAGTTGTCACCAGACCTACAAGTGCTGTGACAATTGGTAATTATTGGTGACAAGTCATTCACGCACTGATCGGGGTGCCGGACGAGTCGGCGGGAACCTCATACTAAAAATATGAGACTAGAATATATTTGTCTCCCCTCCGCAACTGAACCACTCCGTCTGGCTCTGAATTTCCACGGATTAGCCTGGAACTACTACGACGAGTGCCAGAACTCTCACTAGTACCAATAGTACTACTGACCAGAGGGCCCATCCATTCACTGAAGGGTGGCATGCTGGACAAACTCACGGAGTTCAGTGAGGCAAAAGCAAGTGAACCGGAGACATGCCACTCCTGACCGCAGGGCACTCGGACCCAGACCACTTCGTTAACACGACTAAGCATGGCGTTCCACCAACCGCAAGTGAGGCCTAACACCGGCTGTTAATCACTCACTACTACCTCGCCTTCTTCTTGCCATCAAAACGCCCTCTCCTCGTCCCCCTTCCCTCGGCCACCTTCTCTTCCCCTCCAACACCGTCGTCTTCCCTTGCGGATTGGTTCCGGCCATGAGTGACGATTCGGGTGTCTTGTTTGTGGGCTCTCGCCCCCGAAAGGTTCGTATCAGATCTCCCCGTCCTCCCTCGAATCTCCTCATGGAGGCGGGGTATCTCCCGTTCTAGCTCAAGGGATTGAAGGTTCGACTAACCCCGGCCTCCAACTTTTAGAGAACTCATCGCGAAATATCCGAAGTCTCCGAAGTTTCTTCAGGACGTCCATCCGGAGAACCATCCTCATCATCCCTTTCCGCAACACCGGGGCCTTCGTTGCCACCGCTTCGGCGGTACCCCGGGGACGGCCTCGACCTCCGCCGACCGGCCACATCCCAGCCGTCTGAAGATGTGATAGACCTGACCGATGAGCCCGATACACCATATCAAAATTCCTCTTTGCAAGAGTCCCGTACAACGACTGAAGCATCTCGGCCGCGGCCTCCCCGATTTCCCCGGGACATCCTTACCGAAGTGGTTGATTTAGAGGAAGAGGTCGACGATAATGACCAGCAACAACCCCCAAGCAGCCCCGAAGTCGAGTTCATCGGAGCCACCGTGAGGCGGCCACAGTTGCCGCCGCCGCCACAACCACCACCTCCGCCTCCGCCGCGCAACAATGAAGGTTTCTATATGCCCAGCTTGTGGCAGCAGATGCTACAGTTCCGATCCCCGAGACCACCTGGACGGTTTGGAGACCATGGCCGGCCAGACTTATCGTTTCGTGGATTTCGGAGACATCCTCCTATGAGTGATGTGGAGTCATTATGGATCGGAGATGGCCCGGCGGGCGCCATAGATCTAACGATCAACCTGGATGTGGATGGCCCGTTAGGACTAGACTATCAACTCACGGGCCTGACACGACAAAGGACGCCTGCAAACGCCTATAAACCTCCAAGTCCGCCACCGGAGGGGTTTACCCGAAACGTCGCAGAGGACGATGTGGTTGTTTGCCCGAATTGTGATATGGAGCTGGGCACCGGTGACGAAACCAAACAGCAGATATGGGTGGTCAAGCAATGCGGACATGTACGTGATACCCCCGAGTTACGACTTGCTCAACCATCTTCTAACCTTGACCGTAGGTGTATTGTGGCGACTGTGCCTCCAACCGATCGCTGTCGAAGGCGAAAAAGAACGCTTCGAAAGCCAAGCCTTTCTCTAAATGCCAGGTATTCGGTTGCGGAAAGCCCGTGAGCTCGCCCAAGTCAATGTTTCAAATATATCTATAATGATGCTGCATATCATCTCTGGCGTTTGCATTGTTATAGCATGTGATGATGGTGGCGCAAGGGCGGGGCTTCCTTTCTGAACTTTTTACCTTGGGATTTTACGACGAGCAACTTTTTTGATACCCTCATTGCATTTGTTTCGGTTGGGTGGGATTATGTTTGTGTTTACCTCGATGGCATAGAGAGCGTTTTGGTTATAGGGCGGTGGTCCGGTCAGGGCCAACCATGTGAATAATGACACCTTGCTTTGCTGATATTTACTTTCCTGCATACGGGGAGGGGGCGTCCCATTTCATGGGATATCAAATGAAGACATTCTGTACATATGATACATATCGTTCAAACAAAGACAGAGTCGGGTTCGCAAAAGGCAGGTACACAAAACAGATAAAGTAACCCATAATACATCGAATAGGAAAATGATATTTGACCCAGAAATGAACACCACCGTATGATCGCACAATCTCCCATCTTTACACCGACTTGTATCCACCGTGGTACGGGGACCAGATGCCTCTGACACTCTCGTTGATACTCGTGACGGGCTTCTTGGTGCGCTTCAACTTCTCTCCGCTGGCCTGCTTCAGCAGATCGGCCTTCTTGCCTATTTGCTCAGGCTCGAGATTCCGCACGCAAACCGCCTTCTCCCGTCCGTTGATGTAGTGTCCCTTGATTACAGGGTGCTTGTGTGGCCGCGGCGATACCCGGATTTCGATCTGAGGGTTTGCTTTCGCGAAGGCAGGGAGGTGGTGCTTGAGGTACGCACTATCACAAGACAAGTATTAGCATCCCCGACTCAATGATAATCATTCAGGACAGTCGATAACATACACCATCCCCCGGGAGCTACCAGCCCAGTCACAGTAGTGGAAATCCAACCGCTTGCATTGTAGGATAAAGGCACCGACACCGTTCTGGATGATCAAGTTAGTCTGGGGAGCACAGGCGGATGAGATGCCAAAAAAACACATACTCTAGCGGCCGTCACCGTCCGGATTCCTTGTAGAGGCATTGCGGCTATCTTGGATTGTATGTTCACAGCGGAGGCGTCAACAGCTTTCAACAATCTCGAGGGACACCTTCGGGGACTTTTCAGGGCCGCCTCCAATACGGCGCTGTCATTGGGTGCTGCGGCAAGCTCGGCTACCGCGACTAGCGGTTCCAGATGCAGACAAGCACCTGACGGGAGGAACGCGAAACTCCCTCAACGCTGCTAGGACCAAGTGACAAAAGACCGCCATATCTCCTCTCGCCATCTCGTCCTTTCATCCTCGATGCCTCTGAAGGCTTTGAATTAATTTTCACGTTTATTCAGAGCACTGGCTGAGGGCACAACATGACGGACAAGCTCCCCCCTCCGCTTCTGGCGCTCTTCCAACCTCGCCCGCCTCTGCGTTATGTCACCCCCATCAACCGTGCCCCAGAAGACTGCAAGAAGAGTAGCATCGGTGGTATTGCGCAGTTCCTTCCTGAGGTGAAGAAGTATGAGGAAGAGATCCCATATACGCCTACGGAAAGCTGGATCCAGCGCAAACTGCGCCAGAAAGTGGAGAAGAAAGAGAACATTAACAAGCAATTGACGGAAGGCCTCGAGACCTGTATGATCATCGCATCTATTCTGGGCTATATCAGTGTCAATACTGATGATTTGCTGCAGATGAACCATCCAACGACCAACAAGCACGAGGCGACCCGTTCAAGACGCTGTTTGTCGCTAGACTGAGCTACGATGTCAAGGAATCGGACCTGGAACGGGAATTTGGTCGTTTCGGCCCTATTGAACGGGTACAGTCACAGGCCGAGCGGGCTTGATGGGTTACACGCATCACTGACGTCTCCCAGATTCGCATCGTGAAAGACACCGTAACGCCAAAGGGCTCGAAGAAACCACACAGGGGATATGCTTTTATTGTCTATGAGCGCGAAAAGGATATGAAAGGTATTGCTACAGATCTAGTCGCCTGTCACTCTGGATTCACACTGGTATCGAATCCCCGTACTTCATTGATGCTAACCTAGTTTTCTTTTGTCACGAATTCAGCTGCCTACAAGGAAACGGATGGTATCCGCATCAAGGACCGCCGTGTCTTGGTAGACGTCGAGCGCGGTCGTACAGTCAAGGGATGGAAGCCTCGTCGCTTTGGTGGTGGTCTTGGAGGTCGTGGTTACACCAAGGCTTTGCCGTCTCGACCTATCGGCCCTGGCTCTTTCAACGCCCCCTCTGGTCCCGGCGGCTATGGTGGTGGATTCCGGGGTGGGTTCGGTGGCCGAGGTGGTTTCAAGGGAGGATTCCGCGGTGACCGTGGATTTGGTGGGCCCCGCGGGGGTGTTGGATACCAAGGTGGTCGCAACGGATTCGGTGGAGGCGGACAGGCTCCCCCCAACGCCCCTTCAGGTCCGGGAGGCGGACGCAGCGGTGGGTTTGGTGGTCCCCCTGGCGGCGGCAGATTTGAGCGTGAACCCCGGGGCGCCACTGGCAGCAACAGAGAACCCATCAGGCCCCGGGACGGGTTTGGCGACCGCGATCGTCGAGACCGTGATCGGGACCGCGACGGTGACCGTCACCGGGACCGTGATCGGGATAGTTATCGCTACCGTGACCGCGACCGTGAACGCGACCGCGATCGTGGTGACAGGTACGGAGGCCGGGGCGACGACTACGGGCGGAAGCGATACCATGAAGATGATTCGTATGATGACCCCCGTGCGAAGAGAAGATACTGAACCACTGTCCGCGAAGGATATCCCCATTCCAGTGTTTAATGACGGTTTGCTGGTGGGTATCATTAACTTGGTCTTTCTCTTGTTATACCCCGTTGCAACAATGGGTAAGGCAAGGTCAAATAAGGCTCAAGCTCCGTGCTACATCGGACTTCAACCATCGTATAACTCACAACAGTTGAAGTGCTCCGTACGAATCTTTCCTTCGTAATCCTGGTTACGTTACGAGATATCCATCTTCCATTGGAGCAGGCGCAATTTCCCCTCGAAGGTCGATTTCCGCCGTTGCAGCAGACAGATACGCGCTGTTACGGACACCTGTCATGCTCTCTCTTTTTCTTTCTTGTCTTTGTTACTACTCGTGTCCTTTTTTCTCGTGTCGTTTTTTTCTTTGGCCCTTGTGCGGCCGCTACTTCTCTTCAGGGGTAAGTATGTACGTTAGATAGTCAACTTGTCTTCACAGGCGGAGCTATTATGGTTTGGGATCTGGGTTTCGTTCAGGTAAGAAGATCAGGTAGGGTGTTTTTGTGAAAAAGAAAACTATCAGTCATGACCGATTGATTGCCAGGGATCTTCACGGGTGGCAGGCAGTAAATGAAGGTAATGATATATCCAGGGTTTGTCCTCGGTCCCATGCCCTTATCATATCATATCACATTGTCATGTAAATATTTCATCACGGCATTGCCATCATCGGGAGGTGGCTGTAGTAGTGGTAGTGGTAGTGGTTCTAGGAAGAGATGGATTCTATTGTAACTGTTCGGATTGGTTTATTCATATCGGTATGTCCGTCATACGCTCATCAACTGAAGGAGAATATATACCGAATCAGACAAGACACGAGTCGAAACTGAAACGAGAATGAAAGAAAACGCCTTAACCCAACTCCAAAGATGCCCAGGGGATCTCATCATCAAAGGGGAGGGTGGGAATCCATGGGGATCAGGCCTGGCCTTTTCCAAGTCCAAATATAGATAGATAGGTTTCCTTTTTTGGAAAGAAAACCTACCGCGACCCAACACCGACAGGAACACCACCACCAGCACCCCAACTCTAAAAAACCGAATCGAAACTTTTTCAAAGCATCAACAACCTCGAACTTACTCAACCTCCATACCAGCCTCATCCTTCTCCAGAATCTCCACCTCCCCAGACTCCCTCGTCCAATGAGCCTTCAACGCAACATGGAACTCAGCCATAACAACCCCAAACATCTTCAACAACGTCGTCTGCCTCGAATCCAGCACCTCTCCCTCCCTGCAAACGGGGAATCCCTCCTGACCCTCCGTCAACTCCAGCATGACCTTGCCCTTAACCAACCGAGTCGGGACACCGAGTTTACGCAACTCCGGCTCAATGGTATGGCTGAGCGGCTCGTCCTCGGAGACGGGGATCTCTCCGGCCCGCGAATACACCTGGCCGTTGGGGATCGAGAACGCCCGGGTACTAACTGTCCCGGAGCGGGCGAAGTCAAGCGGCCGGAAGGACTCGAAGTAGTCGGTCACGGATTGAGGGTCGCGGGAGGTGAAGAGGAGACCGACGGCGCCGGTGAGGTAGGGGTTGAGTTTGTGGAGGTTGGGCGCGGCTTCGTTTTCGGGGTTGTGGCCCAGAGCGACGGCCATGACCTTGGTTTTGCCGAAGAAGAGACTGCTCAGGTGGTTAGTTTGCATGCATGGTTGTTGGAGTGGAGGGGCATCTTGGGGATAGGCGGGGGTTGCTGGGGAGAGAGAAGACTAACCGGCTATCGGCGAACTCGGTACGGACATCCTTCAGATAGGTGTTGCGCATGTTGTCCACGCCGAAGACGAACAGGTGGTCGTACTTCTCAATGCATTCCCGGATGTTAGCGTACAGGCGACGGGTCTGTTCCTTGTGGGACTTTTTGGTGGTCTTGGACTCGTGCACGACGCGGGCACGCTTGGAACGAGGCATGGTGACTGATTAGGGTCTGTGAAACAGAAAAATAGACACTAGAGAATTGGAGTATGAAACGTAGAAAGGAGAGATGAGTAGTTGAAGATGGTGATAATTGCAAGAGCCGGCGCGGGAAATTGTGGACTCCAGATCCAATGATTTTTTTTCTTTGCGGCTGTCGATAACGCCCGGATTATTGTTGTCGCGCGGCTTATCCGTGCCCCCATCTGCCCTAGTCTGCTTCGGGAAATGAGCTGATCGGCTTCATCTTCAATCGGCTTCATCTTCTCGATCGATCTTCTGGATTATTCTTCTGCATGCCGAGCCCGTAGGTACTGGGCTGTTTTGTGCTGGATGGGTCTCACTATTGAGGCTGCTTGATCTACCCCGTTGCTTCCGCACCACCCTGACAATGCTCGATTTCATGGATTACATCCAACTCGCCTTCGCCGAGGCGACGAATTGGAACCGCGACAATTCATACTCGTCGCTGACAGCCACTGCGCAGTGTATGTAGCCCGTACCTTCTTTACTCTCAACCTCCATCCAAACTCTACTAATCACAAGCACAGCCCTCCTCGACTTCTCCACTCCCGAACGTCTGCGCGTCCATCTCTCCTCCCTATCCACTCCGCACTTCGCAACAAGTTACACCCTCGGCACCGTCGGCCTCATCGATGGCTCAGTCTCCTACCTCTTTAGCACTGTCCCTCTCGATAAATTCCCCAGCCGAAGTGCCCTGATCCCCCTCCGCAAGCTCTCCCCGGGCTACCGTCAAGTGCAAGCACCCATCGCACCCATCGCAGAAACAATCCTCATCAACGATGACCTCAACGATGCCTCCGCATACACCACCATCGGCAAGAAGGCGACCCTCTTCCACGCAACCCTACATCTCCCACCCCCGACAACCCTAAACGCCCTCTTCCTACGCCGTATCTCCCCAACCATGCAACTCTCCCTAGCAGTCTGCTCAACCCGAGGCCCGCCGCTCTCCAAATCCGCCCCGCAAGCCTCTCTCCTCGCCCAACTCTCCCACAACACGGGCAAATACAACAACGAGTACCTCTTCAGCACGGATAATGCCCTCTTCGGCTGGCGTGGACTGTGGAACTTCGGCCCGGATCCCCGCGACCCTGTTGCTTCGGGCTCTTCTCCCAGGTTATCGTTGCTCTCTGCTGGCGCGGAGGCTTACTATTCTCCTGTTTCGTCGCTGATTGGCATGTCAACGGGACTGAGATTTAGCACGTTGCCTGCTGCTACAGATGTTCCTTTATCAAACTCATCACCAACGGCTAGTACCAGCAGTGCTAATGCCAACACCCCCATCTCTACCTTCCCCTACACCCTCACTCTTACTTTGACACCGTTAACGGGGTCCCTCTCAACTACGTACTCCCTCCGCGCATCCCCGAACCTAGCATTTAGCTCCCGCTTCGGGTTTAACGTCTATAGCTGGGAAAGTGAGATGGTAGCGGGGTGCGAACTCTGGCGGAAGAGTAAGTCCCGCTATCGTGATGATGGTGATGGTGTGGAATGGGCGCGACGGAAGATACGCGAGAGCTTGTTTCCTCATCCGCATCCTCATCTATCTACCTCCACGCCTAATGATATTAAAGATCTAGCGGGCCATGCATTAGAGAAGAGTGGGAAAGGAGAAGAGGAGGAGAACGAATCCGTGTTGAAAATTAGGGTGGATCAGTCGTGGAATGTGCGGTTGTTGTGGGAAGGTCGGGTCAAGGAGTTGTTGGTGAGTGCTGGGGTGGGGTTGGGGCCGAGTTCGTTTTCCTCGTCGTATGTTTCTGATGGGGGTGGAGAGTCCGGGGGGCTGAGGAAGTCGTACTGGAGGGGAGTGGGGATCTCGGTGTCGTATTCGTCGTGATCCTTGTGTATATTATTGACCTATATGATTGGCTCTATGAGAGGAGAGAGAGAGAGCGGGGGAATATGTAGATACTATGATACGTGCTATGATAATACTGCAACTTACTAGGTACTAATTGATAGAGTGGTCGAGGTTTATAGTAACGAAAGGTGTTTGAGAGAATTAAGGTTAATGGTGGTATTCAATTTGGATTTATAGGTATAAATTCGTTTTTTTATGTCCTTTATAAATTTTGATACTCTGCAGTTGGTCATGGAGTCTGCAGAGTCCCCAGGCTTACTTCCCCGCCTATTGGGATTCGGATATCATATCACATGTCCATCAATCGTTCAATTGTTTACAGACGAGCGTTGATGATGTCAACGACTGGAGTTAAAAGAAATTAGTACATCGCGCATTAGCCAAATGAAAGGGTACACATACAGGCAGGCTTCAAGCTGGCACCGCCAACCAGGAAACCGTCGACATCAGCCTCCTTGGCCAGGTCACGGCAGTTCTTCTCGCTGACGGAACCACCGTAGATGATGCGGGTGTTGTCGGCAGCCTCGGCAGAGATGGCATCGACGAGCCACTTGCGGATAGCAGCGTGGACCTCCTGGGCCTGGGCGGTCGTGGCGACCTTGCCGGTACCGATAGCCCTGAATGGGGTTAGCGCACGTGCGACGAGCAAGGCCAGACGAAATGATCGTGAACTTACCAGACGGGCTCGTAGGCGATAACAACCTTAGCCCACTGCTCCTTGGTGAGCTCCTTGGCAACAGCGTTGAGCTGCTTGGTGACAACGTCGATGGTCTTGTTGGCCTCACGCTCCTGGGGGGTTGCATTAGTCTCGGTTCATCTCACCGGGTCACCGCGAGCTCGAAGAGGGGTAGTCGCAGAAGTTAAAGAGACAAAAAGCAAAAAAAAAGCCTACAGGCCCACATACCTCAAGAGTCTCACCAATGCAGAAGATAACGCTGAGGCCACCGTCAATGGCGGCCTTGACCTTGCGGGCAATGAACTAGATGGGGCATTAGATTAGCCCAACCCAAACCATAATATTTGGCGGGGTAGACCTACCTCGTCGCTCTCCTTCAGGATGACACGGCGCTCGCTGTGACCAATGATGGTCCAGTCGATCTTGACATCACGGAGCTGCTCAACACTGATCTCACCGGTGAAAGCACCATTGGGCTTGTCGAAGACGTTCTGGGCGGCGACGCCGATCTTCTCGCCGGCGGCCTGGCGGGCGGGGAGCAGGTAGAGGGTGGGGGGAGAGACAACCACCTCGGCGGACTCGTCCAACTTGGCGGCATTGAGGTTCTTGATGATGGAGGTAATGCTGTCCGCAGTACCGTTCCTGTGTGAGAGCAACGCAGAAATCAGTCGTTAGCCAGCGGGCTCGTTGAGGGTGAAGCAGTCTTTGGTGGAAGAGCTGGCGGGGCAGCGGATGGAGGGGTTCCCATACATCTTGAAGTTACCACCCACGAAGAATTGACGAGGCATTTTGAAGATGTGTTGGTGTGATTGGAAAAGACGGGGAGAGTGTCTGAAGAAGGGAATTGTGGAAGAAAGTAAGTAAAAGATTTTAGGTATAGAGGAAGAAGAAGAAAAAGGAGAGAAGAGAGAGAGAGAAGAAGAAGAAGAAGAAAGAGGGAAGAAGAAGAACCGGAAGGATGAATGACGCTGGGGGAACCGAGAGAGGGGCAGCTGCCAGCACTGCTACCAGTTACTACTTACTAGCTACTAGTGAACTACTAACTGGTCGTAGTAACCAGTTGTTACTATGAAGAGAGCACGGGCGGGGCTTATCGATAAGTCACTCGCTGAGCTGGCAACTCTTTCTTCTCTCCCCTCTTTCTCTTTCTTATTCTCTCCATCTCTCTACTCATCTTCTACTAGTCTATATAACGAAGCATCTACTCGGTGTGTCCTTTGGGAATGGGTAACTTGGCGCGTGACAAACCCCCTATAATATAACATTGCTATTGCACAAGGATGAGAGATAATAATCTTCAGGGAGTGTGTGTCTGTGTGTGTGTGCGCGGTTGAACTGCAGCTTCCGATGGAACTTTTGTCTTTCCCCCCCATGACGTTATGAGATACCCACTTCGATCCCTCCTTCACCCGATCCCAAAATGCAAATACCCGAAAATCCACTGGTAAACTGACTCTCCCAGGGAAAAACAATGAAGCGATTCCCCTTCCATTCCCCCCCTCTTTCCTCCCTAATCGGACTAGTACTATGTAGCTAACCCCCAAGGACCCCTGCACCATCATTGAAGCCCCTCCGGGAGGTAATATCGTCGAGGACCATAGAAGGTGCCCGGCTCGCGCAGGGACATGCGTCGTCCGAGGTAACATGCATCGTCCAAGCGTTCCCGTTCCTCAAGCACGCGGGCGCGGTATTCCACCATCCGCTCGCGATGCTCCAATCGGGCCTCACGATCATCCAGTATTCGCGCCCGAATATCGTTCCGGGCCCGCCCCCCTCGGAACCGCTCTGCCCTCTCGGCCAAAAGTTGCTCCAAATCCAACTCGTCCGTACTAACTGGCGCATGGATGATCTTGGGCCGGTCCCGCGCCGGCCGGCTCACTTCTTGACTGGGACCACTTCCACCACCACCGCCAGCACTGACTGCACCCTCGTTGCGTGGGTCGATATGCTTACTGTCCGCAGGCACCACGTCAATGCAGCCATTGGGATACCCAGACCGGCTGGCCTTGCTGTCCGATCCGTTCTTCTGGGGCTGCTTCCGATAATGGGTGCGGTACGCATGCTTAGCTCGTGGAGCAGAGTGTCGACGATATAGACTGCCGCGCCACGGCTGGGGTTTATCCTCCAGTTCGGGCTCTTCATCGGAACTATCGGTGATGGAGCTGTCGTCGTCAAAGTCGAACACGGATTCATCGTCCCCCACACTACTCGACTCTAGTCCCAGTTCCAGCTCGGGATCTGCCGCTGGGGTTGAGGGCCTGACGTTCTCGGGCTTAGTCTCCGGAGGAGCCGGGGGAGTGGTAGGAGCAGGGGCTTTGTCGGAAGGATGGGTCTCTTGCTGGCCGGGGAAATGGGCGCGGGGATCAAATCCCTGCCGTTGGTGGAACATCCCAGCCGCCATGTGGACGCCTCGCAGCCCATTCGGTTGAGCCACCATGTGCGGAACTGTGGCTTGGCCAGACATCGCAGCACCGGGCATGACAGGAGCAGGCATTGCAGAATTGGGCATAGCAGTCGCAGGCATCGTAGAGACAGGCATGCCTGGTTGAGCGTGATGGGGCTGCATACCAGCTGGCATCCCGTGCACCCACGGCCAAGGCCCTTGGGCCATATGTGGTCTTGGTCCCGGATATCCCTGAGGAAGCTGGGGAGGCGGCTGATGGGAAGGTGACTGATGGGGAGGTGATTGATGGAACCTCGTAGGCAGAGGCTGCTGGTTATGATTCAAGGCCGGTGGCATTGGCCCCTGATGGATAGTAGGCCCGACCAGTGGCTCACTGGGCTGCATGCTCCTAGGCATTCCCTTTGGTCCCGAGTCGGATGGATTGTTGTGCACGTGAGTTGTTGGCACCCGGTCCTGGGGCTTAGGAAGGGCCTCCACATCCACATGGTCGTCGACAGGTATCTTGGGAAACACCAGATCTGTAGCCTTTCTCATAATGACGACGTTCACGGAGAGCGTCTCATAGTCACCCCGCCGGGAATTCTTACCCTTGAATGGCTTCTCATCCTCCTTGACATAGACGCAGGTCCATTCAAAATGGGGATCACTCTTCCTAAGTTCGCTGATCAGCTGATCCACATGCGCACGCTTGACCTTGGACAGGGACTGGTATTGCTCCGCAATGGGAATCTTCTTGGTTCGCTTGTGCACCAGCTTCATCAGATCGGACTGGCTGAGGTTCATCTTGGTCCGCTCCACATGGTTCCAGGTGGACTTGTGCCCGGGCACGGCATCGGCCTTGAAGAAGGTGTACCCCAGGTAGTAGAAGGGAGCACGAGCATCAATCTCCTCAACGACAGTGGTCTCCTTGGGCTTCGCATTGTTGACAGCCTGGGGCTTCTCCGGCTGAACATTAAGCCGATGCATCTGATGGACCAAATACTCCGAGTTCATGGGACGTGGCGAGCCCGCTTGCGCCACACGAACGCCCTCATTCGGGCGCATAGGGGGATGGTGGGTTGGAGGTGCAGGAGGCACCTGGTTGTGGTTGTTGTTGTTGTTGTTTTGGTTGATGACGGCCATACTGTAAGACTCCGCTCCTGTTGGGGACCGAGAGGATGCGGCCACGGGGACTCGTAAGTATGTCAATCCTCAGGCAGGGAGCAGGGAGCTGTTAAGATAAGCAACAAGAAGGAGAAGAAGAGCCCGAGCAGAAGCAGAAACCCTAGGAGATGGGATGGGAATCGGATAAAACGGAAAATGGGGGAAGCGGGGTCAAGAGCAAAGAGCGAGCAAGTATAGCCTCCTTATATCTCCGAACGCGCCAGGGAAGGGCCATGGAGGGGTCAACTGGCCTCTTTTAATGTCGACGGACTTCCGGCAATAATCATGGTGTAAGATTGTTTCAGGAGATGAAGATCCCTGGTGCTTTCTGCCTTGCCATTAGGTTTGGCAAGCTGCATACCCAGCAGAAGCAACCATCCAACCCCAAAAGATTCGGGATATCATGGTCGCGGAGCTACTGGAGTCTTTGCTTGTGACCATGAGAATCATTCAATCACGACGCGCCGTCGAAATGAAAGGACCAGGGGAAAAGCGCGCAGGTCCCTCCATCGCTGCGCAAGACGGAATTAGCAGGGCGCGACATCGCCCGGGCATGGCCAAGGGGAATTGCCCTGGCAATTTTGGCGCCTTATCATTCGCCCCTTTGACCTGCATCTTTTTATATCCACCCCCCTCTTCTCGATGAATGATAATCGGTAGTCGCGAGCCCGCGACTGCCTCTCTGGCCGCGTGTTTGCCCGGGCTTCGTATCGCAGGCAGCCTTCCTCAGCCGCAATGGTATGGGGCGATGCAGCAGCAAGTAAGAAAACCCAACATCTTCCCAGGGCGACCAGCAACTACAGCCCGGAGTAACAAGGCGGCAGCAAAAGTCTGATCTGATGTTGGATGGGCGATGACGGATGAGCAAGACCATCAGATGGAAGATGAAGAGAAAAGAACAAGCAAGGCCGCCGTCATGGTGCACACTACCTGCATGTGGCCGACCGACTAGCGGGTTTGCTACTGTGTTCAGGCCCAGGCTTTCACAGTCCAGGACGAACATCGCTGCAGCCTAACCGCCATTCAGCGCTGTTGCCCAACAATGAAATTCTACTTCCCACAAGCCTGATTGGCCGCAAAGATGCGCCGGTTCTGCAGCCAAACCCCCCTTTGCCGCCGTCTGTCCGTCTGGTTCAAAGAGACATGTTCTGCTTGCCCGTCACTGTCATTGAAGTAGAGTGGATCAATCCACTTCCCTACATACAGAAACGTATAGAAGTCTCCCGCAAATGCTGCATGTCATGGGCTCTTTTCCTGTTATGCTGATCGTGCTGCATGCGATGGTGGAAATGTTCTATTCCGCTCTGTCGTCTTGGATGACCGCCACCAGCAGCAGCAGCAGCAGGATCACCACCGCCACCATTATCACCACCCATGAAACGGTACTTTTCTCCCCCTCCTTTAGGAGCCCAGGCGAAGGATATCGTCATCTTCCTTGCTAGTCGTGTTGAGAACGGCTGCCCGCGTTGATGATAGGCCGGACCAGCCATGACTCATGGCGAATACCTGCAGGTGCTCCAGGCCTCAGCTGGGCCCATCCTGCAGGTTGCGCGGATCTCATTGGATGTTCAGTCTTAGTACACCCTCCTTCCATGACTTATAGAATCTATATCGGAACATGACATTGCCAGACAGGAAAATATTGGCATCTCCGTTTTCTAACAGTCCCTCCACAAGCACAAGAATGAACACTGAAAGAAACCCTAGGTGACTGAAAGTTAAACTTTAAGCAGCACATTTATCCTCCAAAATGTTGCGTCCATGTGATCTATCAAATAGATGATTTGGGCCGTTGTTGCGAGTCATGGTCCAGTTAGGGTATCTCAAGACTATACCCGAAAGAAAGTGCCTTTTTTGCCGTTGATTTTGTAGTAGGGTTCTGGTTGGCGTCCACAACCTTTGTTCTCCGTATAGATGTTTCGACTGCAACAATGTGAACCATCGCTCTCAGACCGGGTGCTTTCTTCTCGGCGTGCTCACTTCCAACAATAGCCCAGTTAGAACAAAGGCTCTTTATGGGAATGTAAGGAGCCCATTGATTATTCGCAATGCATTCTCTTGTCGGTCTTATCTGTGGCACTCCTGGAGGCCTTCAGGTTACATCCACTACTATAAAAGCCCGCTTCTATTCAAACTACCGCGAGGAGCACAACAGCTACCCCTAAACCCTATTTCAACATCTTTTGACATACTCGCAATGGCGGCCGATAACACAGATCAGATGTTCTGGAGCCGCGAATTCGCCCGCCTCGTCGGGGTCCTGACTAATGCTCATCTCGTAAGTGCTGCAGAGCATGGGGAAATATGGGGCCACATCTTCGATTGGAAGTCTAGCCTGGCAGCACTGATCCACGATCTTTTACAACCCGAAAGCCTGCTGGCAATCGAGCATCCCCAACTCCATGAGGTGCTCTCAAGACGCTACTACGCCAGCATGCAAGCCAGAGGGGAAACAGAGGTATCCAAATGCACGCACAAGGTGGACGGGCAGCATCGAACAGATAGTTATAGATACCAGCAGTGCATACACGACCAACATTCTACTATCCATCGCCAAGGCGAGGAGAACGTGCCTGATACGTACCGCGCTAGTCTCTGTCCCAAACTGCTCGACGAGTTTGTACTTCGGGGTATTCTGGGGTCTGGAAGTATGGATTTCTGACTCCTCTTGTGCTCTTGGAATCTCAGCTAACGCATATCCACAGCCTTTGGAGTCGTCTTCCTGGCTCATAAGCGTAAGCATCCGGAATACTCAATCTAACTAGTTCTGTCTCCTGACCCCAAATTCTAGGAAGTGATACCAGACCTGCAGCCGAACAAAAATTATACGCAATCAAGGTCGAGACTCTATCGACCATCAACACCGACGTGAGAAAACGGAGCTTACATCCGAGTGTGGCACCTCTATACTACCAGGAGCCGCATGACTTCCGCTATATTCCAATGGAGGCCTACCTTCTGCTGCTCATGGCTGGCTGTAAGCGGTTCCCGATGCTGGACTCCGTCTACTCCCACGGCAAGTACAAGGCAACAGTAATGGAAGCTACGGTCCGAAAGGAAGTCCGTGAAAAGGAATACAACCCGTATTCCGAAACGGAGGACTGGTGCGAGAATCAGAATATGTTCCGCCCAACTAGCGGATCCTTTCGGCTTGACTCGAAAGAGAAGAAGACTACACTGCTCGAAACCGAGGCCTGCAAGATATCAACCCAACTGCTGGAAGCAACAGCATACCTATATGACATACGACTCTGCCACACAGACATCTCTCACGTCAACTACCTACTCGATGATGACTCAAATGTAAACTCCCTTCTCCTCCCTACAAGCAAATCCCTACAACAACCTCCAGAAAGAAACCACCCACTAACCCTTCCCCAAAAACAGACAACCCTAATCGACCTCGGCCTCATTCACTTCGGCCTCCACGACGCCGACTTCCAAAAAAGCCACACGCCCTACATCGCCAACTACGAGAAATTCATGACTCCCGAACTCGCCACCGAACTGCTAAAACCCGAATACAACAATACCAAATTCCGCTCCCGCACCGTCCAAATCCCCCTCCGCCACGACGTCCGCTGCCTTACCCTCTGGCAACTCGGCTGCATCTTCTACGAGCTCCTGCACGGCTTCGCGCCTTGGGAAGAGCCAAACCCGGATCCGGATATCGGGCGCCTTGTCGATTGGACCAGGGGCCAGGATGCCGCACAGCAGGCCCGGAGAGCGCGAAAGATAAGGCAGCGGCGGAGGCGCATTATTAGAGAGGAGTTGCCCGTTAGTGATGAGCTATCGCAGGATTTTGTGGATATGCTGAGGGTTATGTTTACGAAGGACCCTGAGGAGAGACCGAAGTTGCAGGAGCTGTTGTCCATGCCTTGGTTTGGGCAGACGAGTTATTGGGAAGAGTGGATGGCGCAGGAGAGGAGGAGGAAGGCTGCTGGTTGAGTTATCTCCACGCAGTAGGGAATGGATGGATGTCGGATTAATCGTGGGTAGTTTGTGGACTAGATTGTCAGTCTCGCAGGCGAGATGGGCAAAATAATGATCGCGCTTTCTTCTACTTCTTCGGCATACGAGCAACAAGTACTAATTATATCTATATATATCATTGATATCGAGCCAAATTGCTCATGGATGGAAACAATGCAAACCCAATTACCCTAACCCCGTTTGAAACATAAAACCCGCGTAACAGAAAGTGCAAGGAGTAGATAATATAGTTATAGCAAATAAATATACTCATACCATCATAAGTAGTATGAATCACATCACCTCCGCAGACTATCCAATCTCGCCTGCAAGTCATCATCACTCGTATTCGCACCACCGCCACCCCCAGCTCCAACCGCTTGCGCAACTCTCGTCTCGCCCACGGCTGTCTTTTGTATATCGGTGGGTGTTTCTCCCAGCTAAGCAGTATGTCAGCATCATATACCTCATCCAATCCCACGCGAAGAGGAGGGAAACGAACCGCCTGGCTAAGATCCACACCAATCTCATCAAGAACCTCCTTGACGATATCCTCGCCTTCTTCCTCCTCGCCCTCCAGTCCCGTTGCTTCGTCAATCGCCTCATCCATCATTTCCTGTCGTTGATCCATGATATCGTTCTCTCGTTCGAACTCCATTGCGATTCGTTGCAATGCGGGGAGATTCATCTGTCGGTTCATGCTGCCTAGTAGCATCGTTGCGCCTTTCATTGACTGCATCATTTGTTCGTTGCTTCGTACCGTCTATCCATTTACCTTGTGAGTTATGAATGATGTGTAAAATGAAAGAATGGGATCGTACCTGAATCCGCAGCGAAATAGCCTGTAGCTGTGTCCGCATCTGGTAGAATTTCTGGATATATCTGTTCCCGCATCATTAGCATACCAACCACCATACTTTGAATATAAGAGTCAAATGACTGGGGAACGCACCTCCTCGTCCTCACCAAATCCTTCGCCTGGATCTTACAAGCCCCAATCTGCCCATTCTTCGCGCTCTTCTTGATATCCTGGACTAGCTTCTTCTCCTGGTTCTCAAGCTTGACTCGTTCGCGGTCCAGTTCGCGCTGGGTTCGGTCGAGCGCTCGTTGATGTTTGCGCAGACGCTCGGCGGGCGTCATGCGCTTGCCGAAGGCCCATTCGACGATCTGGTGGGGATGGTAGTTAGTTTGTTTGTTTGTTGTCGGTATTAGGTTGAGTTTGGGGGATGCGGGGAAGGGGAAAGGTTAGGTGGATAGATCAAATAGATAGGGACATACGTTCATAGTGGGGGTATTTGGGGGCTGGGGTAGGATTCAATGGTGATTGCTGTCCCGGCGGGAGGGAAATGACATGCAGCTTGTGGGCGAAGGAGGAAGAAGAGAAGGGCCAGAAATCATGAATTGATAAGTAGCGACGAGGATGAGGATGAGGATAGAATGTCAGGCTACCTTCTTTAGTTGAGTGACATCAAGGTAACCGTACCATACCATACACATTAATTACATACTCTAGTTAATTCACTCCGGTAATAAAACAGTGTCACATGCAGAAAACCAGACCAAACCCCTTTCGGCTTTTCCAGGGAATCTTTCGTTTCTTCCATCTTCGCGTCACCGATTGATGGCTTTCCATCCCCTGCAACTCCCCTCATTCTTTCCTTGTCGGTCGCCATGAGTCAGGAGTATTTCCCCGGTCAGGGCGCCTCCTCTGCCGGCGAGGGTTCATCCTCACCCTCGTCCTCCTCGCCCTCTCACGCCCATCCTCCTCCGCCGACGGAGGAGGAACGCCTTCCCAGCACTAGTAGTTCTACTATGTTTCCGAGACCCCCGCCTGCATACATGACCGTCGGCAATGGCTCAACCTCCGAGAGCGCGACCGCCTTGATGGCTTCCCTGCATGAAGATTCCGGCTATGGAGGCAGTATTCCCAGCGGAAGTGTGATGGATGGTGATGCTGGTGGCGACTGGAAGGCCGATTTGATGGTCGATCGCCCGACACCCATGCATACCCCTACGCATCTGGGAGAGTGGAATCCTGCCGGTTCGTTTGCCCCGGAGGAAAACGGATATGGTTTATGTTATTAAATGGCAGTTGACTGACCGCGGGTTTACAGTGGAGCATGAGAGACAGGTTGTTGCTAGCCATGTTCATCAATTATTATAGTATGTGGTTTTTACTATTTTTTTCCCCTCTTATGGGATGCGCAGACACTGACCAGACCGCTCTTCTTCGAATTACAGCAACTCGAATCGCACTAAGCTCGCGCGTGCCATCTCGCGCACTATCGAAACCCTCAAAGAGCTTCAGGATATGAACCGCCAATGGCCCGCGCATTATCCCTCCTCCCAGAGCGCCCCGGGCTCCCCTGCGCCGAAGCCCGCCATGCAGAAGAGACAGTCATTTTTCGGAGAGACAAGCATCGAATCGGAAGATTTACCCCGTCCCGGAATGATCAGACGCGCTGCCACGATGACCGGTGGCGAGGATTTGGCTGAATCTAGCGCTGCGGCGGAGCGTCGCGTACCGTCCGAACCGAGGTTGATGAGCCCCCAGATTGCGCAGGAATTTTCGATTCTCAAGCTGGATTTGAAGCTGGGTGCGCTGTCCCAGGCGGAGCTGGTGCACTCGCTAGAGAAAGCGTCCATTGCATCGCTACTGGACGGCAAGATCAGCCAGAGTATTAAGCACCTGTTGTCGCTGCGGGATCGGATTGAGGATACATCGAGCAAGGTCTTGATTACAGGTGATCTGAACGCTGGAAAATCGACTTTCTGTAATGCGCTGTTGCGGCGCAAGGTCCTCCCCGAGGATCAGCAGCCTTGCACGAGCATCTTCTGTGAGGTTCTCGATGCGCGCGAGAACAGCGGTGTTGAGGAGGTTCATGCCGTTCACAAGGATGTGCTTTACAACCGCAACGATGAGAGTACCTACGATGTGTATGCGCTCCATGAGCTGGAGAACATTGTCATCGACAACTCCAAGTACATGCAGTGCAAGGTCTACGTGAAGGATGTGCGGACGATTGACGAATCTCTTCTCAACAACGGAGTGGTGGATATCGCTCTGATTGATGCGCCTGGTCTGAACTCGGACTCGCTGAAGACGACGGCGGTCTTTGCCCGACAGGAGGAGATTGATGTGGTCGTTTTTGTGGTTTCCGCTGCAAACCATTTCACTCTTTCTGCAAAGGAGTTCATTCTTAACGCTGCTCATGAGAAAGCCTATATGTTCATCGTTGTCAACGGCTTCGACCAGATTCGCGACAAGCAGCGCTGTGAGCGGATGATCTTGGACCAGATCGGCAAGCTTAGTCCCCGCACATACAAGGAAGCGGCTGAGCTGGTGCACTTCGTCTCGAGTAATGCTATCCCGGTAGCACCCCCGATTTCGGTGGAGAGCTCTGGTTCCGGTGGTGGTGATGGTGATGACTCTGATGATGACGACGATAAGCCCTCCGGCAAGAAGGATAAAGGAAAGGGCAAGGAGAGGGAGAAGATTCAAGACTTTGAGAACCTGGAGGGCTCATTGCGCCGCTTCGTTCTCGAAAAGCGCTCTCGCTCGAAGCTTGCTCCGGCCAGGACTTACCTCCTGAACCTGCTTGCCGACATCAACTCGTTGGCCTCGGTGAACCGCGACGTCGCTCAGAACGAGCTCAAGCGCGTCACGGACGAGCTGGCGGAGCTTGAGCCGGCGTATGAGGACGGTAAGAGGAAGAAGGTTGAGATTGGTGATCAAGTCGAGAAGCTTGTCGACGAGTCTTGCGACGATGTCTACAACCACACCCGGTCTACTCTGGGCGACACCATCGCCCGTGTTTCGGAGGCTGATCTGGGCGTTGAATACCCTGGTTTCCTCTCCGCATTCCAATATGCCGAAGACCTGAAGGTGGCCATGCTAGAGCAGATCGCTTCGGCTGTAACTGGCTGCGAGGACTACGCTCGCGAGAAGACAGTAAAGGGCGTCGGGTTCATCCAGAACATTGGTCTTCTCCATGTTGGCGAAGACAAGTTTGCGCCCTTGAACTTCCGCGCGGATATGATGTTCCGTCGTGGTCGTCGTCACACGCTCGCTAGACAAGTGCACACGGAAGTGGAACTATGGGACTTCTTCGACGTCTCGGGCATCTGGGAGCGCCAGGAGAAGGTGGCCGGCACAGGTATGGCTATGACCGCCGTAACCGTTCTTACAGGCCGTGCCTTTGGTGGACTCAGCTGGGTCGACAGCGTTTTCAGCGCTGTCAAGTTCCTTGGCCCGAACAATCTGCGCCGCCTGTTCATTCCTGGTGTTATGGCCATTGGTAAGTCCCACCCTATAAGTCATACTATTGAATTGTTCACTAACTGACTAAACCAGCCGCCCTGACAGCCGCCTACATGGTCTCTTCGATCCCAACGACTCTCCCTCCTCGTCTCTCACGCAAGCTCGCCGCCACCCTCTCGGAGATGGACTACGTCCACTCCAACGCGACGCGCATCTCCTCCGAAGTGCGCCGCATTCTGCGCCTCCCCGCCGGAAACCTGCAAACAAGCCTGGCACAAGACATCGAAGATCTCGGCCGCCGCAAGCACGAAGTCAGCAAGACCAAGCAGGAAAGCGACGCCGCCTGCAAGTACTTCTCGAACTTGTTCCGCGAGAGCGGCGAGAACCGCACCTCGGTCGAAAACATCGATCTCGATGCTCCCTTACCCGGTGGCCTGGCAGCCCATGCTTAAAACACCAACTCTGGTCTTTTCCTTTCTTTTTCTTATCCCCCTTTATCTTTGACAACTGTACAAAACATAACATAATGATGCTGTACGAACTTGCTACTGCTACTGCTACTATTCCCTGTCTGTTCAACAGAAGTGTTAGCCGTGGCTGACAATTTTTCCTTACTTCCCTCTTCCTCGTTTCCTTTGCCACTCAAAATATCCCCCTCGTGTGTGTACATTCACCTCCCCTTCATCCTTTCCCTTTTTATCTTTATTTGCATCATTACCCTCATCCCTTGCAGGATAGGGCTGGTTGATGATTGCTATCGTCAGCTTATGGATGATGATTAAGTAGCCTCAGTTTCTGGCGTATCACCATCGTTGATTGGCGTCTTAGAGCTTAATTGCATACCTATTGCCTGCTTACTCTAGTCATGCTTATGGGTTTAGTATATGTGGCTTCCAGCTTAGGTATTAACTAGATCGAGGCTGTGCCTTTATTACTATTATGCTTTGTTTACTTTCCCTTTCTCTAATTGTCGGAATCGTGTCATAGTATTGTCGGTTATAGTAGGATTCATTATTTCCATGATGCGAGTTTAGGGCGACATCGAGAACTAGGCTGCAAGCACCCACTAATTCGTGAGAAGTACTTTTTAAAAGGTACAGCAAAGCATCGATTCTAACCAACCCTAACTTGCCCTAGTAGCTAGTAGTAAGGTTTTCATTCAGGACAGAGACGCCATGCTATGCATAACTCAACAGCAGAACATCATGGACCCAATGATTGTCCAAACCAAACACACCATCAATCTCATACTATGCTATGAGGATCTCATACTCGCTCACTTCCTCACTCGGCCCACACATACGCAAAATTACGTACGTATCCATATATAATTTACCTAACCCAACAAAGTGAAATCCAACAAAGATCAAATTCTGATTACAGATTATCCAACGCACGATTCGTATGCCTCGTCCTCCTCGCCGTCCCCCACGCCCCATTCTCTAACCCGGGAACGAGTCTCCCCTCCGCTACTAGATCATTCGACTTCTTCTTCTCAACCACCTTCCCCGCCTTTTGAAGGAATTTCTCCCGCATGGCTACTGCATCCGGGTCCTCGTAGTCCAGCTGTGTCATGGGCGGGGCCTCGTTTTCGTCCTCTTCTTCGAGGGTGGCGTTGCGCTCTGGGTACTGATACTCGTATTGGTTGCTGTGGGTGTGAGACAGGGAGGGGATTCGGGGGTTGGTGGTGGTTGTGGTGGTGGATTCGACGACGCTGCCGCATCCGTCTTCGTTCAAGGTGTCGATTGAGCTGGCGCGAGAGAAGGAGAAGTGTTTGGGGTGGTCGAGAGAGGATGCGGCCCGGCCGAGGAGGGGTCTCCGACCTCGTTGGGGTCGATGGCGGTCGTCGGGGCCGGTGCTGGGTTCGGAGGGCTGGGCTGGTCGGGCGTTTTTGAGGAGGCTAGTTACGGCTTGGTTGAGGGCGGATTGGGTGGTTGTGGTTGATATTGATGTTGAGGGGTGTTGATCGGAGGGTTTGCGCTTGAGGGGGGAGGTGGTGGTTTGGGCTGGGTGTGAGGGTTTGGTGTTGGGTTCGGGGTCCGATGAGGATGTGTCTGGAGGTTGTGCCTTGCTTGTTTTCGGTTTTGATTGCTCGTGCTCATGCTCATGTCTGGGACGTGGGTGCTCGTTACTGTTGGATGGTTGCTTCTGCTCTGGGCGAGAACCGGCTCGAGGTTCCAGAGACTTTCGGCTTTGCGTGGGTTGCTTTTGAATTAAGTATTGGTCGAATGGTTGTTTTTGTTCGTTGCGGATCGAGGCCCAGAGCCAGTCGGCGGATACAGCAGGGACACCCCATTCTTGGGTGTGTCGCAGCTTCTCCGGGTTCACGGGGCCGGAGTCATTGCATATAAGTACGGAGGCGCTGGGTGTCAAGTACTCGTGGTAGGTGGCACCTAGAGAATTAGACAGAGTACTTCAACTGCTTGGGACAACTTACCAACGAGGTTAACGAGCTTTGATAGATGGAGGAGGTCAATTCGGGAGAAGCCAGTAGAGCAGACCTTCAGTCCCGCGAATCCTAGGACTGTCAGCTAGACGTTAACGAGAGCTGATTGGGGCTTTACCTTTGATGGGGAATGAAGGGATCGGAGTGTTCGCTGTGTGGGACTCTGGCGGCACCAGCGTCTTCGCATCGAGGCATCTTTCCAACCACATGTCGGTTACCACTTCGCATTCGAAAGCCAAGTCATCCGTGGATGGGACCTGTGAGCGGGGCATCTTGTAGGGCACGATAGTATAGAGGCCATGGCCCCTTTTGGGTATGTCTGGTCGGGAAAACTCGCTCAAGGAGCCCACCAGCTCTGCACCGTTGAAGGAGAGATGGTCCCGCAATACGTTTGTCTTGAAAAGTTAGAAGGTGAAAAGGAAGTCCAAGGGTATGCACACTAACCTGTTTAGTAGAGAACCCATGAATGAAAAAGAAACAATCGCCCAGAAACCCTTCGTGACGCTCTACAGCTGCCGGAGGGGGCGGGGGCGGTTGTAGGGGCTCCTGCACTTCTGCAAAGGTAGTCTCGCTGGCAAATGAGCGCGACTCTTGCAGGATAGAAGGCCTCTTTGTCAAAGACTGGGTCCTCTGCAGACTTTCTCTAGATGGCCTCGGATCGCTGCTGTCGAAACCCGTACCGACAATATCGCCCCAGATCCCTTCATTCTGATCACCTAACTTAGCGCTCGCAATCCTCCGAAGTTTCCTCGGTCTAGGGTTGGAGGGGTTTTCGTTATTGGTAACCTTCGGTTTCGGAGTAGGCAGCGATCGATTCCAGGCACCAGCGCCCTGTTGCTCATCAGGCAGAAGAGGGTGATAAAGAGTTTCTTCCAGTACCATGCCACGCTCAAGACTATCCTCGAACCACTTCACCGTGACAATCCTGATACCCCACTGCGTTGCGAATTTGTATTTCTCACCCTCCGTATTCCTGGCGATCAGATGAGTGACGTTCTTGGTGAGGTCTTTCCGGAACTCGGCTCCATGGGCAGTGACCGTATCCTGGATACGATTGCGTAGCGACACTATAGCATCGAGCATTAGACCAGTCTTCCAGTGCGCCGATTGTACGGTGATTCCTACTCACTATCCTCGAATCCCGTGATGCAGATAGACAACCCAGCAAACGTGGGAAATTTGTACTCTTTTTCCAGAGAACGAATATCTGTATCCCCTCCCTGCATCCATGATTGACGAACAGCTTCGACCCATTCTGGTCTCAGGACTGTGATATCAGTCCGCTCGCGCGCCACGAACTTGTACTTCGGAGTATTGACTTCGCCGATGAGTAGATGAGTGACGTCGGAGGTAAGGTCAAACTTGTGGGTTGCTCCCATCTGACTTGCGACGATAGCGAGTTCAGACTAGATGCGACAGATACCCATCAGTATTTCCTCTTTCCTTATAAACAATAACGAGAAGTACTCGCATTAGAGGGTGTTTAGCATACCCGCTGCTCTGGTAAAATGGAGGTAAAGCAGAGGACCACCCCCGCAAGAGGATGCTCCTTGTCTAAAGAGGAATTAGTCGGCCTTCTGCTAGATGCGGAGATAAATGGAATACTGACTTGAGGTTACTTTCTCTGCCATGCTTCATGATTGGCAGGAATCAGCCTGGGACTATTGCGCCGATCTGAAATTCGCTCTTGCGGAGCTCCGCGCGGAAGCGCGTCTTGGAGTATACGGTGTCACGTGACGAATTACAAGATGCAGGAGGGCGTCTTCGAAGCCATCGATGGCAAGGAGTTCCACGAATAGTGCTGGCCGTAGTATTCCCGAACCAATACTAATAGTAAGTAACATGGTGATTTCCATGTCTAGTCAGGAGTGAAAGAGTACCGGACAGCATTAACAACCTCTTATTAATCTATTATTCTATCTGACTATAAAGAACCTGCTAGCTACTGACCTTCTACCTGCTTCTGCAGAGCATCGGAAAGTGAGATAGGATCCGGATACACTCTGGTCAAGTTAGCTGGCAACTTGACCCCTGTCTGCGCCGAAAGCTCTTTGCGCATTTGAATTGCTCCTAATGAATCCACTCCAACATCCATGAACCCCTGGTGCATATCTACTTCCTCAGCAGTCGCCACACCAAGTGCTTTGGCAGTTATCCCCCGTACTAGTCCCTGAAGCATCATCGCCCTCTCCTCGGGCCCAGCCATCCTGATCTTGTTCTCGAAGCTGTCCGTCCCATTTGGATCTGCAGCTGCGGTTGCTCCGTTGGTCGTCTCTTGACCGTTTACGCACAGCTTACTATGCTTCTGGACCTCCTGGACCTGCGCCTGCATCTGAAACTGCATTCGCGGGACGAGCACTCGTTCACCAAGCACAACACATTCAGGTTCGGTACTCATCATCAAGATTGAGCAGAGTTTGGTGGCTGTAGCGATGTTAACGTCACCTTCCAAGTCCACGATACGTAGACAGAGTTGAGGATATTTGACGCGCGCGCTTCGCATCACACCCCATAGCGATGCCTCGCCCATATTTCCGGCTCCCACAGCACCCCGCGTCACCCAGACTACCCAGGGAGAGAACTTCATTCGTGACACGGTCTGCAATTGCTCAGATGCCTTGGAGATCATGTCGTCTTCACTGTCTGATTCCCAGAAACAAAGCACGCCGCTCATCGCTTTGGCTTCCGCGAGCTGATTGACCGTGACAGGTTGCTTTCCGGCGTGCAACAATGCTTCCTTCACCGGTGACATCCATGGCGCATCACTTGCTGGACAGAGGAGACCCCAAGTTGAATTGGAATACTGGCTACTCGCGTCAATAGTGTGCCATCCAACTTGAATTTGGCCAGTGGGTTGGGGGCAACCCGAAGGAGACTGGCCAGAAGGTTGGCCAGATGATTTATCGCTGTATATTGGCCGCAAACCGTCCAGCCAATACCGATGTCGCTGAAATGCGTACGTAGGTAGCTGGATGCGGCGCCCGCCAATGTCTTTGAAGAACGCTGCCCAGTCGATCTCCACTTTTCGTATGTGCAGGTCGGAGAGACTGTTGTGGATCACTAGAGCGTCGTCGCTCTTGGGGTTTAACGAGTGCAGCCAGACCAGGTTCTTTGCGCCTTCGCGGCCGGCCACTTTGCTCGTCTGACTAAGGTCCCCATCGAGACATGAAGCTCCCATACCACACAGTGTCGATGCTGGACCCAATTCAACAAAGCAATTCGCGCCCTGGTCAGCGAGGGTCTGCATGCCTTCAGCGAACAGGACAGGATTGCGAGCTTGTCGAACCCAGTAATCCGCACTGCTAAGTTGTCCAGGCTCTGCCAGTTTTCCTGTGACTGTGCTGACGATAGGTAGCGTTTGCTCCTGGAACACAATGGTTTCTGCGACGGCGCGTAACAATGCAAGCATGCTTTCATCCAGATGGTGCGAATGGAACGCGCGACTGGTTTTGAGGATTTTAGAAGACCGGTTTTGAGCCTCGAAATAAGCTGCTAATTTGTCAATGACATCCATTTCTCCAGATGCAACCACTTGCGTTGGGGTGTTGATACTGGCAATCGACACCCTGTCGCGTGCACTGAGCTGCTCGATGGCTGAAGTGACCTCGTCTACGCCGGCTTCAAGCGCCACCATACTACCACTTTCAGGCAGCGCATGCATCAGTTTCCCTCGTGCTGCGACCAAGCGGCAAGCGTCTGCTAGATTCATGATTCCGGCGACGTGCGCGGCCGCAATTTCGCCAACGCTATGGCCTAGCACGACTGCTGGCTGGACACCCCAGCTCTGCCACAGTCTCCATAGTGCTACCTGGAGTGTAAAGATAGCTGGTTGGGCATAATCCGTACGCCGCAGTAGAGAAGCGGCCTCGCTCTCAGGCTCTGCCCACATGACATCCAGCAGTGGTTTTTCCAGGACCGACTCGAAGAGTTCTGCAATGTGACTGACAGTGTTGCGGAATACAAGGTGGCGTTCAGCAAGACCCTTGCCCATTCTGGCCCGTTCAGTGCCCTGCCCAGAGAACAACATCGCCACGCGAGCTGTTTTGTTGTTGTCAGCAGTTGCCGGTACTCCGTTGTCGATAATGCTTGCTAGCCTGCCCATAAGTTCAGTCTTGTCTTGTGCTGCAAGAATGATACGTCGTGGGAAATGCGTACGAGTAGTCGCCAGCGAGTAGGATACATCAGACAGCTTGGTTTGTGCAGTGGCACTGGAGAGGTGATTGCATAATTTCTGTGCTTGCTGACGCAGTGCTTCACTTGTATAGGCGGACAGGAGGAATGGCAGCGGCAAAGGCAACCTCGCATTATCATCATTATCATCATCATCGGCGCCATTAGCATTTGAGTGAGCCCTCGGGGGCTCTTCAATTATAGCATGGGCGTTAGTGCCCGATAATCCGAACGAGTTAATTCCTGCTCTTCGCGGAGCAGTCGGATCGTTTGTTCTGGGTAGCCATGCCATTGGCCGTTGGAGAAGCTGCAACTTGCCACCCACCCAGTCGATCAGAGGGCTGGGCTGACTACTATGCAGTGTCTGTGGCAGCATGGTGTGTTGCATTGCCAGAGCCACTTTGATAAGGCCGGCGAGGCCGGCCGCCGCCTGCGTATGTGCGATATTGGACTTTGACGAACCAATCCTCAGCGGCCCAGTAATATCATCGCGGCTGCTGCTAAATACTTCCGCCAAAGCTGAGGCCTCGACGGGATCTCCTAGTCTGGTGCCAGTCCCATGCGCCTCGACATAGTCAATATCATATGGCTTTAGGCGCGCAGCCGCCAGCGCTGCGCGGACAACACGCTTCTGGCCTGGTCCACTCGGTGCTGTCATGCTAGCGCCGCGACCGCCGTGATTGACCGCTGAACCACGAATTATAGCATGGATATGATCGTTGTCGCGCTGCGCATCCGACAGACGCTTCAGAACCACAGCCGAGGCACCTTCACCCAGTCCCATCCCAGCTGCGTCCGCTGAAAACGGTCGCGAGCGACCATCTGGTGATGCAACGCGAATGCGGCTAAACTCAATATGCAAACCAGGAGAAGGCAAGAATGTGACGCCGCCAGCTACAGCCATGTCACACTCGCCTTGGCGAAGTGCTGAGCATGCTACATGCGTGGCGACCAGCGAGGCAGCGCACCCAGCATCCAAAGTCATCGTAGGACCCTCAAGCCCCAGAGCATATGCTACGCGACCAGAGAGCGAGCTTGGCGCCGTGCCAAGTCCAAGGTGTCCTTCAAACTTCTCTGTGCCGGCGGCGCTTAGCTGGCCGTCATCCACAGAACTGTTACCGGTCCCGATGAAGACACCAGTCTGGCTGCCCCGCAGGGACTTGGTGCCATAGCCTGCCCGTTCGAAGCCCTCCCAGCATGTTTCCAGGATCATGGTCTGCGCGGGGTCGATAGCCCGGGCCTCGCGAGGGGAGATTCCAAAGAATTGCGCATCGAAATCCATGGCGTCCCTGACGAAGCCGCCACCCGTGCTGTAGGACTTGCCGCGGGCCTCCGGGTCCGGGTCGTAAATGGCATCAGCATCCCAGCGCTCCTCAGGAACCCTGGTGACGGCATCGGTGCCGCTGATGAGAGCCTTCCAAAGTTCTTCTGGCGTGTGAATATCGCCGGGCAGTCTGCACGCCATGGAAATGACAGCAATATCTTCACCGGTGGTATCGTTCCCAGCAGGGTTTTTCGTCTCTTCGGTAACCTCATTGGTCTGGGTTTGATCAGAGAGATATGCAGCAAGGTTGGCAATGGTGAAGTGCTCATACAGTTTTGGCACCGGCACTGGCCGACCCAGAAGCTTCTCCAGTTTGGTCTGGATCTGAATGATGCTCGCCGAGTTGCCGCCAATGTGGAAGAAGCTGTCCTGCATGCCAATCTGACCGTGGCCTAGCACATCGGTCCATATAGCCAGCAGCTGTTGTGTCAGTGTAGAAGCTGGTATTTTCGCCGGTGTGATGGTCGAGATGGGATCGGGCAGTGCCCGGAGATCCACTTTGCCGTTGAGCGTAGAAGGAAATCGATCGACTTCGACGAAGAACGAGGGGACCATGTACCCGGGAAGGCGGTCTTCTAGCCAGGGGCGTAGCAACTTGGCTAGAGGAACCTCGGCGCTGCCAACGCCCGGCTTTCGTATACAGTATGCGACGAGCCGCTCGTCTCGGTTGACCACAACGGCATTGGCAATATCCGCGTGAGCTGTGATGGATGCCTCAACATCGCCAGGATCAATTCTTTGCCCGCGAATCTTGATTTGCGTGTCTGCCCGACCGATGACGGCCAGTCTCCTGGAATCCAAGAAGCATGCCAAGTCTCCTGACTTGTACATAGTATGGCCTTCCCAGAAAGGATCCGGAAGAAACGCAGCCTTGGTGCGCTCTGGATTGTTCCGATATCCACGAGCAACGCCTGCTCCGCTAATATATAGTTCGCCGGTGCTGCCAACCGGCACGGGCTGCAAGTCGGCGTCGAGGACATATAGCCGTGTGTTCGGGTTAGGCGTTCCAATCAATATGTCCTCACCGACTTGAACTTTCCAAGCAGCCACGCTGGCTGTTGTCTCAGTCGGGCCGTAAAGGTTCCATACTTCTTCAACACACGCGGTTAGGCGCTCTGCCAGGCGAGGTGACAGTGCCTCGCCACCGGTAACCAGCTTAGAGAAGCCTGGCGTGCCGCACCAACCGCTGTCCAGCATCATCTGTAGAATGGTCGGCGTCGCCACGGAGAAGGTGACGCTGTGCCGATCAATGAGATGCATCAGCGCGCGGGGATCCCTGATATCATGTGCCTGTGCCTGCACGACTGTAGCGCCGCACAGCAATGGCACGTATATCTCAAACGCGGCCATATCGAACGAGATGGTGCTTTTGAACAGCACGCGGTCCTGGTCAGTACAGCCAGGTCTTTGGTGTACCGACAGGGCATAGTTGCATATAGCGGCGTGATGAATTTCCACGCCCTTAGGCTTGCCTGTGGATCCAGATGTGTACAGAATATAGGCAATGTCATCTGGCTGAATATCCACAGCTGGCCTCTTGTCCGCTTGATATCTCATCTGATCTTGGAGCTCGCTCGTGGTGCAGCAGACTGCCTTATTGCCATAATCATATCGACCGGTGCCCGCCCCCCCTTTGGTACTAACAGGACTAACTATCACCAGACGCAGCGCTTCATCATCCAGCATCTGGTTGACACGCTCGGGGGGTAAAGCAGGATCAACGGGTACATATGTCGCACCCGCTTTCAAGACGCCGAGAATGAACATGATCAGGTCTGGTGTGCGGTCCAGTGCAAGAGCCACCACATGGCCACGGCTGATGCCTCGCGACAGGAGGAGGCAGGCCAGGCGATCCGAATCAGATGCAAGAGCACCGTATGTGAGGGTATGCTCCCCGCATACTATGGCAGCCTTTGGGGAGTATCGGGTCTGAGTTTGGTCGAAGAGGGAAACGACATTGTGACCGAGCTTGGATGGGTCATCAGTGAGGTTTTGGTCGTCCTCTGGTACCATGGCTGTCGATTCTTTCTTGCTATTCTTCTTTGTTATGAACTAATCCTGTGGAAGACAGGATTAAGAACGAAAATTCATGAGAACAAAGATGGGAATACGATATATCAAGTTAGGCTGGTAGGGTATATTGTCTAGTTCTCAGGCAGAAAGAGGTGGCACCACACTTACCAGGCCCGTATATCATAGGCCGGCATTATACCGATACCCAAACAGGAGCTGCGGTGTGTCATGAGGACCCTATTCCCTGCGGTCTTTGATACGCGTCATTCCTAAGGATCCGCAGGCTGGATGCATTATCATGGTGGAATTGGCTGCTGCCCGGTCCACGATGTCGTGATCACTAAATGTCTAGACACAGATGGATGCCAGCCCTGTTCAACAGTAGAAGTTGACCATTGCCTGAATGGATGGAATGCATAGCTGATGGATGGAATCCCAGGCAAGGGAACACTACTGTTTAGAGTCTCGCCTTAACCGTGATAGGGTTACCGAGACATATATCTGCCGAAACGGTTGTCAGTGTAACTTATGACATGACTTCTGCTTGTCGCACAGGAATGTTTTTCCGGCAAGGCATCCTCATGGAATGGTCTACTCTGGGTCGAAGAACAATGGAAAAAAATCGCTCATCGGGAAATAATGTAGGCAAGGGGTGAGGGGGAGAAAGTTTCCAGAAGAGATAAGATAGCCAACATTCCTGTCAAGCAATAATTGAAGACAATATTGGAGAACAACAAGGCCGAGATGATACATGTGCCGTTATCAAAGGATAAGACGAACCCTGGGCGAGACTGACATTCACAAGGCTTGGATAGTTTCTTCGTGTTAAGCTTTCCATACATTCTTCTCATTAACCAGGGGTGTCCTTTTCTTCCTCGTCATTGTTTTCTTGCCCGTAATTCCTTTCCAAGGGAAAAGGAAAGAAAGAAAAGAGAAGGCACACGCAAACACGCACACCTTCTCACACGCAGCCCTCACTACAAAATCAACCATGACAGCTTCACCAAAAACACCTACATCCTTGAACGAAGGGATTGCACTCTATACTCCATTTCTTCTCCGCTATTTCTATGATTTCTGGGTCCTATGGGTTTCCAACAAGTTTGCATGGAAATGCCCAACCTCAACCGTCCAGCTCCCATTGTTCAAGGCCGCCATGGGTCAGAGCCACCTCGACATCGGCGTCGGCACAGGCTACTACCCAGCAAAGAGCCTAAAGGCCGGCGCCAAATGTACTGAAATCACCCTCCTGGACCTCAGTCCCAACTCGCTTCAGGCTACCGAGCAGCGCATCCTGGAGACGGTAGGCCGGGAGGCGGTCCGCGTGAACACTGTCGTGGCTTCGGCCCTGGAGCCACTTCCCTTCGACAAGGCCAAAAAGTTCAACTCAATTAGTGTTTTCTTCCTGTTGCACTGTATGCCGGGGACACCTGAAGAAAAGTGCAAGCTGTTCGACGTGGTGCGGCCGCATCTGGCGGAGGACGGCGTGCTTGTGGGAACGACTGTCCTTGGTCAGGGTGTACCAATCAACTGGCTGGGACAGAAAATGATGAACAGCTACAACAACAATACAAAGTCTTTCCATAACTCGGAGGACAACAAGGCTCAGTTTGATGAGGGCCTTCGTCGGAACTTTGAGGAGGTGGATTCGTGGATCATGGGCCAGGTTATGCTCTTCAAGGCGAGGAAGCCAAGACAACAAGATGCCATCACCAATGTAGTTCCGAAAGACAACTTGGATTGAGAAGAACCGTAGTGAAGCTGTCCGTATAGTTTCTCGAGGAACTAAAGCTGAAATGAGGGGGATGTCCAACGGACAAGGGAGAAATGGCGGTGCGATATATCGAACATCGAAAGGTTTCTTGCAGTGAAGATGTTACTACTTAGTTATAGCCTGAAATGCTGTTAATCTCCTATTTCGGAGCACAATGACATCTCCTGAGGTAGAGGCAGTATTCTATAGACGTTAGACATTTGCACGTGCAAAGGGCATTGACAAGCCAGCCCTTATCGGCATCACGTGAGCGATAAGTTGTGGCGCGGCGCGTATCGCCAAAACGCGCCGGCGAATAATTGAATAGTCTCATCGATAGATTGTTCAGGGCAGGCGAGTGCTGCAACTCCGACTTATTTTGATTTCAAGTATATGTACCTTTCCAGACACCGCACGTCGGCCCCAGGTATACTCCGCCAATTCCTTTCCAATGGTCCAATCCTGAAATCGCCAACGGCCTCTACTAGATACTCCGCATCGCGAACTTCGTCGGTTGGAGAGGAAGCTGTGATGTTCAAGAAAGCCGTCAAGGAACATTCAGTAGCGTCAGCGACTCCGCTACAGTCCACGCTTACGCGCAGCAATAATGGAAGTGCTTCGATGAGACCCCCGCCGCCGTCCACAGGGGTTAAGCGCAAGATTGAGATGGCTACCGTGCGAGAGTCTAATCTGGGGTCCCTCCACGACGGTGTCTACTTCGATGAGAACGACTTCGACGACGATGACGACCTGGACTTTGAGGAACCCGATCCATTCATTCCCCCTGCCCCCATAACCAGACCGAGCGTCCCGAAATCCGAACCGCCCAAGTACCCGTCCCTCCATGACATAGCTGCGCAAGAGGAAGATATACCGATAGTCGACTTGACTTCGCCGAGCAAGGTGGCAGCGGAGGTTAAATATCCTGATTTACCTCCAGTTCCAGATGAGAGCGTTCCGCCTTCCAGCAGCATACAAATCCCATGGTCTTCTTCGCCCCCCTCCCACTTCCAACAACCGACCAAGAAGCCTCGAACTTTACCATGGCTGAAAGACGAGCCGGAACCAGAACCAGAACCACCGTCTCTGAAACCGCAAACGCCTATACGGCCGAAACGTACGGATCCCTGGAATCAATCATATAGCGCGATCAAGGATGGGCAAAGGGAACTGCGTCGGCAGAATAAAACTATGAAAGCACAAGCAAGCGGTCAAATACACAACCCTCGCACGAAGGTGGCTTCAATCTTTCTCAGCGATGAGCAACGCCATGTCCTGGACGCGGTTGTACAGCAAGGGAAGAGTATATTCTTTACAGGATCTGCCGGAACGGGCAAGTCGGTGCTTATGAGGGAAATCATCAAGAAACTGCGTGATAAGTATAAGAAAGAGCCGGACAGGGTTGCGGTAACAGCATCTACTGGCTTAGCAGCGTGTAATATCGAGGGCGTGACTCTCCACAGTTTCGCAGGTATTGGACTGGGGAAGGAACCTGTTCCGGAGCTTGTCAAGAAGGTCAGCATTGGCGTCGGCGGACCACACCAATAGACATTTGCTAACTACCTATAGATCAAGAAGAATCAGAAAGCCCGCAATCGTTGGATGCGCACCAAGGTTCTGATCGTCGATGAAGTGTCCATGGTCGACGGCGATCTCTTCGACAAGCTAGAGGAAATCGCGCGTCGCATTAGGAATAATGGTCGTCCTTTCGGAGGTATACAACTAGTAGTCACCGGTGACTTTTTCCAACTCCCTCCCGTCCCAGAGGGCAGCAACCGAGAAGCCAAATTCGCATTCGCAGCTGCGACCTGGAACACCTCCATACAACACACCATCCTCCTAACCCATATTTTCCGTCAACGAGACCCCGAATTCGCCGACATGCTCAACGAGCTTCGCCTGGGAAAGATCTCACCACGGACCATCGAGACATTCAAACAGCTTTCTCGGCCTCTCGACTTCCATGACTCCCTCGAGGCCACCGAACTGTAAGCCTGGCACACGCCCACACCACCAATCCCATCCCAAAATTAAGCACCCAGCTCACTTCACCCCAGGTTCCCCACGCGCCAAGAAGTCGAGAGCGCCAACGGCGCCCGAATGAGCCGCCTATCTGGCGAAACAATGACCTTCAACGCCGTCGACAGCGGCACAATCCAAGACCCCCAATTCCGCGAACGCCTACTAGCCAACTGCATGGCGCCACCAGTGATCCACCTCAAAAAGGGAGCGCAAGTCATGCTCATCAAAAACATGGAAGACACGCTCGTCAACGGCTCCATCGGCCGTGTCGTGGCATTCATGGACGAAGCCACCTTCGACTACTACATCGACAACGAGAACGAATTCTCAGGGGGGGCAGGAGAAGCAGGCAACAACAGCGACGACGAGATCATGGCTCGCGCACGCAAGAAACTCAAGCCCATGGCCGCCAACAAGGACGGCAGTGGTCCCGGCGGCATAACGCTCACCCGTAAATGGCCCCTCGTATGCTTCGTGCAGCCTGACGGAACCGAACGCCATCTCCTCTGCCAGCCGGAGACGTGGAAGATCGAGCTTCCAAACGGAGAGGTGCAGGCGCAGCGCCAACAGGTGCCGCTTATTCTGGCTTGGGCTTTGTCCATCCATAAGGCGCAGGGGCAGACGCTGCAGCGGGTAAAGGTTGATTTGGGCCGCGTGTTTGAGAAGGGTCAGGCCTATGTTGCGCTGAGTCGTGCGACCTCGAAAGCTGGTCTTCAGGTCATGCGGTTCGAGGCGCGCAAGGTCATGGTTCATCCGAAGGTTACCGATTTTTATTCTAAGCTTGTTAGTATTAGTGATGTGATGAAGGCTTCGAAGAAGCCGAAGTCGGGTGGTGGTGGTGGCCCGGATCCTGAGGATGATTTCGAGCAGGATTATTTAGAGCATTTATATGGGTGATATGGAAGTGTATATCATTCTTAGACCATTTGCTTATACTAGGGGCTCATTGTCAGGAGAAGAATGGATTATCAATCCTTCTTTCTGTGTATTTTGTGATATGACCTGGTGTGGCTGTCTACCGGACTTGCTAATATTAAACTATAGGGATTATGATATCTTCCTTTGTATCATTCCTGTCTCAGCCAATGAACTCTACAAATGTAATCCAGATATCTCCGAGTGAGTTATACTAGCTTCCTATCAAATCATCAGATCATCGTATATGTTTATATATATTCACGCCGCTTTTCTCTACCACGGTCATTTCATCTCCAGAACTAATGATAAGCCTTCCACCTCGCCCAACACCCACCCTTTCCGTCAGTCAGTCCAATCCGCGCCCTGGAGTCAAAGGTAGAAGGAACCTCGCCAACATGAATGTCTAACGAGATGCCGCCTATCCTATATCAAGCATAGGGCTAGTGTATGTACAGGCGAGTTAGTTCCCGCTTCTCCTGATCACAGCGCATGAGTTCACACAAAAAATGAACTCCCAATCCTTATGTTCCATTCATCCCGTGTTATCTGTGTCGTAGCAGCTCATTGGATATTCATACTAAGGATAATTCAAGTTGTCTTGATGACGCTGCTTCTTCAGAATATGAAGTGGAGTGAAACGGATATCCCCAACAAACAAACGCACCCTTGGTCCCGTTGCGAACGAAGTGACTGAGCTAGCTTGTTGTGCTTCGTCCGCATTTGCTGTTGACCGCGAATAGTGTGCGCGAATCAACACCCACAGGCTTAAGGCTGACTGCCTCTTAGCTACTGGTTGGTGGCGGCTACGGAGCGAGGATTACTTGGGTGCTGGCACTATCATTGTTGTCTGCCACATCGAGAGGGCCCTCTGATGCTTTTCCTTGGTTGACCAGGAAATTGTGAAGGTACTGAGGGCAATTCTCATATGCTGGGCTTGTTTCTATCCTCCATGAAATGATCTCTCATTCCACGTACGAGAGGATCCTGAACCCGTAACTGACCCACGGGGAATGGCATGCAGGCATGCACGCGGTCAGTGCTCCAGCTCAGAGCGAGTTGCCAAACCTTGGCTACATTCAATAACTGCTCGAATTGGGAATGGTGCTCCGCGGAGCCATACGTGGCAGCAGTAGCTGGCATGATTTTTAATGATGTCCCAGCGTCATGGTCGGTGGTTACTTTATAGTTATACGAGTTTGCTTCTTTCTCCGGGAACTCCGAGTATGTGGCTAATCTGCACGTTTTGACCTGACTCTTCGTCGAAGACATGATATTGGAGCATGAACTCGGTCCACGTTGTCTAATCTCGCTCATTGAATTCGTTGTAGTCATGAATCCGGACGGGACGAATTGTTCGGTTGGTACTTTATGATAAGCAATTAGGTTTTCGAGTTTCAGTGCTTGGAAGTCGGACATATTGTCTTGCGAGCGGAGTTTCTGCTATCTGTGAATACTTCAACTGCTATTCGTTTTCAGGGTGAAGTAATTACACTCTGCCTTGTTCCGTGCATGCTAAGCAAGTCCAACATCACAGTTGAGCGCTCGGTTCATAGATATATCTATGCAGGAGAAAAGAACCATGATACTTGGATCTCCTGATGAAATCGAGGTGTTGCGTACGAAATCGTTGATAGTATAATATAATCGAGCTTTATTATGTCGGGCTTGAGGATCAGACACAAGGGAGAACCAAGCATTGATACGACAATGCTTGGCAACCAAGTTCAGCTTCCACGGGCAAAGCACTGTCATGGTGTATATTCAAAAGGCACGTAGTAGACATAGAAGGATCATTTGAAAATGTATATAGACTGTAAATCGCCTTTCACTGGTGTATGGACTTAATTGCCTCGCGAAGAACTAACTTCTGACCTTGATAGCACTATAATCCAAAGCTGTGACTTCACTTCGACGGGGAGAGGCCCATCAGAGCTAGTTGCTGAAGCAGTCTCTCCGACTAGAATATCAAAGCAGCAATAGCCTCGAAAACCTTGCGAGATTTCTGGGCAAAGTTTGTCACCATCAATCATAGTCGGACAGCTGTTTGGTTGTGGAGGTCTATGATTGAAGTCGTAGAGTCCTCGTAGATTGTGGCGTGTTCTTTAGGTGTGCCGTCACTTTCTTCCACGTCTGCCCTGCCCAGAAATCAACAGCTATAGACAATCTATCGCGGTAAATACCAAGTACGGGAAGCACCCGTCTCGACATATCAGTGCTTCACACGCAAAAGCCCGCGCTGTCTGGGATGGAAGCATTGGGCTCTTCGGGCACCCAACAGCCTACCGGAAATATTTTCTTTACCTATTCTGCTGTTGGACATTTAAAAGAGCCCAGTAGGGTGCGGTGTACTTATGAAAGAACCTGGTATCCAGTTTGGTATATATGAATGATCGTTCGCTTCATCCGAGATCACCTGTTGTAACTCTGGCCCAAATCTCCATGCTGGCTTGCGTAACCTGTGCATGTCCATCTCTGTGGCTGGACCGAATTGAGTGCTGCTAGCTGTAGTGTTCCGGATAGGACATGTGTCTTCCACGCTCCAGACAATCGTATTAGGCCATACTACAAGTTGTGTATGCCAACTTAGAGAGGAGACCTGGCAGAATTAAGCAGTGCATGACCATGGGTGTCTCTCGGTCAAGGACCCAATAGGATAATATTGATGATATAGGGCCAGCATCGGCAGGAGGAAGCAGGGAGATAATGATGTAGAAATGAATTTAAGCAAGACAGAACTTGCCTTCCTGCTGTGGTTTGTAAGCTCTATGTCGGGGCTATTTGGAGATGGGATACCCGAGATTCTGGAGGTGAAGGGAATTCCCAAGTGATAGAGCTGGCACGTGAGCACGTGCGCGTTTTATTACCATCCCATCTGTTCTACTGGTATCATATAGTATCTTCATTGTAGATATCGGAGTTCTCCGTAGTTTGGAAAGCAAACTGGTAAGGTAATGAAGAGTGTTAGCCATGAATCAAGAGAAATAATCAAACCAAGGGCCATAACTTCACAGTGCTGACGGCCTGCTCTAGTGTACACATCCAAGTATCTAATTAGCACCAGTATAGAAATGACAATTGAGGTTCGCAAGCCCGTCTTTCAAAGAAGATCGCACTCTATCACTGTACAATGTGTAGTTACTATGAGACAAGCTGCCAACTGAGGCGGAACATATATAGTGCCGGAGGTGAACCTATGCTACATACAGTTCATCCAGACGAACAATCAATTGAGCCAACACGACGGTTTAGACTGATAATATCAAGCATTCACAAGTATTACAGTACGAGTAATGATTAAGAAATGTACTAAAAGTAGTAGTGGGAGATGCAGGGAAGGTCAGTCAGGGAATAAAGGGAGCCAACTACATCGACGCATCGAGCCGGCATTTGAAGAATAATCATGTAACAGAGTCAGGTCAGTACCCATGACTGATTCAATTGGAGAGAGTGAATGAATATAGTTCTCTCAAAAGATGAATGAATCAATAACAATAGTGTTTATACCAGGATCTAGATTCTTGATAGTATAGATTCAAGAGGAAACACGAACCCCACCGAGCGGGTCTCGTGCCTCCCTTATCGATAAGAGCCCAGCCACACGTGATGCCCGAGCCAAGAGCAAAGAAGCAAGCAAGCACAAGCTGACCCCAATCCACATCACCTTTGGCGACCTTGTCGGGGCTCCTTCCGGTCCGTGGCGTGTTCTATTCCCGGCTCTTTGGATAGCGGTGGTACTCGTGCACACTGCCGATCATGGCGGCTGAATTTATCGGCTACGATGTGCTTGTGACGCTGCGAGCGCCACCAAATGCAACTGTGCAGGGAGAAGTGGCTAATGTCATCGGCCAACGTCTCATGCTCCGAAATGGTAGGTATAACCCTTCTCCCCTCAGCCCTATGCTTAGCATCGTTATCCCCCTTCTGAAAGGATCTCATACCAACGTTTTCATCCAGTGAAACTCTCCTGGATCGGACACCCGCTCCCTTCGTATTCAATTGAAGCGCCTGATATCGCGGATCTTTCTTTGGGACCTTCGACTCCGCGCATCACACAGCGTCCGCCGCCGCCTCAGGGATCTCAAAACATAGCCCCCGCACCTCCGCCCCCAACTTCGTCACAAAGCTTCGTGGACCCGGCGATTCTAAGTTTTTCGAAGCCACCTTCTGCGCCATCTGGCCAGGGTGCAGAGTCGGGTCCTGCACAGCTTCCAGCCCCTTCCATTAGCCGGTCCACTTCGCAAAACTTTCAATTTCCGCAAGTGGCTCATCGTGATCAAGCTGCTGTGCTCAACGAACCGTTCAGCAACCTGGAACTTGATGTTGGAAAGACCGCAAATGAGAGTCGCAGCGCTGTGCCAAGTGGCCCTGTCCCCACTGGAAGGGAGAATTTGGTTTCATCGCAATCAACTCCGCAGTCCGCCGCGAAAGCCAATCGTCGCACTGGCCAACCGAGGACCCAAAAGGCAGTCAACGAACACGATGGGGCGACGAATACGGACCCAAGAAGCAAAGGCTGGCGCCAGACTGCTTTCGTCGAGCCGTCTTATCCGCAGATGAACAAGTCGCTCAATAAACAACGCCGGAAGAAGAAAAACAACAGGTCGAACTATGCAGAGGATCCTAATGGCTGGGCTACAGAGGATGCGACGGATATCCAGGAGATGGGCGAGTTCGACTTCCAGAGCAACCTTTCCAAATTCGACAAGAGAAAGGTGTTCGAAGAAATTCGTAACGATGACACTACTGCTGATGAAGATCGGCTGGTTAGCTTCAACAGGAAAGTACCAAAGCCTGGAACAAATGGTGGGAAGAACCTGCATTGGACAGAAAACGTCCTTGACAGCCCTGAGGAGACCGAGAGCGAGGATACCGACCAGATACCCAGCGATGCAAAACTAAGCAGCGGCACCTATTCTGGCCGGGAACGGTCGAGGACGTCTCGTGCACCGAGCTCTCGCAAAGGAAGCGCCATTTTGGGTCAGCCGCTGGTGCCACCGCAGATCAATTCCCTCGGACGCAGTCAGCTAAGCACGTCTCGCACAACCAGCCCCCGACCGAACAAGACTTCCGTTTCAGCATCCCCAATAAGTGCCCCTGGTGTACCCGGAGGCTCATTGCGGCTCACTACAACCAATCGAAGCTGCCCAACTGTCAGTCCATTGCAAACCATTGAGGTTGAGCAGATTGCAGTTGCCGAACTCGGACTGACCGAGGACATGATTACGGAAAATACGGGACGTGGTATCGCGGAAGCTGCTGTTGGACTTCTTACTAGCGATGCCGCGGCGCCCACGATGTTGGTGCTGACAGGCAATCACCGAACCGGAGCCCGTGCCGTATCGGCGGCTCGTCATCTTCGCAATAGGGGCCACCGCGTGACTGTCTGTATGCTAGGCATCGAGCACGAGAATGAGTTGCTAGAAAGTTGTCGGAAGCAGCTCGAGGTATTTAAGAAAATTGGCGGCCGAGTACACCGGTGGGAAGACCTATCGACCCGGCTCTCGACATCCGAATTCGCGCCTGACTTGGTCGTCGACGCCTTGTTCGGGATTCACATAGCATTTGATGACCTACGCACGGATGACCAAGCCACTGCCTTTGAGATGATATCTTGGGCCAACCGAAGCAACTTGGAAATTCTATCCGTGGACGTGCCTTCGGGGCTGTCTGCTATGAGTGGTCAGTATGCCGGATATTGTACCCTGTTTGACGTCGGTGCTAACGCGTTTTATAGGCGAGGTTACTACAGTGGAAGGCGGCCGGCTATGCGTCAATTCGAAATCCGTGGTTTGTCTCGGGGCCCCTAAAACTGGGGTTGTCACTGCGCTACTCTCCGGGGAGGGACTATCATGGAATCTCTCTGTGGCCGACATTGGCATTCCTCAGATAGTCTGGAGAAAATATGGCAGTCGGCGGCGGCATGGGATCGACTTTGGGAACCGGTGGGTGGTGCCATTACGCTACCAGCCCCCTCCCGTTTGAGCCGCTAAACGAGATGGGCATGCTTAATGATGATTCAATGACCATGAAGGTAAACAAAATGAGCCATACATTGGGGCGTTACTGGAAGACAGGAGAATCCCACTAGCAATGCGTGGTTTAGTGGTGGAAAAGGCATGATTTATTGTGACGATGGCGCCTCTGGAGCGCTGATTACATTATGTATGTATGATAGTGTGTAGTGTAGTTTAGCAATTGATATGACCTCATGCCATGTCTTTTGGTTTCTAGTATGCAATATATAGTCTCTAGCTTCTAATAACGAATGCTCGATGGGTTCGAAATGCCGATCCCGTGACTGGTATCATCCCGGTATAACCGTTACAGAACGAGGGTCATCTGCGGACAGTCTAGCTGATTTCGGCTAGATCGGGAAACCGCAATACATCATATTCCAGGCCTCGGAGCGCGGCGACAGGATCGCAAAAGCGAGAGCTGCTGCACCAGGCATCTGAAGCTTCTGTCGCCAGGATGGGTAAAGGTTGGTTCGGCAAGATTCCTCAACATCGCTATACGCAAGGCTAACCTACTCGCTCACTTGTTTAGGGACGGATAAGTTATATGTATGAACTCCCCCCGTCGAAGATTTGTTCTTCCCTTTCCGCGCTCTATCGCTTATCGGAACGCACATGGACTAACTCAACGACTGGCATAGATCACGCACTCTGAATGGGCATCGGAGGATGCATTTTCTGCCAGCGCTGGAGCAGGGGTGGGCAGAGCGAAGCGAGGAGGAGTAGATACGGCCTTCAAGCGCCTCCCCTTCAACTTCTGCTCCCTTTCACTACAGCCGTTCTCGCACCCGGTTTGCACCCCGTCGGGCACCATCTTCGACCTCACCAACATTCTCCCCTGGATTAAGAAACACGGAACAAATCCCGTGAATGGCGCGCCTCTCAAAAGCTCCGATCTCATCAAGCTGCATCTCGCGAAGAACGAATCCGACGAGTATGTCGATCCGGTCACGTACAAGGTTTTCACGGACAACACACACATTGTCGCGCTACGGAACACGGGGAATGTCTTCGCTTGGGATACGGTCGAACGGTTGAACATCAAGGGAAAGCTGTGGCGTGATCTGGTTACGGACGAGGAGTTCACCCGCAAGGACATCATTACGTTACAGGACCCGCAGAACGTCGAGTCGCGGAACTTGAGCTCGTTCAACTATCTCAAGGAAGGCGAGAGTGGGTTGACAGACGAGCAGATCCGGGAACGGGAGGATCCTTCGAACAATGTGAACGTCAACGCGCTGGGCAGTTCGGCCAAGATTCTAAAGGCCAAGGAAGCTGTGGCCAAGGCACGCGCAGAGAGGTCGCAACGTGTCGGTTCTACGGCTACTTCAAAAGAATTGGCTAAATCTGGAAGTGCGGGAAATGCGGCGCTGTCTCAGAAGACGGCGTCGTTTCAATCTGGCAAGGCTGTGCCGTATAATGCGGCCAAACACACTACTGGTTTGGCTGCCGCCTCATTCACCAGTACGGGGATGACGCCCCACACCTCTGCCGAGCTTGCGCTTCTGTCCGACGAGGAGTACATGCTGAAGAGAGGCCGAGTGAAGCAGAAGGGCTATGCTCGCATTTCGACTAACGTCGGGGATGTCAACTTGGAATTGCATACGGAATACGCACCGAAGGCCGTGTGGAACTTCATCAAACTGGCGAAGAAGGGCTACTATAGAGATGTCACCTTCCATCGCAACATCAAGGGATTCATGATCCAGGGTGGTGACCCCTCTGGTACTGGAAGGGGAGGGGAAAGTATTTGGGGGAAGTACTTTAACGACGAGTTTGAAGGCCCACTGAAGCACGATTCCCGAGGCACTCTCAGTATGGCCAACAAAGGCAAAAACACGAACAGCAGTCAATTGTAAGTTCCCGCGATCAAGCTGGAGGAGTGCCTGCCCGCGCTAACGATTTACCCCTTGACTAGCTTCATTGCTTATCGTGCCTTGCCCCATCTCAACAACAAGCACACCATCTTCGGTCATGTCATTGATGACCCCACGCCCTCCTCCACGACCTTGAACAACCTTGAACTGCACCCGACGAACCCAACTACTAATCGGCCTACTCCGGACATCCGTATCACCGATGTGACGGTGTTTGTGGACCCGTTTGAAGAGTTTCTGAAGCAGAAACAAACCGAGGAAGCCAAGGCGAAGGGCCAGATCGTTAACCCCGAGGAAGAAGAGGAGAATGCGCGTCGCGCCGAAGACGACCGGATCACCTGGACGGGCAAAAGAGTCCGTGGTGCAGGAACTGGAGCAAAAGACGAAGGTTCTGGTGGGGTAGGCAAGTACCTGAAAGCCGCGCTGGCCGAAAGGGCTGAGCAGGAGGAGGATGAGATCGTGGAATTTGTAGATGACGAGCCCGAACCTGAGCCAATGCGGAAGAAATTCAAGGGCGGAGGCGGGTTTGGGGATTTCAGTTCTTGGGATTAGAAATTCATATACAACGGGGATATTATTCTATATGTGTATAACAATAGGCGTTGATGGTAAAACTTACGGATTGGGCTGGTTTACTGTATGGTTCGGATCTACAATACTTGTTGTGGTGGTNTCTGGTTTCTGGGCTACTGAGAGAAATAATCCAAACACAAGACCTTGCATGTTATTTACTGGTCTTACGTACAAAAAAACAGATCAATAGGAAACAGAAAGTTTTGGCACCGTCACCATTAGTATTTGAGCCTCGCAATGTTTTTTTTTCACTTATCTCTCATCTGGATTTTGCCGCTGCGTCATCCTCCACGCACCCCATCCTTCAGGGTCACGTTATAATGAACGCAATTGACCGCCTCCCAAAATAGTAGCCAGACTGTTGTTTTAGCGGGAGTTGTGCTCCGTAGTGAGTTGGTAGTGCCGGTGCGCACTTGCAAGTAGTACCAGTACCAAGTAACAAGTAACCAGTTCCCTTTTTTCTAGCGTCCTTCCCTCCCGGAGGAACCAACGATTGCTAATAATAAAGGGCCCATCCCGAGCCCGCCTCACTTACCACCACCTACTGACTACTTACTACTACTGAGTATTACCTCCGATCCATACCAACTTCCTCTTCCCTTTCCTTCTCCCTTCCCCTCCCCCCATCATCGCAACATCCGACTGTTGCGCATCCCTCCCCTTCCTTTTAATCTTCTCCACATCCTTGTCGACATACAATCCAACCTATCGTCAATCTCTCTCCCCTATCTCNGTGAGTGTMTTCGGTTCCTTCTGCATCNTTGCTCCCCGTGGTCGCTCTGTAACCCTGTCCCTCCGGCGCGCAGTGGGGTTGGCTCGGAAGGTGAGAGCTTAGAACGCTTGCTATAACGTGCCTCTCTTAGCTTCAGTCTGAACTTCCGACATGGATGCATTTATTCCGGAATAAATCTCTTTGTGTTTCGAATGCTTTTTCTGCCACTGTTCGCTTGTCGCCGGAAGAAGGGTGTATATAGTCGCTCCACAGCATGCATCCGGCGTTGCCTGACCACGATGTCACTTGCCCGCCCGCATTGCTGGCTGGAAGCCATCGGATTCTTCAAGCATAACCCACTACCATCGTGCTTAGCTGGAAACTTGGTCTTGGAGTGGATCGAGACGCTGACATGCCTTGTCTACCCAGCTAGATCATCTCGCCTCCGCCGCAATTCGCATCCTACGTCAGTCCTCCCGGCGGCTTTCATTCTTTGGCGCCCCCCCTTCCCCACGCGCCGCCGCCGCCGCCCCCCTCCGCACTCTCTCGCACTTTTGATCCGGTTTTAAGCCCCCTTACCCATCAACTATCATCAAGCTGGCAGGGAATAAGCGGAGAAGTTTTTCTAGCCAGGGTGGGTTGCTGAACAGAATGTTCAGTGGCTCCTCGAGCCCACCCAAAGACAAGACAGATTCCATCGCTCGTTCAGGTGCCATTGACACGCCTCCTTTGAGCATCCACACCGAGGAAGCCAGTGTCAGCCAGAAGAAGTCCTCTCCTCCTGGCGGCTTTTTCACCCGGCGGACCAGCGAGGACCAGAACAACCCTGGTGGCGAGAAGAAGCGCCGGAGTAGCACCGTCACCAAAGCAGCATCCTTCTTCACCAGCGCTAAGAACTCCCTTAGCCTATCGAGCAGTCCGCGCGAGAACTCCTTCAACAATTACACCATCCAAGAACAGCCTACGTTGAACAGGCTTGGGAGCATGGACCCAGCTTTGAGTGTTCCCCAAGGGTCGTTAAATAATTCGGCTGGAGAATCCCTCCCCACTTCTCGTTCTTCATTCAAAGTTGGCGTGACGGAAGACCGGAATCGAAAATGTCGCCGGACTATGGAAGATACCCATGCCTACCTCTACAATTTCTTGGGGACCCCCGCACCTTTAGCCCAGGCTGAGAACAATGGCAAAGCTCTCCCGAGTCCCACTGCCCCCTCGCCTACTTCTGAAGAGCCCCCCGCTACCGTCGTGGAAACCGACAATGGTTATTTCGCTATCTTCGATGGACATGCAGGCACCTTTGCGGCGGAATGGTGCGGGAAAAAGCTGCATCTCATCTTGGAAGATGTCATGCGGAAGAATCCCAACACACCTGTCCCAGAACTCCTGGATCAAACGTTTACCAGCGTAGACCAGCAGCTGGAGAAACTGCCTTTGAAGAACAGTGGTTGTACTGCGGTCATTGCCCTCCTCAGATGGGAAGACCGTGTACCCAGTCTGCATTCTGCAACGGGGTCGGCTGCCCTTGCACCTGCCGCTGCCGCTGCCTCGAAGGGCGACGCCGATTCGGATGCAGGCGATACGCCTACTCAGGCCGCCGTATCAGGTGGTGCGGCATCTATCCTTCCCAAACTACAGGAGAAATCCCTCCGCCAGCGTGTCCTCTACACTGCTAATGTGGGAGATGCCCGCATTATCCTCTGCCGTAACGGCAAGGCACTCCGCTTGTCGTATGATCACAAGGGAAGCGATGAGAACGAGGGGAAACGGATAGCTAATGCAGGCGGACTAATATTGAACAATCGCGTCAATGGAGTGCTTGCCGTAACTAGAGCCCTTGGTGACGCTTACCTCAAGGATCTGGTAACTGGACATCCGTATACTACCGAAACAGTGATACAACCCGACTCAGATGAGTTTATCATCCTCGCCTGTGATGGTGTAAGTTTGAACCGTTGGATCATTTCACTTAGAACTCTTTGTGCTAACAGAGACAATCAGCTCTGGGATGTGTGTAGCGACCAAGAAGCGGTAGATCTTATCCGCAATGTGCATGACGCTCAGGAAGCATCTAAGATTCTGGTCGACCATGCTCTAGCGCGGTTTAGCACCGATAACCTTTCCTGTATGGTAATTCGCTTTGATTCTGACCGGGTGAAGGATGTCATCAACCGGACCGTGGAGCCTATTGGCGTGGATGGGGATCCTTCTTCGAATGTGGATCGCGGGATGAGCGAGGCCGACAAGATCATTGAGGGCGCCAGGAAGAGCATGGCCAGTGCGGGAATTGCAGATGATCCGGCGACGGCCGCTAAGGCACAAGAAGAGATTCTGCAGAAGATGTCGAATGACGAGCCTGGGCCCGAGCTTTCCGTCAACGAGCACAGCCATGAGCACGTGGTGAACAACTTGAAAAAGCCCGAGCCGAAGAACCCGAGTTCTTAATCATTAGATCAGAAGTTAAAGGAACTTTAGTGTGATATTCTGTACCGAGAGATAGAGAGACCGAGGCCACCTGCTGGTCTAGGTCCGTCAATGGGGTTTCGCTGCTCTTCTCGTCTCTTTGTTGAACATCTGTTACATGTTCCCATATTGCTGCTGGCGTCGATCGCGGACTTGCACACATCACGTCCTTACTCTATGACTTTGCTTTTTTTCTCTTCTTCTGCCCAAGGGTCTTGAGTTCTTGCATTGACACTTGGCCCTATTGTTCTTCCTGTCTATCTTCTCCTTCGATCTTCATTCTTCTACATTCTCATCCCTCCTTCGTGTGGAGCTTTGATTTTCAGATTTATTACTTTTTCGCAATCTACTGCGGCCTTTCTTTGCTTGGACCGGACGCCGGCAAAGCCAGGACAGGACCGGCTGGAGAGCATGAATGACACCTCCGCCGGGGACGCTTCGTTGTATCCTACCGACTATGGTGATGTAAATTTGACCTGCAGGTCTTTCTTTCGCCCGCTTTGCAGCAGGTATTTAGCAATACATGAATTCATTCAGTGCATTAGAGAAATAATGCGAGTAGATAGGAGTTCATGGTCTGCCGAGTGCCGTTATATCATTTCCTCAAAATAGCAATGCCGCTTACAATGAACGAGCTCCCGATTCCTATAGTCTAGATCCTCTGTTCTATACTGAGGCTGATCACCTGACCCTTTCCGTCTTGCCATCCCACAGCTTCATTCCTGCACCATTTCACACAGTCTGGATCACTCATCATGTTCACATTCCCGCCTCATGTGGGTCATTTCAAATATCTCTCGACACATCAAGGCTTTGCTCCCTAGGGGAGATGCACACATTCTTAAACAAAACAGTCATGTACGAAATCCATTGTCAAAGGGCCTTCCGGTCAGCGAACAGCTGCCGACGCACAGTTTGCAGATCAAATGCCGCCCAAGCAACAATTAGCTTAACATAAACCCACCAGATAAGCCATAGAAGTCGGTACAAAGCCCGGTATGGATAAGCTATCTTCGTGGCGAATATAGTCGAGCAATCATACATCTGCTTGCTGCGGGACATCAGCTCCCATGCACCGACTTTCCTGGTATTGAACAACTGCAATGTCCTCCTTTCTTCACCGCTTAATTTTGAAACCAGTTGCTCAGTCTTCTCTTCATGGAAGTCGAACGAAGTCCCAAAGAGCTTGTACAGACGACTGATCGCGTCTGATTTCGTATTCCACCCGTCATTCTTCAGCCACTTGACACGAAAGTGCCAGGGTAGCCATCGGACCTGGTAAACTGCCGCTTCCACTTCTTTGAAGGACAATCGGGCTTTCCTGCCACTCACCGCATGGACGCAGCCCTGAGTTTGGTAAGCCAGATGAGCGAGAAGGCGGTCTACAACGACGTCGACAGGTACTTCATCCAAATTGGAATCTGATTCTGGGTTGTCCAGACGGCTGGACAACTCTAAGGAAAATGCTGGATGATTGACAAACACGGCCGCAACCATAGTCATAGGGGCCGACGTGGGAACCGCATATCCGGGGTATGGCATGCTTTCCGCAGGCCCAATTACAGAGGGCCGTACAATCAGCAATCGGTCGTACTTGCCGTGTCTCGTGAACTTGTCCGTAACTAGGCGCTCGGAAAGATGTTTGGCATACCCATAACCCCAAGGAAAGTCGTTGCTTTCGTATTCTTTGGTGGATCCTCGCGACTGCAGTTCCGAGTACTCCTCGGCAACAGTGGAATTACCATTGTTAGGAGGCATCTGTTCAAGTGGTATTATGCGTTCTTCCACTTCAACGTCTCGATTGGGAAACAGGCTGCACAAGTGGGTATTGCTATATGCTGTTGAGACGTAGACAAAACGTTCCAGCTTGCCACATTGGAGTCCCAGTTCAACCGCATACTCTGTGGCCCGGATAACGCTAGGCCACAGCTTTTGAAGCCGCTGGGCAAGATTGATTGAAGATGCGGCATGGATGATGATATTGACGTTCTGCTTCAACATCTCGGTCTCGTCATTGTCAAGGCCTAGACTCGGCTTCATCATGTCACCATCTAGGATAGTGATTTGTGGGTGCTCCAGAAGCCATTGCGCAGTATTAAAGCGGAGGCATTGGTGCCATTTTGCGGACAGACCACTGTTATGGGAAGTGCATGTAAGTTTTCCGTGGTCTTCATTATTATCTGGTATCATGCAACTTACGTTTGCCCTCCACGTTGTAGCAAGTATATGTGCTTGAACTCAACGCTCGTAGCGATTCGATGTACCAGGGCCGTGCCTAGGAAGCCCGAACCTCCGGTGATGAATATAGTCTTTCCTTGATAATAGTCAAGCATCTTGAACTTGGTGCCCCAAAGCCTATTCAGAAAACAACTTGCACCACGCCTTTTCGGGTCTGAGCAGGGAGAGCAGGCTTTCGGCTTCAACCGGGGTACATAAATACTTTACATGGTCACACAACGCCCATACACCAGCAAATGTTTTATGTAGTTACTTCACCCGCGGTATGCATGATCTATTGCAGGGCTGCATGTATAGCTGAACTCAGTCAACTCCCCACCCCACTTCTACTTGACTAGACCCCGTCATGATATCTAAGATAGTATGTGATCCAATAGAAGCAAAGAACATGGTTGATATTGATCTCCGCTGGCGGGCCTCGAAGATAGTCACTGAAATGGAATTCAGCAAGGAGGCCAGATTCCTAAGAAAGCATACAGTCCTGTGTATATGATGGGTGCTTGCTGTTCGTGATAGGTTACATCATTTCTTGGATCCAGTGCTAACAATCGATGGTCTCACGATGCATTCTTCCTCTCTGGGCAAATTTATGCTTCGGCGTAGTGCGAAATGGTCATGAGTGGCATCCACTGGTGGCATCATACATTTCTCAGGCATTATCGACCGCCCTATCACAGCAATGATTCGAGATTATTCAGCTGCTACTACTGCAAAAAGAAAAGAAAAAAAATAAAATAAAATAAAATACTATTTGTGGTCTTAAGTGGATCGGCAAATCACAAAGGTCCAGTGATAAGGCTACAGATCTTTTCGCACTCTGCATAAGGATCTGAACTATCGAGCTGCTGCTGGTTCCGCAAAGGGTAATGATATGGCGGTTCAGCCGCACGAGATCCATCGCAGTTCAGCTGGGGAGAAGATCGTGGGCTGCCAGAACCCGAGCGCCACCGATAACACTAGATCCGGGAAATACTTCTTATGAGCTAGGATCTGAGTGTATTATATGTGGAAGTAAGAGATCTACTAATACACAGATCTCTTCGAGTGCAGCTGACATTGCTCCGATAACGTAAACAGCAGACAACGTTGCTTCTTGCACGCTACGACAATATCCAGGTGGGGCGGTGTCATCCGATTTCTTCATATTCTTTTACTCTATGTTTTCCAGTGTGGAGTTTGGACTAGGAGTTATGGACTTCTTGGAAATCTACAATATAGGGAGTTAATCTTCAGCTTTAGCCAATGAACATGGATAATGTCTGTACTGATAGTCCACTACTATTGGAACAAGCGCCATGGCAGTCCAATTAATCCGCAGCATACATAGCGAGCTTCCTGATCTTCCTCGATACCAGAGCTCGTCAAGGTACCTTGATATGCAAAGTCTCCAAAAATTGGGGACAAGACGGAGGCACCATCTCGGGTATTCTCTTACTGAGGAAACAGGCAAATTCCAGCAAGCAGTGCTCTATTTAGAAGCAATGGTTCAAAGGGCGATAGATATAATGCCCCACCACATGATAGATATATCATCAACTCGTTGATTCATTCACATAGGTCATTTACTCACATCTGGTAAAAAAAAAAAACCAACTCGAAATGACGACCTACCAATTCCACGACGTCACCAAATCCGTCACCGACATCGACAGACGCAAATGTCGTCGTGAAGTACCGATGCAAGTCCTGGCACTTGGACTCTGTCGGACAGGAACAGACTGTAAGGCGTGCGTCAGCTTGAAAGATGCCTTGCACCCCCGCTAACAAGAGATAAAGCATTGAGACAAGCTCTCCGAGCCCTAGGGTACAATGATACCTATCACGGATACGCAGCAGTCCTGGAGAACCCCCGAGATTGTGAGATGTGGCATGCTGCGCTGAGCGCCAAGTATGAGGGGAAGGGACGACCATTTGGTCGAGAAGAATTCGATCAGATATTGGGGCATTGTCAGGTACGGACGGTCCCTTTCCCTTTCAACCAGTGATTACCAGATGAGAGAGAGAAAGAGAGAGTCATATATACTAACAGTCAGATAAATTGATCACTACCATAGGCTGTATCCGACTTCCCCGCAGCCTGTTTCGCGGACGAATTAATCCAAGCCTACCCCGAGGCCAAAGTAATCCTGACAGTCCGAGACGTCGACGATTGGCATCGGTGAGTTTCAATACCCCCCTTTTTTTCTTTCATCCCAGTCATGCAACACACTCTTCTCATGCCAAATCTACAGATCCGTCAGTAAATCATTCACGCCCCTCCTCACACACCCTCTTCTCCCCCTCTCCACCATCCTCGAGACCCTCCTCCTCTCCCGAACACGCTGGATCCGCCCAACCTGGCAAAAGATATGGAAATACTACTTCAACGACGACTTCGACGCCAACGGCCGTAAAGCCTTCGAGGCGCATAATAGTCATGTGAAAGATATTGTGCCAGCTGAGAACTTGCTCGTCTATAATGTCAAGGATGGGTGGGAGCCGCTGTGTGAGTTTCTGGGGAAGACGGTTCCCTTGGATGGGAAGGGTGATGTGGTGCCTTTTCCGAGGGGGAATGATCCGGGGATCTTTCGAAATAGGTTTCGGGATGCTATTTGGTATAACTTTTTGGAGTTGGGGGAGAGGGTGCTTAAGGTTGTTGTTGTTCTGTATTTTGGATATTTGTGGGTGGGGGGGATCTGGGGATGGGTTCATGCTAATATGTCGAGCTTGGTTTGATATCAAGTGACTGTTGGTGTGTGGGAGCTAGGGATGGTGAAAGGAAGTTATATGGCTAGTAGGGATCAGTGCAGTGTGATCTGCTCAAACGCCATTGCATCATTTCTCTAAAACAACAGTCATAGTAAGTAGTGTAGTGGTAGTGAGTAAAAATACAATTTATATCAATGGAAAATCGAACATCGAGAAAAGACCACGCAGCCCGCGACATATGTATACACCATCCCCAACCCAGGATGTGATATCAAAAATAAAGTATGAACAATCTTAGTTCTTCTCACCCTGCTGCTGCTGCTCCGTCCTCTCGCGGAACTCACCCTCGGCCAACACCTCGGATCTCACACCCTTCTGACCGGGCATGACATGATCGCGAGACAACTCCAACTCACCATGTCTCACACGCTCAGGCCAAGCCTCCGCAAACCGCGCATCATGCAGATCCCTCCAAAGGATCTTAACTCCCTGATCCTCCAACGCACCAGTGGTATCCGCGGTCTCCTGGACCTTATACTCGACGACCTCACTGCTCAGCGCCTGCTCCAATCCAGCCACCCTCGCAGCCTGCTCCGCAGCAACCTGCTCCTCCTTAGCCCTAGCAGCACGTCTCCTCTTCCGCGCGGTAGGGGTCAGATAGCCCCTCTTTCCATTCGCAAAGCCATTCTGCACCTCCTCTTCCTGGATCTTCAGCACGGCCGCGATATCTGCCACACTGGTGGCCTTTTGATCCATGACGGCGCGCTTGCGGTGGTGCTTGGGCATGATCCGGCCGATCTTGTCCTTGTATTTCTCGAGGAAGTCTTCGGCGCCCTTCGGGTCGCGGGGACGTTTCTGGTCGATCCAGGCGTCCGTGATGGTGATCATTTCTTTGGGCGGGGAGAGTTGGCGCTGCATGGAGAATTCCCGGAGGAGGTGGTATGCTCGTAGCCCGATCTTGCTGTCGTTGAAGTGCACGCTGAAATAGGGGACCCACATGTCTTTGCGGAGGCGGGCGGGAACGGTCTTTTTGCCGTGGTAGAGGAGTTGTTTGAGAGTTGTGTTGTTCTGTTTTATGTTGAGTTAGTGGTGTGTTTTCTTCGTCTGCTTGATATGGGATCGATAGATTGATGGGTCCACTTCGACCTGGTAAGCTAGTGGAAGAGAGACTCACCTCCAAATACCGAGTCAGAGAGTACACGACTTGATTCGTGCGGATATTGTGGTAGGCAAAGATGTTCTTGCCATGGGTAAGTGCCTTCAAGGCCTTTCGTAACCGAGTTCCCTCCTTGGCCTGATGCGTCTTGAACGCATTGGAGTTCTGCTCGCGCGGTTTGCCCTGGATGATGCTGTGATTCTCGACGGGTGGGCGGCGCACAATGTTCCACGTCCCGATCTTGGTCGGGTCCAGGATCTTCTGGAAGGGCGTCTTCGTCACCTGTTGCGAGGCCATCGCGGCCGGGTGGTCACCGTACTCCGCGTGACCGGATTCTCTTCTTTAGATGATGGCGATGGCGGGGAGGATCGTGGTGGAATAGAGCCGACGGTTGCTTCGTCGTTCACTCTATTTACCGAATTGAGCCCAGATCCGGAGAGATCGGGGGAAATTGGTGGGTGTGGTTGGGGGTGAATTGGACGAAGCTCCGGGAGAGAGAGAGAGAATGGAGGGAATGAGAGAAGGTCGGCGGATCAATTTTTCGACGGAGATCCCGACCGGGCGAGGGATTCCGCCGGCAACCCAACTAACTTGCTGGCTTCATTCAACCAGATCCATGTTAAAGGTTGAGGATCAGCAACGCTAAATTATCGGGAAAAGTTTTGTTATGAGTTTGTCTTTCGATTGCATTCGTCCCTGGTGATATATCTCTGTCCTCTGCTTAGGATGACCCGACATTCAGCGCGTGCGCAGTGCGACAGCTAAGCTTCCCCTCCGACTGTCTGTCTGCTATGGCGCTGCCGGCGACCGCCTGGGGATTCGCGGACAACGACGACGACACTGGCAGTCGCCGTGTAAGACCTGGCTTGTTTCTTCCGGTACATTACCATCCTACGATCTTTGAGTATACCCATTGAGGCACCCCGCTGATGCTTTACGCCCAGAATCGCAAGCTTCGCCATCTGCAGGGCCTCTCTGTCCGGAATCTCGTTGTTAGCCCGCCGAGTCGACCGCGCGGGAAGACCATCGACGATGACAACATCCCCAACTCGCTACATACGCCTTTGAAAGCACTCGCCGAAGATGCAGCGAAACCCTTACATCAGTCGCGCTCCTTCACCGACCTTAAGTCGACCCCCGCCTCCAGCGCAGAAGGCCGCCCTCGCAAAGAACAGCCACCCCCGTTGCGACAATGGCAGAGGAGGAACACGCTACCCTGGAATGGACCCAATCCACGCGCGCGGCAGGTGAAGCTGGAGGAGATCACGAGCAGCCGCATGGCAGATACATGGTTCTCGATTCACTGCGACGGAGTCGACGAGCCGGTTTACGTGAGTGAGGTGGTCGAGCATGCCACCAACCCCAGCTTCCGGTCTTTCGATCTAAATATATGTGGTCCGGCCATCGCTCGCCGTGATCAGGTTACGGTGAAGGTCTGGGCACGCACAGCGGCCATGGAGGAGTACTTGCTACTGGTGGAATTGCAGCTGTGCTTGCAGTCCTTGCAATTTTTGGGGAAGTCGCTGGATAACTTCCATCAGCCGCTCCCACCGAATTCGATCCTGTTTCATTTCGCAGATGGCGTCTATACCAATCTAACTGATCTTCCCCCTGTGGTCACTCCTGTACCTTCCCGCCACCCCCGATCCGCCGATGGTGCCACGTTACCGACGTCGTCGTACGATGCGCTGATGCGATTGGCCAATTTGGACGAGTGTATCCAGGATGCCCTGACGACTCGAGATAAGCTGGAGGCGCAAATAAGCTTGATATTGGAAGAGAACCAGCGCGCGCTGACTACGACCAGTAATGCTTCACGGGCTCGGGATAAGCTCGCGCTCACCAAGCATGCCGTTGCGACGGAGCGAAAGCAGCTTCGCAGTGCAACGAAGCGGAAGGAAGAATTGCTCGCCAGTCTTCAAGCGAGACGAGAGGCCATGGAGCGTGGACGCCAGACACAAGCCAGGGCGCGCAGTCATCTCCCGGACGCGCAGGAGAAACTGGGCTCGAGCGTGAAGTTGCTAGAACAAAACACGGACGAGGGCCGGGGTCAGATCCGACGCATGTCCGAGGACCTGCTTGCGATTTATCCTATTGAACCCATCCCGGACAAGCCGCTTGCTTTCACCATCGCTGGAATGGCCTTGCCCAACTCGAATTTTACGGATGTCGACCGCGATGGGGTTGCGGCTGCGTTGGGATATACCGCGCATCTCGTGTATCTGCTGTCGTTCTACCTGTCCATTCCGCTGCCGTACCCGATAAACCCGTATCTGTCGCATTCGCTGATCCAGGACCCGGTGTCTGCGTCGCTGCCGCAACGGACGTACCCGCTCTACCCGGTGAATGTGCAATACCGGTTTGAGTATGGAGTATTCCTGCTGAACAAGGACATTGAGTTCCTGTTGAATAAGCAAGGGCTGCGCGTGCTCGACATCCGACATACCCTCCCCAACCTGAAGTATCTGCTGTACGTGCTCACGGCGGGCACGACGGACATCCCTGCGCGCAAAGCTGGGGGCATCCGGGGCCTATTGCCCGGGCGATTGACCCCGAGTTTGTCGCGCCGGGGCAGCGAGGCCAGCAGTACTAATGGTGAGACGGTCTTCCCTCGCAAAGGAGTGAGTTCAGTGATAAGTGCCAACGGGGAAGCGATAGCGCCCGACAAGGGAAAGCGAGCCATGGCGAGTACTAGTTTGGCTGATGCAGCGCCATCTGTGGCCTGAACGTCTGGGTTTTAACTTGATTTTCTCTATGTGTGTATGATTTAGCTTTGGGATCTCCCTACACATGACATGATCATGCTTGTTGCGATTGATGCTGCTTGGGTCTTGCATTTGTAGGCCATGTTTGGAGTCGAGCGTGTACATTTTTTTTTTTTTCTTTTTTTTTGTTTCTTTGAATTCCCTCTTTCTATTTTCTCCTTTTTGTTCTTCTCACTTCTTTGTTTTTTCTTTTCTCGAGCGGTCGAGTGGATGGGCTGTCTGTCCTTCCACTCACCCGCTTATCGGATTTAATTTATTTGACCGTCGGAGGCGCGCTCAGGCTGTCCGTGTACATAGTGATGATATCTTTCTAAGCCTACTACACCCGAATTGATGAATGATAATTTGACTGCAATGGGGGAGTTAGAGTCGGAGGGGTCTTCCTGTATCTCCACCATTCCGACGGTCTGGAAAGAGTCATTTTGAAAGTAGATAATGTTACGTATCGGTGCTGAGAGACCGAGGGTAAGAAAGGAGGAATGGAAGATGCCTGGAGGGGATGGCGGAGAAAGCGACCGGAGCGACCGGGTAAGACAGGCAAATCTACTCGATTCATCTTAGACCCAGAGTCTATTGCCATTCGCTTTGATAACAGGAACTGGTAGTGGACGCAAGGGCAGGGGAATGCTTTCCCCCAAGGAAGGAAGAGAGAGAGAGAGAGAGAGAGAAATCTCTACGAGTAATCCAACGCCGTGTGAATCAAATGAATGAATGAATTGGTTTGAGAATTCCTACCCCGCATTTTGGATGGCTGTACACCTGACTGACACACACACAAAATGAAGCAGAAAATGAAAGAGTGAATACTTTCTAGTGTGGTTGTTGTTTTGTTTTATCAATATTCCCACCCTCCATCATCATCATTAACCACCATCTTCCCCCCAATAAGTTCTTGCTGCCTGGTTATCCGCGGAGAACTTCCGGGCCGGGACGAAACCAGGACCAGCGCCGTTTAGAATCTGGAACTCAGCGACTGGATCTTCGCCCACAAAAAAGCGTTCCCCCCCCCACCGCTTTTTGTCGCTTTGCATCGGCAGTCCCTCTGGCCTGAATATCCACTCTCTACCTCAAACTATGGCGGCGCCTGCGAGTAACGGCCAGCACCACCACGACGCCGCAGTCTCTGCCTCTCAGTCCCTCTATTCCCACGACCCCCGAGCTCCGAAATCGCCCTCCCCCCAACTCCAGCAGCAGCTCCAGTCCCAACAGCCCCAGCATCGGCGTGGCTACCAGGCCTGCGACCCTTGCCGAAAGCGCAAAGTCAAGTGTGACCTTGGCAGTAAGTCCCTACTTACTTTCCCCCCGCTTGAATTAATTAACCTTCTCCCCTCTTCCCCCCCGGTTACTTTTCCCTCGATGCTTATTCGTCCCCCGCAGGTGTCGATAATCCCCGTCCCCCGCCCTGTGTACGATGCCGCCGCGAAAGCAAGCGCTGCGAGTTCTCCGCTACTCGGCGGAAGCGCAAGCCCTCCGAAGTGGAGGAGCCCACCGAGGCCGTCCTGCGACGCGATAAGCGGATGATGGTGGGCGAGGTCATCTCGAATAGCGGATCTGTCAGTGATGGAGGCTCATCCTATGCGCCCGAGCGCACCTCTTCCTTCGATAACAGTACCAGCCTCTCTCGACCCAAATGGACCGAGGAATCGCCCGCCGCGAACAATGCTCAGCTCCCGTCGTCTTCTACGCCCAGTCAGCGGTTCCCTTCTAATCCGTCGCCGTCCGGAAATGCGCCGTTCGCCGAACCGAGAAGCACGCGACTGCCCATGTACCCAGCTGCAGAGCGGAGCCATGCGGCGAGCTTCAGCCTCGAGGGCGGCCAGCCCATGATGAACCGGACTGCGGTTGAGTTGTTGTCGCCGGCCATCAGTAACAGTCATGATGCATTACACCTCTTATCGGAAGCGGCTGGTCGGACGGAGGATCTCAACCGCCAGAGTCTGGAGAACCGGTATGCTGCGCGCCAGTCGGTTTCATCATTCAATTCACCCATGTCTCCGCTCACGCAGGCTGGTACGCCCCGGAGTGGAGGCGGGTCGTTCTCTCGACCACCCCGCTCCGGGACCGTGCCCGGGGGTACGTACTATTCTGCGGGCGCATCAGGGTCTGCTGATGCGCGACTGCCGGATGGTCGTGGCCCGGCGGACGCTGCAGAAACGGCACAGGACCCCGGGTTCGTGGATGCGGTCAAGGCTTGGTCGCGACTACGGTTTGTTCGTGCAGGATGGCTGTCTGTGGAAGAGTCGATGGCCTACGTAGCGTATTACTACGAGCATCTCGCCCCGCTCAGCCCTATTGTGATTCCGGATTTTTCACATCCCTCCACCCATCGGACGTTGCTTACAGACGAGCCGGTGCTGGCGGTAACCATTCTTACGACAGCGTCGCGGCATATGAAGCCCAAGGGTGACGGCGCTTACACGCGTGCCTTCTACATTCATGACCGGCTCTGGTCATACCTCCGCGGCATGATTGAGCGTTTGTTACTGGGGCCAGGAAAAGTTTGGTGGAAATGGCGTAGGAATTAGTGGGCCACGTTCGTTTGACCTCGCGCCGACCTCGTCAAAGGTTAGCCACAAGGGCAACCTGAGGTCACTAGGCACCATTGAGGCGCTGCTGATATTGACGGATTGGCATCCGCGGAACCTCCACTTTCCACCCGGTGACGACGAAAATGCCTTGCTGGACCTGGACGCGCAAACGCAAAGCCGATACGAAAAGGAACTCGAAACAGAGGTTGACAATTCGGCCAACCGGGTCCCGAACAGTGCTGCTGAAGGGAGGCTGGCCTTCCAGAAGTGGCTGGAGCCCGCCTGGCGGTCGGACCGGATGTCGTGGATGTTGCTGAGTACCGCACAGGCGTTGGCGTTTGAACTGGGAGTGTTCGACCAGAAGAGCGACGCCAAAGTTGCCGGCGAATCCCCATCCGAGCAGACGCGCAAACGTCGGCTCCGGCGTTTGATTCTGGTATATATCACCCAGAGCAGTGGTCGCTTGGGTATCCCATCCATGCTGCCGCTGCCCCAGTGGACCAACGACATTCAGCCGACATCGGCCACCGCCGCCAAGGGGGCAGATACCATAGTCGACCGGATGCATGATTGCTGGATCGGAATTTCTAAGATCATGTACCAGAGCAATCAACTCTTATTTGCATCGAGCGAGCAGACGTCGGAGCTCATTCGCAGCGGTCGTTATCGGGATCAGATTGACCGGTTCCAGCCGTTCTTGCGCGAGTGGCGACATAACATTGACACGATCGATTGTGAGTGCTCTCTAACTGGTGGGCTGGACGCTGGCCGGATGCTAATCGTCATACGCAGTGTCTCCTTCAATGCGGTGTATCTTGATGATTGAATATGAATATACCCGTACGTAGTTAACTTTATGTGGTTACGACGTCCGACTCGCTGACTCTTTCAGGACTCTATGTCAACTCTTTGGCTTTGCAGGCGGTGGTGGATCGCTGGACGACAATGTCGAATGAGGCTGCTCAGGCCCAGAATGCGCGCCCCAATTCTGGTCCATCCTCGGGCACCGGTTGGTTTCATGTGCTCATGGAATTATATCGTGTCAACGAGCAGTACATCCAGGAGGTAGTCGATGCCTCCCGCAAAATCTTGCAGACAGTACTCGAGATTCTGGTCCCGCGCGACCACCTCAAGCATGCCCCTGTCCGGACGTGCTTTCGTATTCTGTCGGGGATGATTTTCATCTTGAAGGTAGGCCCCTTCGGTTCCCCCGTAGGCCGTGGCTCCGCTGACATTTTCCCAGACTTTCACGCTTGGTGCCAAAGAAGATGATGTGCGTGTGTCGCTGGACCTCCAGGATCGCACCATCGAAGCCTTGAAGACCTGCGTAGTCGACGATGTTCACCTAAACCACGCGATTGCGCGATTGTTGGAATTGCTCACCACCAGCATTCGCACGCGTTTTCTGCGTTTCGCCCCCTTGGACCGCAGCGGCGATGGCGAACAAGAACGCCCATCCGCACCAGTCTCACGGCATCAGTCGCCGCGGCCGCGTGAAGGGCCACAAAACCGCCGGGAAGGGTCGGCGCATGCCTGGACGCCAGCGCAGAGTGCGACACAAAATCTGGGATATGTCGATAGCAATAGCCAGACGGGGACCAGCATGACTTCTGTCCATGATCCGCTGGCCGGTATCCCTGCCCAGCCGATCAATTCGTCCAACATCAATGTCTCGTTCATGCCCCCTCCTCCATCAGTGTACTACAACTACTACGACCCCAGCGCAACTCCGCCGGCGGGCGAGCTGGACGGGTCTAATGTTCCGTCTCAGGCGATGCACGATAATCCAGGTACGTCCGGCGGATTGCCCGACTGGTTTGCGCTGCCACTCGACCAGTTTTTCAACAGTTCGACGGCCGTGGTGGACCAGGGTCTGGGAGGCACGGGCCCCATGGTGGGCGAATTCGACATGCTGGAGGTGCTTCTAAATGAACAGTATGACGGTCATGAGGGGATAGAGTCGGCTGGCGGAGGGAACCTTCCGTCACAGTTTTTGCAATCGTGATCATCGATGGTCTCATGAATGTACGAATTTACGCGTCGTAGCTTCTTCCTCTTTTTGCTTGGATTCTTGCTAGTTCCTTTCTGTACACTTCCGCTTTTGGCTTGTGATCTTGATTGCTAGAGATGTATATCCTCACGGATACCGCCGGAGTGCGCCATTTCTGGTTACCTTCTCTTTCCCTTTTTGTCTCGATCGTGAGGCGGAACGCAGGATGAAGACACGGCTTCTCCATCGCGGCCCACCAACCAACAATGTCCTTGGACGCCCAACTCTCCATCTACTGGTCATTGGTCCAATGCAGAGACTCCGTCGAGCTCAAATGGGCCGGCCAACCCCGAGTCGTCAGGGGCAGCGGCAGCGACGAGCTAAATTAGACCACTGATAAGACGCGATAGTCCAAAGTCTGACCGTCACATTGTGCCAGGCAGATAAGTTGAATCGTGTGACTGGATGTTGGCTAACGTATGGCGTCTCCGGAGGCCCGACGGACCCTGCGCGATCGGCGGTGGAGCGCAATCTAAGGACATCCGCGCCTAAGATATCTACCCTTCAGCAGTTCAGCCTAGCCCTGCAGACTTGTCGGACCAGTGCTATCGTGATCGGCCCCCACGGTCGAATGAGCTCTTGTCTCTTTCCGTCAGACCCTGCCAGTTAATCTGCTATCTACTCCGCGGTAACATCGTGCCTGTCTCCACTAAGGCAGGGTCCAGGGCTGTATGTCTTACTTTGCACCGAGTCGGCCGCCGGTTGGCTCTGTCTTGGCAATTGCGAATATCCTCACGGGCGACGGACGACACGGATTTGGACGGACATGCGGAGATCTTCGTCGGTTTATTCCTGGAAGGGACATCATCTCCTTCCATCATGACGGCTGCCATAGCGGGGACTCTGAGACATTTTTGCTCTGAAGAGCATGGTCGACTTGGATGATGGAGGAGTTGATCGAGGTCAATGAGGAGAGGCTTGCAAGTATAAGAAGAGACTGCTCGACCAGCAGAATGGATCTTCTTGTTCATCAACCAAGAGTCCAAGGCTTCTTTGTCTGGTTCTATCTCTTCTCCGAACTCTCTTGCTTGACATTCTCGTGGTCAAAATGGTCGTCTTCAGCAAAACCGCTGCCCTCGTTCTGGGTCTGTCCTCCGCCGTCTCTGCGGCGCCGGCTCCTACTCGCAAGGGCTTCACCATCAACCAGATTGCCCGGCCTGCCAACAAGACCCGCACCATCAACCTGCCAGGCATGTACGCCCGTTCCCTGGCCAAGTTTGGCGGTACGGTGCCCCAGAGCGTGAAGGAGGCTGCCAGCAAGGGTAGTGCCGTGACCACGCCCCAGAACAATGACGAGGAGTACCTGACTCCCGTCACTGTCGGAAAGTCCACCCTCCATCTGGACTTTGACACCGGATCTGCAGATCTGTAAGCTTCCCTGCTCGGGTGTTCGGGCAAATCGTGACTAACCTGGACTAGCTGGGTCTTCTCGGACGAGCTCCCTTCCTCGGAGCAGACCGGTCACGATCTGTACACGCCTAGCTCCAGCGCGACCAAGCTGAGCGGCTACACTTGGGACATCTCCTACGGTGACGGCAGCTCGGCCAGCGGAGACGTGTACCGGGATACTGTCACTGTCGGCGGTGTCACCACCAACAAGCAGGCTGTTGAAGCAGCCAGCAAGATCAGCTCCGAGTTCGTTCAGAACACGGCCAATGACGGCCTTTTGGGACTGGCCTTTAGCTCCATCAACACTGGTGAGTCAATCCTACATCAGCCGGGTTGACCTACCTGCTGACCGATACACAGTCCAGCCCAAGGCGCAGACCACCTTCTTCGACACCGTCAAGTCCCAGCTGGACTCTCCCCTTTTCGCCGTGCAGCTGAAGCACGACGCCCCCGGTGTTTACGACTTTGGCTACATCGATGACTCCAAGTACACCGGTTCTATCACCTACACGGATGCCGATAGCTCCCAGGGTTACTGGGGCTTCAGCACCGACGGCTACAGTATCGGTGACGGCAGCTCCAGCTCCAGCGGCTTCAGCGCCATTGCTGGTAAGAACCGCCTTCATTTAACACACAACTTGTCCACCTCTTTACTAACTAGTGTATAGACACCGGTACCACCCTCATCCTCCTCGATGACGAAATCGTCTCCGCCTACTACGAGCAGGTTTCTGGCGCTCAGGAGAGCGAGGAAGCCGGTGGCTACGTTTTCTCTTGCTCGACCAACCCCCCTGACTTCACTGTCGTGATTGGCGACTACAAGGCCGTTGTTCCGGGCAAGTACATCAACTACGCTCCCATCTCGACTGGCAGCTCCACCTGCTTTGGCGGTATCCAGAGCAACAGCGGTCTGGGACTGTCCATCCTGGGTGATGTTTTCTTGAAGAGCCAGTACGTGGTCTTCAACTCTGAGGGCCCTAAGCTGGGATTCGCCGCTCAGGCTTAGATTATCCACTGAAGTGGAGTCTATGATCTGCTGATTGATCCCTCGACGATGAACTACATGTGGAAATGCATAGCAGACGAGGGTGATGGTGATGATGTTGATTTGATGATGACCCGTACATACTTGATGAAGCTCGGTACATATGCAAATGTGACTGTATCTATGTGATGAATATATGTATCCATCTCATGGCTTTTGGCTATGAGTGCAGGATAAACACCTGAACCAGTAGTAGTACTTTCCCACCTATATCTACTGCGGTGCCTCGTCCGGCCCAACATCACCCCAGAGGTGGCCGCAGAGGAGTCTTATAAGATAGCTACTATCAGTTACAACACCTCTCTGACAGATGTGAAGGAGTACAATAAATCACCGAAACACAAATTCAACTAAAGTCGGTAAGTAATAATAATTTAAGACCCAATCCACGCAATGTTAAACTATCTCTGGTGTTGAAAGATCTCTCCCCTGGCAACACCTAGTTGTGGGAGAACTGTGTTTGCCTGCCTATAGTTCCGTTGACGCTCGTGGGAAAGTGCAGTTACATAAATATAATAAGAAAGAAGAGTTGTAGTTTAGATTATTAATAGGTTTTAATAGTCTAGTCCTCTATAATCGCACAGTTAAAATATTATCATGTCAATAAGCAAAACTACCACCGCTCCGCAATGGTTGTGGTTAATAGAGATAGTAGTAAGTTCCTGGCGAAGAAGTTGTGAACTTGCCTGGAATTGCGAAAATTGGGGACGGGTGCGTTAGATAGGGGACACTCCGACGCCCAAATGAACCACATCAAATAAGTCGACTTTTGGAAACCATTTCCACACAAGTAGCCCTTGTGGCGCAATCGGTAGCGCGTAAGACTTGCAAGTACCCCCGAAGACTCCTTTACATCAAACACCTTACTAACCATCTCTGCAGCTAATCTTAAGGCTGTGGGTTCGACCCCCACCAGGGGCTTTCTTTTTTATTTATCTTTTTTCCCCTTTGATTTCGCATTCAACTTCAAGCTTTTTTGAAACATATGAGGCGCCTCCCTTATGTCCTTTTCCTTTCTTTCTTTCTTTCTTTCTTATGTCATCTCGTCCTTCTGCTATCAACAAACGTGACTTGTTTGCGCAATTACATCATGCTTCATAATCACATGAACGGCCCGCTCATTTGCTTTTTTTGTCTAACCTCAAGCAAGAAGCTGCTGTGAATGCAAGCTAATATGGCATGATATTGTACCCGCCACTAACCAAGGAGGCCCTTGTGGCGCAATCGGTAGCGCGTAAGACTTGCAAGTACCCCACCACCCCTTTATTACAGCATCCTTTGCTAACTATCTCTACAGCTAATCTTAAGGCTGTGGGTTCGATCCCCACCAGGGGCTTTACATTCTTTTTCATTTTCTTTTTGGTACATTCCTTATTTTTCGTAGTATTTACCTTAAGAAACTATAATTGACTAACTGGGCTGGGTCATGATAATGTTATTGACAGTATACTGCCTAGCAAGATGGTGTTTTATAATATCAATCAGCTCCTCCCCCCCTTCCTCCGGCGAATTTCGAGATAGACGCTGAATGTTCACTGCAACAAAGGAAAGGGAAGGAAGAGGGGGGGCGGGTACATGGGAAATCACATCAACACACGATTAACGAGGCAGTGGACTGGTATGTGCCCCACGCCTAAATCGTTCAAGCAAAGGATGAGCAGTATTTTCATTACCAATGTGGATAAACCGTCTCGGGGACTGCGAGATCTCTTCCAATGATTTCTTCTCCAGAACCTCCACGAAGGTGTTCGCCTTGAATACCATACCCATGGCCGAATTTGTTGCATAGTATACCACTTCACGACCGAAGGAATCGGTGTATCTAATCCGGAAAGCTAGACGGAGGGCCGGATCATCATGAGCTTCAGAGCTTGAGGTTGCATATAGACTTGTATGCGTTTCTCCCCGAGGACAAAGCTCTAGTTTGACAAAGACCTTTCCATCCATGATATCCATATCATCCGGGAATAGAATCTCGCAATAGTAAATAAAGATGTGGCGCCTGAGCTGGTCTTTGAGATTATAGCTATATTCAGTATTTTGGACGCCTTCATTTTTCCACACAACGCTTTTCACGCCCTGCCGCTTCTTGTCACCGGTCTCGGCGATGACGGGCTGTTCAGCAGTGGCATCCACAGAGTCAAGAAAACCTTCGTCTATAACTCTGGCTGTAAGGCCTTGAAGGATACTCGTGGGAGTTTCGTAGTCCCTATCCTCTGCCTCAGCTTGACACTGTTCGACCAGTTTCTGCATTTCTTCTGCGCCCGCCTGAGGCTCTTGGCCCTGTAACCGCGAAAAGGATCTCAGTGCTACGATAGACTCCAGATCGGTGGATGGCACATCACTTCCTCCTTGTTCGGGGCCGGTAGATAGACTCCCCTCGCCTTGAGGCCACGGTGTCTCGGCACGCAGCTGAGATAATTGGTTTCTGTAGTCTGTTTCCCGCTCGTCCAAACGCTTGTGAACGAAGTCTCCCATCTTTTGATACTGCTGCATATCGAAGGGCTTATGAACTCTCACTCTTTCAGTGATTCTTCCGCTAGGCTGCGAACATCTTTCTTTGGGTTTGTTCTCATCGCTTTTCGGCCTTCTTGGAAGGAATTTCAAGACCATTAGAAGGCCACGAGTAAGTGAGCCACCAATCTTCTCTATTTCTTTGATATCTTCAGCTTTTCCCATATTTCTTCTGGCTAGCCAGAGTCGGACACCCTCGTCCACAGTGTCAGCAGTCAGAGCTTCTCCCCCGAGTCTTTCTTTCCTTGCTTGGCGCAATATATAACCGACGACACTGCTGTTCTCACAGAAAAACGGCCGAATCTCGTGCTTTAGCGATGGGATGAAGTTAACAGCAAATCTGAGAGCCTCGCTTATCTTGATACTATGTCTTGCGCTAACGGACCAGATCTCTGCGGGTAGAGGAGGGCAGCAGATAAAAAGACGATTCCGGACGGTGTCGCGATAGCAGTGTATAGTCAAATCCGCGTAGGGACAGAGTATGCCGCGAAGGCACCACAATGGCTCGTATAAGCTTTTCGGATTGAGGCCCACATAAGAAAACGATCTTGGCTTGGCTGGTTGCGAGCAAAGTTTCGTGAAATCTTCTGGCACCGGGATCTGTCAGTAATGTCATGGCCGAGATGCTTAAGGCCTATACTCGCAAAATCCCGGAAGTCGTAGGTCCAGACGAGGATGTTGTTTTCAGTAAAACCACATCCGTCCAAGGACCATGGGATTGTGAGCGTCTGTCGGTTGTCGTCATTATTACTAGCCCTCATAGGCATATCATCCGCCCCAGAAACAGCAGCATAGTCAAGAATTGCGGCAACCTCGGAGGTTAAACTACCACAAAATGGTATATAAGCCAAATCCTCACTGAGATCGGGTTCTTTTTGTTGTAGCTGGAGTGATTCTTTGACCTCCTCAAAGGCCCCTTCGTCATTGTGCAGAGCGAGTCGCAATGCTTTGTCAAAGTCTCTCTGGAACACGGCCCGATTGCTTCCTTTCCCACCCACCTCCCTCTGTTTACCAGCAGCTGACTTCTGTCGTGAGTTGAAAACGGCCCAGTGCTGGATCTGTCGGTCTGGTGCCTTACTAGGACCAGCATTTGCCTTGGTTCGAAGTTCCTTGTTCAGGGCTGTATTCCCCTGCACAAGCGGTGACATTATATTAAGACCCCATCCCAAGCCAGAGCTTGAGGCCTTGCCATCATCCTGGTGCTCCGAGCCCAGTCGATTCAACATTCCATGGTGGGTTCTGAAAGCTTTGCAAAATAGAGCTTCAAGCAGATTGCTGCAGGCTTGGTACCACGTATCATTCACCGTGTCCTTAGGGAAACTCCAAAGCTTGATAAATCTAGCATATCGGTGACCGTTTCCTATCCACAGGTTGAAATAATAGAGGCTTGCTGTTGAATTGTTCATGATTTGTTGAGCATGTTGGCACACAATTCGCCGCCATGATAAAGAGCATTGGCCTACATATAATCTCCACCACAATGGATCTCGGTCATCACAGATTAAACTTGCGTATCCTGAAGGCATATTCCAAGGCTCATCATTATCAATTTGCAAAGCGACGATCGTGTTCAGCGCGGCATTGGTTACTTCATGGCCCTGAAACTGGATAATATGCGGATTTATAAGCTGAATAAGATATTCTGCTACTGTATCTGCACCACCATGCTCATTGATAATCTCGGGGTAGTTACAATGAGGCGATGAAGATCCCGGTAGTAATTTCTGTATAATCTCACTAATCATTTCGCTGCACAGTGATTTGAGGAACGGAAAGATAAAGTTTTCTTGTAGTAGTAGCTCCTAAGGCTGGTCAATACTAATAGCAGTTTCTGGCAGTTATATACTTACATTTCTTACGTTTTCATCGATAGCAAACCACCTCTTTTCTGAATGCTCGGGTGACTGGACAGAGATATTCAGATTAACTAAAGAGTAATGACCCGATGTCTTCTGTCTCTTGAAGGATTTTAATTCTGATGTCGAGATCAGTCTCTTGGAAGTGGTGGAGAATATTCCATGCTGCTTAGATCTATCTGGAACTGGGCTCAAGCCAATGTTTAAAGCGTCAGCAGATCTGTATGGTGTGCAAGTACTTTCTTCTGCGTAACAACGTACATTCTGGCGAATTTGGACAGACAACTTGATGATGTCCTTTAGTTTTGCATCTCCTGCACGAAGATTACGTGCAGGAGATGATGTTATGGTTCCCTTTGCAGTAGATGCAATACTTATGCTCAGGGCAGTATTTGTCGATGTGCGCCAAAGACTTGCAGTATCGACACGCTTTTTCTGGGTTATAGGACATGATTCCGAGCCAGTGTGATCTATATTTCTCAGAGCGACAACCAGGTGCACTACTGAAACCAACATCCCGGTACTGTGAGATGCAACGAGAAGAGTTGCCCCGCGAATTTCAAAAACTCCATGGTATTAAGTAGTACCTTAAAAACGTGACCAGAAATAGGCAGCTGCCATTCAGAGTTACACGTGTGCACACAAGGTGACATAAACTAGATACCTCATATGACTGGGCTATCATCACGGCTATCTCTCATACATCCCCGAAGTAATCCCCATCCAAAGCTATTCCCAAGGCCACTAAGTAATAGAAGCTAAGTTGAGACGATACAGCCCCAAGCTTCAGGTAAGTGAGTAGCCAGTATAAGATTAAATCGAGCTAATAGCCTGGGAGCATACGGTAAGCCCAAAGAGATCATATACTGATCATTAGTGATGTGACTCCATTTGGCAATTCCTCTCGTTTAAAACGCTGTCAGGATAAAACCATTAATACTAGTATCGCAGTATCACGAAGTATCGGGTATGAATCCTCAAACAACTCCAGCGGAGATAGTAGTATCGTCCCATGCCTTAGGCGAATTCTCTTCACTGGCATCATCACTTCACATCATCGCATAGTAGGAATCTTTTCCTCCGCTCCCCCATCACCTCCTAGTAGTCTCTCATTCCATTCCATTCTAGTCTCGTTTCTACCTCTCACTACTTGATAGAGGTAAGTAAGCAGTGAGTACTAGTATATACAGTTATACGAATATATATACCATCCAGATTAATTTCCTCCAGTGAGAGAAAAATCAGGCACTTGAGCGCGTAGTAAGTCCTCCGTATACTATATATATATATATACTACCTGGTTGCACATAACGATAGTAGTATACTACTACTAGTAGTAGTACTATAGTATCATGTGAGCTAGCAACTCATCATCACTACCATTTATACAACTAATAGTTGTTTCAGCTAGAAATAGAAGGAAAGGACGGATTGGATGGATAGTACTATCGATGCATGCACTGGTATAAATTGGATTCTACTCTGCTAGTTCGGTGGTAGTGTAAGAATCAAATCAATAATAAATCGAATCAAGGGTAGATGACTAAGTGGGGATTTTATAATGGTGTTTGATTATAATTCTTGAAGGAGAGGAGGAGGTCGATGTTTTTGAGTAGTTAGTATACAATTAGTGTTGTGAAACTGTTACAACTTCACTATCTATTTACTTCGTTGGCGGACAGTTAGTAAGTAGTACCACACCAACTAAGGTATGAGTCAAGCTCTTTCAGTAAATCAGAACACTTCCACATACTATAGTATTGAACTAAATTTTAGAGAGGAGGTTGTCATTGCTCATATTGCTATGGTATGGTAAGGTAAGGTATAATAATATACTATCTACTAACCGAGTATCTGCTCGAGTTGATGCTCATCCTAACCCCCATGGTCAAGAGGCTAGAAGGGGGCACACAATGCATGCTATATATAATCCCGACAGGAAACCCCGACGATTGCCGTAGGTCACCCAATTAAAGCCAAATATTGTTCATGAAATAAGAAGAATCGAGAAGATTCCCAGGGTATTGTTTTATCGACACCGTACGCCAAATTCATAACTCCTGTTTGTCCAGTCCCCATATCTCCCAATGTTGCAGCACATCCCAGCCAACGCGTCGAACGCGCCGTCGCCAGTATCGACCATCGCGAAGGATTTGCGGAACGCAGGGATTCAAACTTGGGTCGGGTGTTTGCTCGTCTGCCGGCTGGTTGGCTTCTCCTGATTCTGTAGTAGGGGTGTCCTCTTCTCGTGCCCGCTTACCCAGTACTGAAGGGGGGGAGGTGTCCATTTCTCTGCGAGGGCACCATTGCGTTATGGCCATTGGCTGTCGGGGAGGGTCCCCCGGCTGGTGGACTCTTATCGTAGCCTACGTTGGCTTCTGCGCTGGTAGCCCGGGAGCCCGTGGGCGTTTGTAGCTGGACGTGTCCATAATTCTCGGCCTGCTCGGCTGGCACGGTGTAGTAGTCTCCTAGTTGGAAGCCTTTGCGGCCCAGACCAATGACCTTCAGCCGGTGGAAGACTTGCTGGTCTGCAAGGGACTCGCTGAGCCTCGCGATTAAGGTGTCGTCGTCAGCTTCCACAAGGTCGGAGAGCGTCCGGGCGGAGGTGAGCGCATTAGCAGATGGAGAGAAGTATTTGAACGTCTTAGGGAGCGGCCCAGCACGAGCTGTCTCGKACGGTGAGGGGCAGGTGGGAATGAGAAGACGCAACGCCTTGAGATTTCGGAGGAATGGAAGAAGAAGCCCCAATGCTTCCAGGTCGGAGAATTCTGTGGCGAAGCCCAGCTGCTCCAATTGCGGACTGGCGTGGACGAGGCGCGCGACCGTCGGTGCAGACAGGGGCCAGCGAGCGGGGAGTAAGAGATGTCGTAAGGTGGCAGCATGATTCATAGTGATGTTGTTCAGGTATAGGTCTCGGATGCTTGCTTGCAAACTGGGGGAGTTGCTTGCAGCGGCAGAGCAGCTGGTGGATGTACCATTAGTAGCGGGTTGAGAGGTGTCAGACGAAGGGGGAGAGAGTGCGGCAGAAGAGGTCAAAGGTCGAGGGGAGTTGATATCGTCGTTGGGATTAAGAGTGGCATTGACAAAGTATAACCGTTCCAGACCGGTAAACTGGTTAAGAAACTGCGCATGTTTCTTGCTCACGGCATCCTGTCGGATTGCTTTGATACGAATGGGATGAGCTGGCGTTGTGGGCCAAGTGCTATCCACAAAAGTGTTCATTGAAAGATCCGCACCGCCATGCTGGAGGATGGTAACGTCTTCTACAGTGGCACTATCCACCCCGAGACCGAAATCCTCCGTGTGCAAAGCGTATAGGTTCTGCAGGCCAATCTTCTTGATTGAAAGGGGTTGTTTCGCGGCGATGCACTTGCGAAAGTAGTCGTGAACCATGACACTAGGCTCCTGCGCATTGCGCATGCGCGGAGACCAATGTAAGTTGAGCTCGCGCAACTTGCGACACCGAAACACCAGAGTCGAGATGTCATCCGGATAGCAAAGCGGATCGATGTCGGTAACCTTCAGATATCGAAGATGTGGCATGGGTGGAATGACGATGGTTGGGCGGGGATGTCGACTCGAGGGAAACCGAATGGTCAAGGCCGTCAGCTTAGGCAGCTGCGCCAGCCCGAGATAGACAGTTTCCAGCATCTTGGTATTGAGTTCCCAGCTAAAGCTTTCCAATTCCGTCATCCGATCGACCGCCGCGCGCACCGCAATGTTCAGCATCATCGACGAGTCCGGCACGCGGCCCACGCGCGCATGCTCCTCGAGCTCGAGCTCCCGCCAGTTGCCTCGAAGAGTAAGCGACCGAACGAGTGTGGCATAGGGACGGGTGATGATGGCATTCAGTCCCATGGAAAAAGGACTGGCGCTACCCATGCCCTCGGGCTCATCGTCGCGATATCGAATTTTGTCATAGGAGGTCAAGGTGATGTGTTTGTAGAGCTGGGGGAGGGCCATGTAGTTGAGAACGCGGCATGCTCGACAGAGACGGGCGAGATCGCCGGGATCATCTACCTGCAAAAAGGCATGAGGTGGTTAGTGGGATGCACGAGCTCCATTCATAAGAGCAGTAGCTAGACGAACGTAAGAGACGATGACCGCAATTAAGTTGAGTGGTAGAATCATTAGTGGAGCGCCCTGGGGGCGATCGGTGGTGACGCTGGCCTCAAACATGTTCCGGTTGACAGCCGCCATGATGCGACGCCCAGGGGCGATAGGGCCGCAGCATGGACTGGGAGAGAGACAAGGGCAGGTGGGGATAAGCCAGGCGAGACATCTATCAAAGCGACAGAGACTCTCCGACTGGGGTGGGATGAAGTCGAAGTAACTTTCCGATTGGGGATTATCGCGGACGGCGGAAACTCTTCGATGTTCCACTGCTGAGTCAGGTTTCCCGTCTCACCGTGTTGTTAACTACTTAACTAATGTTGGTTATAATAAAGTTAATTATGACCTCAAGTGAATTAATCCCTCTCCCCCTACAAAATCTGCATGTCTGGTTCGGATCGAAATAAAAATAAATATCCCTGCCTGTCTGACAGATGCGACGTGGGTGATCGCACGTGGTGAAAAGCAAGGGAAGTAGAAAAATGTGGATAAGTACATCTCTCCTTTACCGGATAGATAGTATACAATGGAGACAGCATGTACTACTACCAGAGTACTATACCCGGTGCTCATAAACCCCCTCTGATGGTATACTCCAGTCTGGGGAACAATCATGAAACAATCGGACCCCTGCTCTATTGTCCTGCTGCCCGTCATTTCAAGGCTATCAAACGACTTGCTTTTTCCAAGCCTCACTTCTAGGATGATGACAACAGCGAACCCCATCCGTCAGATTTGGAGTAAGTATATATTGACTTTGTCCAAGGGTAGATAGTATTGGTACCAACATGTACTGTCTAGCTACTGTTCTCCTCTGTATGTGAAGCTTGCGTGGAATGCAACAATGCCAACAAAAGGGAGAAGTAACCAGACCAGTTCTCAGATAGACTACTGAAGATATTTCTCATGGGGAACTTTACTAAGAACCAATAAGTATTATAACACACACCAAGCAGCAAACATAACTCCAGCAACTATCCCAACTTACTCCACTCCCCAATCGTAAACTGCGAATTACACATATTCGTCAACTCCCACGTCTCCGCCCCCAGCACCACCTTACTCCCCTCATCCTCCCACTCCCCCACAGCACCCGCCACAAACAATGCGGCCATAAAATGATCATCCGTCGCATGCGCATCCCTATACTCAGGATGCTTCATCAACCTCGTCATAGCGCGTCTCATCTTCGGCCCGCCCGGACACTTCACCATAACATCCTCAACAGCCTGACGGAACTCCAACGCCCAGTCCTCAGGCGGCGTCTCCATGGCAAAGTTATCGCGGAACCGCAGCATAGGCGCCCACCGATTGCGGTAGAGGTTGTGCACGGCGCCACCGGTGCCGATGATCAGGTAGTTCTCGCGACGGAGCTGGCGGAGCGTGGAGCCGACTTTCATGTGGTAGTGGGGGTCGTAGCGGGCGTTGGAGGAGATGATGGTGGTGGGTGGGCAGGCGTTAGGGAACATGCGAATGAGAATGAGGTAGACGTCGTGGATCCACTCGAAGGTGTCGTTGCCGGTGGCTTTGAAACCGGCTTGAGAGAGGAGGGAGATGCACCGGTGGGCGGTGGGCAGGTCGGGGTTGAGCTTGTAGTCGACGTATTTGGAGGGGTGGACGTAGGCAACGGGGCTTTTGCCTGGGTTAGGGTTCGTCGCGACTTCAATGCCGTCGCCGTGGCAGGCCCAGTGGGCGCCCTGGGGGGTGTTGTTAGTGTTGTTGGTGATGGAGAGGGAGTATGGAGTGGATGATGTACCATTATGACTACGCCTTTGATGCCTTGTACTAGGGCTTCGTCGCCGCATCTCCGCCAGTAGTCGGCTGAAGTGGACTCTTCGCCGAGCATCATGGTCGAGCCATGAGAGAAGAAGTGGACGGGCGTTAATCCTATACATTGTTAGTATCGGCTGCGCATATCCAGGAGTATGTCTGGCTAAGTACGTACCCATCTCTGCGCCTTTCAATCAGATAAAGACTTAGTACTTGATACGATGATAACTCTAAATCCAGCTTAGGATTAACAGGGGCTCAGCCTGTATACTGAGCCTGATCGGATGTTTGCGCACGCTGGCACTTATACGAAGCCTCACGTCGGGACCATCGGGTCGGCGGACCACAAACCGAGATGTCATCCGAGCAGCGCAACTCGGGCCCCAGACAGCAACTCCGGGGATAAGGTGGTCCCCACAGCTGGGGAAAAATATACTGTGATCATCTGGTAATATGTGGGGTTGCTGCGCTCCCCTGGATTCTCAACTGGAGAGAGACGGGGCCATTCATCACAGACTAGCCGGGATTGTGAGCATGATACCGAAGCATAAGGTACGTACCTGGCTTGTTATCTTCAACAGATAATAGTCTTCGCCTGCTTAATGACTGAGCCTACTCTTTACTACACCCAGACCTAAGACAACAATATGTCGCATTAATATGCCATGATAACAATGTATATGAAGGAAAGATCAGTGATATATGCATCCCAAGGGTATCTTTGTACATCAACAACAGTGCGGTCGCCTGAGACATGGAGGGCTCCAACCAACCCAGACCAACCTATGCATACACCCGTGCCCAGCCCAAGCCCCTGATTAAACCAAACATTGAAAAAGCAAATAAAGCAAGTTTTGCCCCGGAACAAAGAGTGTCAGAAAAGAAAACTCCAGTAGTAGACCATCCGGCAGCACCCAAGATCGCCAATACTCCCCGCTAGAAATCAAACATCAGCGGCAGAAAATGCGAAACAGAAGCGAAATGGAGTGTTTGAGACAGGAAGACGAAGGCAATTCCGCATCACACGTGGACCTCACTGCTGGCCATGTGACCCTCGTGAATCTTCGGGGACCTCGTCAGGAAAAGGTTGAGCCGGTGATAGAGGTGCTCCTTCCATCGGGTCGAATTCCTGCTCGGGTTGTTGGCGCCCAGCCGGCCCCCGAGTAGGCTCGCTGACCGAGCCATCGGCGTCCAGCGCCGGCTGAGATTCAGTGCAATTCTCACCAGGTTCCACAAGTGCCGCAGCTTCAGGGTCATAGCGCAGCTCATAGTTGCCATGACTGAACCCTTGCCCATCGGCTGCGCTCCATGGAGCAGCAGTTCGCGTTTGCGGCTGAATCACCCTTACAGGCAGGTCATCACGGCCAGGCGGAACACGCTGATTCGAAGTTGTTGTTCGTGAACTAGGCTCATGATATTGCTGCGGCGACCAGGTCTGTTGACCACGGCGTCTAGCAGGAATGACCGTGACTGGCAAGGGCGAGTCGGAGCCTTGTCGTCCAGAACCGGGTCGCAATCTTCGATGGAAGCCAAACCGAAAATCGTGCCTGTGCTGTAAGCTGTGCTCATCGTCGCTATCATCCAGAGAATGGCGTTGCAGTTCCACTTGAGCACCTGCGGGATTCCCTTCTTCCTCGGCCTGTGCAGACGCGACTTCTCTTGGCAAAGATGCACGCCTTCGTTTGAAAGGATTCAGCAGCGCTCGCCATCTTTTATCCACGTGCACAATCTGAGGGGATTGTTCCCGGGTCTGTTGTTGTGCCAGCACATCATGAGCTAGGCCAGCTTGCTGACCTTCGGTTGTCATCTCCTTCGCAGCCACCGTTTCGTCTATGTCTTCGTCCTCTTCCTCCATATGAGGCATGGCCACCGGTGGAGTTGGACTAGACACCGGATGATAATGTATGTTGTATACCGTACTGGCCGCGCTGGTTGTGTCGGCCCGACTAACAGGCGTTATAGCTGCTGGGGGAGGAGTTGGTCGGGGTGCCATGCGCCGGCGCCGAGGGTCCATGGGAATGTTGTGTTGCTGGTTCTCCAGGTTCGACTGCCAATTGCGACCCACCCTCGTACGTAAAGGACGATGAGCCAGTCCCATCATGCCTCCCCATCCTGAAGACGTTCCACCGCCTCCGCCTCGATCATGGCCGTCAGGATTGTAGCGCGGCCAATCGACTTCTTCCGAAGGGGTCACTTCCAACATCTCATCTCCATCAAATATTTCGCGTCCAAGAATCCCATCCTTCCTCTCATCGCGTTCCAATGCTTCGATCCGCTCCACCCATTCCCAAACCACGACACTTGCTGCAGCCGAACCAACCCACCTGACATAAGTACCCCATCCGGCGATTTTCGGTTTTGCGATATCCAGGACAAAAAACACAACGGGTATAAGGATCGCACATAACGATAGCAAGGCCACCAAGCAGATGTTCCTCATTTTCGGATGGAAGAAGGCGAAGCGATGTTTCGAAAGCGAATAGAAGATGACCCAAGCGGCGTACAATAGGTTGAGTGCAAGTTCGAACAGATAGCTGAGAGCGGGAATCGCGTCTTCATAGAGCCGTGGGTGAACGGTATCGGTTTTGACCAAGAACTTGTCGAGGATACTAAATGTCGTATCGAACACGATTAACGCGAACCCTGCCCATTTGATCATTATTTTCTCCTTATGTCGAGGGAATAGCCGAATCAAAGTCTGAATCTGGGCCAGCCACAAAAAGGTGCTGGAAATGATTCTGACCACCCGGATCTCCATACCGTCGATGACCTCGTCGGCCAGCGCTTCGGCATCGGAGTAACCATAATAGTATTGCTGTTCAGCCACACGGAAGGAGTCCACAGTCGCGATGGTGAGCGATACCGCGACTAACAAGGCTGCGACCTTCTGCAACCACGGGCGACCACCAACGCCGACCACCGACGAATTACCACTATACGAACCGCTAATCATACCATGACGTCCGAGAAAGTTCGCACCCCCACCAGGACCTCCAACATAAAACGTACGCGGCGTGATGAGAAGAATAATAACGAGAAGATAGCTGACAACGGTCGTACAGCCCATGGCATACAACGCCGGGGTCACGGAGGAATAAAAAGGGTCGGTGACATCGAGCGCGGCGACCGCATGAGCCGTGGCAGTCGCTGTGCCCGTGCCCGTACAGATGGGATCGTAGATGGCATTTTCGGTCAAGGCGATGGAGTAGGAGCGATTCAAATAGACGTAACCTGCAAAGCACCCACCGAAGCGCCGCGTCAGTGTAACCATACGGAAGCGAGTTGCTTGACGGCCCGCATTGGGCCCAGCACAAATCCACATACCAGAGCTGGGTAATAGAAACGGCGTGCAGTCAGCTTCATAGGTCCTGGTGGTCGTTGTCGTCGGTTGAGCCCAAATTTGGCGAGGCGTTAGATGAGCGGGTTCCCCCATGGTCGGCGGGGACGATTGATTTCTCCTCGGAGCAGTCCTCAGACCCCTACGAGATGAGGCGTAACGGCTATCATCAATGCCCTTGTCAGAGTGGACCCGTCACACGCGGCCTTTTCAAGCAACCATCATTCTTGCGGAGCAGTGCTGGGGGGGAGGAGACGGGGGGGTAACGAAGGGCGCGAGAGAGATGGGGAGAGAGCGAGTTGCTTTATCCGATGTTCGACGGGCGGAGTCGGGGGAGCTGGGATGGGAAAAGGGGGGGCGGGGAGACAAAGTTCGAGATGATCCGCGTCGGGGTTTGGTGATCGGACAGAAAGCTGGAAGGGATTGGGGAGGTGATGAGCAACAACAACGGAGCGTAGAGGAAGCGATGCCGCGAAAGAGCTGAGGTGGTACACGGGATGATACGTCCTGGAGAGAGTAGGCGAGGGGGAGGAGGATTTGGCAGCGCCATAGAAAGATCCGCCACCCGCGGTCCAGATTGCCGTCGCCAGTTTGGCTCTTCTTGTACACCGCTTGCCCCATCTCCACCTCATCAATCATTCCTCTTTCTAACTGTACAGCTATCTCGTTCGGAACTCTTGCTTGTATTCTGCAATGCAACTATGACAGTTGTCCTGATTGATTATGTATGTACAAGTTGGCTAGACCCCAGTGCAGGTCCACACCAGCAATCTTGACAAAAATCGACCCGCGATGGGACCCCAAGCATAAGACGAAGGCCACGAGGGAACATGTTTGACTGACAATCGATCACACGGAGACCTCAGCCTCCCAACAAAACAAACATGGTAGTACAGATGGATGAGAGAGGACGGAATTAACCAGATCCCATGCACTGCGTCCCTTAGTTAGACACCACTTCAGTCGTACAAACATCCCCATTACTCTCTCTCTCCCCCCCCCTCCTTCTATAGTCCAAACAGTGATCAGGGTCTCACACCCCCACATTCCTCCCCCAGAAAAGCCCTTACGGAAGTCCCATCACCTCGGAGGTGGTCCGTACGACATCTGCGTCGGAGGCAGGTATGGTGATACTAACGCTGCCCCCGTGGCACTAGCATATCTCCCGCGTTCTTCTTCCCGTTTCTTGATCTCGACCTCGTTTTGGATGAGCGTACAGCATGTGCAGCACGTAGCTCGAACGCAGTCGGAGACAATATCCCCTTCGATCTTATAGGCTTTTCGCGTTCGACGGCGCTGAAATGTTGCCAGAAAACCTGCGACAGCTTGTTAGCATACTTTGCTGGTGCTGAAGACTAACTGGAAAGGTGCACACTTACATTGACACCCACAGGCCAGAGCCATAGCGGTGCAGGAGCTATTACACGTTTCATACCCGAGCATATTGGTTGGGTCTTCACTCCTTGACTTCATAGAAAGTCGATATTGCGTTTTTCCGAATAGGATGCATGGACAGAGTAGTCCGAGACAGCATGACCCAACATCATAGCAGCCGCACATGCTAGTGCGCCACGATCCGCCTTTAATCTCGAGATCAGGATGCGTTATTTGACCCGGCCGATGATATGCCATAAGGTCAAATCCTGCAGGTGTCGCTGGCGCCCCATGGGCGACTGGAGGGGGAAATTGGGGTAATTGAGGCGAATGTAAAGGATTCGTGTCTGGTACAACAGCCATAGGCTGTTTATTTGGTAACGGTTCTGACATTTCCAGGTCTTTTTTGACTGGAAGAGGGCCCGGGGATTGTGGAGGCTGTGCGTAAGAGTATTCAGGCACTTTCGGATTCTGCTGGACTTGTTGGATCTCATCCGCGTACGGCGCATAGTTGGCTGGATGTTGTTCGAGATTTGGTCCGCAGGGATAGCCTTGAACGGCCATGTCTTGCTGGTATTGTTGCGACTTCTCATTCACCGGTGGTTGAAAGTGCTCCATGACAGTCTGTGATTCTGTTGACTGGGTGTTCGTTGTGGCCGCTGGAGGTGTGATCTCGTCTCTTAGTCGGCTTCCTGGAGCATGCATCTCTAACGGAGTTTCCATATAAGAGTATCTCGGATTGGAGCCCAGATTGGACGTATTCAGCTGCAGTTGTCTGTTCATGGTGGCGGTCGCTTCTGATTCCAGATCGCAAACTCGCGAATTCATCTACAGCTTCAGACACTATACCGTAGTGCGCAGAGCGTTTCAGCTCTTTGACACCCAAGCAAAAGAAGGTTCTCGAGGGTTGAATGATATTGTCAGGTCGCTCAAATGCGGTCGTCCCGTAGGGATCTACATGTACCGGCGAGGCGCACACCCTCCGCTCGCAACCCGGAGGAGAGAAGCATCAATAAGCGGTATAGCACAGTGAGGGTGCAGAGATGAAGTTCTTCAACATCCAAATGAGTCCAAGTCACCAAATCAAGAACCAAAGTAGAACAAAAAGAAAGAGAAACAGAAAAAATCCAGAAGTACATCCACACCCACCAGGACAAGAAACCGGAAGGCAACGAGATTATAACCAGTAAGCAAGTACAACCGCAATTGGGTGATCACAATCGCCGGAGTGGAGAGGGGATGGCATGGCGCTTGGGAAGGAAATGGATGGACGACAAGCAAGCAAGTTGCTTTGCTGCTGCGGCGGGGGAATCATCATACGTATTGTAGTTATTGGCCAGTGACTTAAGCGTCTAAGCACAAGTTGCGCCGAGCGAACCCCTAGCGCTGCACCCTTATGTGGCTCTGTTCACACGAGTGATGAATCCTGTTGGTCTGGCGGTCCTTCGGATCATCCTGTTGGGTCCCGAAGCACACTTCTCTCGATTCTCATCACATTTTCGCCGGTCGGCTGGCGTCACATTGGATGGTTGCCGACGCGCCATTCCATCCCCTGTGTCCTTTCTCTCCCCTCTTTCTTTCTCTCTTCGTAGTAAGTACTAGCAGTTCCGTGACAGTTGCCGACCGCAACGCTTTTGATTGGATTGATTGCCAACTGTTGCTAGTAGTAGTTCAGTAGTTACCCGGGGGGTGAGTGTATCCGCCTATGGTGATAGTAGTTTCCCTCCGGGTAGAATATCCAGCCGCTGGCAGTCATAGTTACTATCCTCTGTTAGTTAGCTTGGTAGCTAGTTCATGTACCTATAGTCACTGCCAGCGCGAACCACTAGTACTTTGTAAGTGGTTGCGTCCCCGTATGCACCAATGATGCAGGCAGAGAGCATGGTGACCAGCCGAGTTGCAGTGCATGCCATGCCGCTCGGGAAGAGGCGTAGCGATAACATAACATGTAGGCGGCAGGTTCTGGATCTCCAACGGCTCTGAGATAAATCCTGCATTCAAATGGAGTATACCATGGAGCAATTTGGCGCTGAGAGCTCAGCTGGGTTCCATAAGCGTCCGGATAAACATTAAATGAGACTAGGATATTTGAGACAGGTTATCTAGATTACCCCTCATTCATTGAGATAACTGGTGAATGAAACTAGGATCCCTGCTTTATGGCAGCATATTGGTCACTTTCCATCACCACACAGAGTACAAAGTACTCACGGGGAAAGATAGAAGGATATCCTTTGGTTCTAACACTTCTACATCACGTGATACTTTAGTCTACCTTAATGCCTGAGGCTACAATTACATGCCCTCCGATATCTGTTGTCTTGGCGCCAGGGCTGGATGCGACAGATTATTTCTACCAATACACATGATCGTACTGCATCCTATGCAAAACGGGGAAAGAAATGACAACATAAGAGAAAAAGTTCCGTCAAAGTTTGATGAAACCGAAGAGAGAGAGAGAGAGAGAGAGAGAGAGAGTAAAATGGCAAGTGCAGTGCCATTCATGCATACGCTACCAAAGCATCATGATGATGAAAACAAATGCCAAGCTTATCCATCCGATCTCAATCGAACCCTTCAACATCTACGGATGGTCCCCCAGTGCAAACGGATCAGTTAAGTTTTTTCGTTTCAGAGTCATGCAGAGGAACTCTTATCCGACCCGTCAAAAGGCACCAACTGGCGTGTAACGAACGCATTGGGCCTCTGTGGCGCCAGCCCCATCCATTCAATTCCCAGAAAAGAAAAAAGAAAATCTTGGGGTTGACCGCAACTCCACTTGCAAGTATGTAACTCCACTACTTTATTTGATCTGCGACTCCATATTCCTCGGTATGTTCAATCCAAGGATTTCTTCCACAATACTGTGCAGACATCAATCTCTTCTCCAGCTTCTAATGATGAATATGCTCCTTCGGTAATAACAACCATCTCTCGGAAATTCCCTCGATGAATGCAGATGCAACAGTGTGGAGAAGCCGGTTGCTGACAGTTTCACAGACAAACAAGCGAGCATAAAAAAAGCAAAAAAAAAAGAAATGAAAGAATATCAGCACCACTAGTCAGATGTAAGCTCCCAGCGAATAGGGATAGACCTTGCCAAGCGAATCAAACGACTTGGAAATACTCAGGGATATCCCTAGAGTCATCAAACTTTCTCATCAGGAAGCTCCGGGATAGATCCCTTCCGTGATCATCTGCAAAGTTCATAACCTCAAGATTTCAGCCACAGGGTAGCAGTCGGGTATTTTGACAGATTTCTTCCCACCTTTCGTACGATTGAAAAATTGACATGGCATGTAAGCCCGGGAGATCGTCGATCGATTGTCGATTAAGTACAAGATAGAACGTTCCTTTGTAGAAAAGTTCCGCTACTTCTTAGATTCAATTTAATAAAGTGACCCAATGAACTGAGAGATATCATCACATTGAGTAGGCCTTCATATGAAAAAGTCTTCCAAAAGATATTCAAATTACAGGCAAGTCGCGATAGAGCAAATAGCTTCGAACAGGTAACAGTGGGTCCCCTTTCAAGCACAATGTCTATATAAGTGGTCCAAAATACCCCGATGGCTCTGGTAGTCGTGTACTTAGTGAGGTCAACTCCAGCCAAGCACGAGAATATTACCACGCGTACTATTTCTCCTACATTGAGAACGAGAACGACAACAAGCCTTTTGAAAAAACCAAGTTACAACATCCTGGCAAGATGTTCGGAGTGTACATTGGCAGGCTAAAGTTTATGGCGCAGGCTCTGGACAAAGCCGGAATCAATAACGTACTTTGGGGTGATGCTGTCAAGAGTCTCCTTATACATCCAGAAATTCCGAAGGTAGGCACCACCCCCGTCTCACTTAGAAGGGAAAGCGACGCAAAAGTCCTCGTCTACCCCCCCTCTCCCCCTTCACTCGCTAACGCAACAAACAGAGAATTGATTACATCGTTTCCGATGGCATGACCGGGAAAGCATGTCAGGCCCTTCTAGCTGACGGGCTTGAGGCATGCAAGCGTGGGGAACAGTGTATGGTGAAGCAGCCATGGAATGGACCGGTGGCTGCAGCGCATGCTCACCTGTGCAGCAGCGGAATAGGTGAAATCGATTTACCTGTGGTATTCTGGGACAAATCGTCACTTCTCTTTGCCTTCCCCGACTTACCGTCGTCTCCTCTCTCATCGGATGATCCGTACTACATGCCGATTCGGATCCCCAGGACCCACTACGATCCTACGGCAAGGTGTCCTCCCTTAGATTTGGTTCCTGCAAGGATGATCAGGCCGGTCAAAACAGTTGAGGCCCTGATATGGCTGATGTGTCGGGATCGGACTCCCAATGGGCAATTGGAACGGGGGTGGGAGGATGAATGGGTGAAAGCCTTAGAATTCTGGTTGCAGGAAGCCACAAGGCTTGCTGAGAAGGGGCTTTTTGCCCTGGATGAACTGCGACCTGACTTTGCACCTCTTTGGTACTTTTTCTGCAATGGTGAAGTGTCGCGGACCAGCAAGCAGTATCGTGCATGCTACCTGAGACTTCAAGAGAAGCTTCGTGCAGAAAATGCTCTTCCGCTCACACCGCAAATGAGGAACGAAAAGAGTCAAGCGGTGCATCTAAAATGGAGCATGAAGAAGGTGTAAGAATCTTCAGCGGCGTTCCCTCAGTGTAGGAGGTTTCTTTTTCGGGGAATAAATACGAGGTTTACTACTTACTACGAATGCATTCCGTACTATGCTCCAGACCCTATGATACCTCCATAGCTCATGTTACACCCACTGTAATAAAAATTCAGAACCACCTGTAAGCTTTAAGCCCAAAAGTCAGGATAGTTTCAATGGACTTGGATGCTTCATCGCGATGCAGGCTTACCTTATCACTCTCATGGTATTTGTCTCGAAACAGGTTCTTCAGATAGAGTTCCCTCTCCGGGGATATCGGAAGGGAAGCTGGGTGACTTCGTAAACACCTTAATGCAAAATAGAAGGACGAAAGTACGGCATCGTACTCATGCTAGCAATCCACAACGCAAAAGGGTCGGCGCTAGAAGGTATAAGAAGACTTTAATCGTCGCCCACTCTTTGCGTGACCAGAAGACCTTGATGTCAACCCAGATCATGGTACAGCCCACCCCCCATCCAGAATCACCAAATCGCCAACTGTGGCGTAATTGTAGGATTCTTTTCACCAACTGCGTGCGAGCATGCAATTGGTTTAACGATGTCAAATTTGTCGTGATTGGGAACCGTTCTAAAGTAGGCTCTCCTGGCCACCAAAATTCAAATGAGACCCGCACCACAATCCTTCCTGATATACCTAGGATGGTCCTGTTGCATGCTTAGGGTGAGGCACTAACTCCTTTAATAAGATATTCGCCCTCAAATCTGCTTCTGTGGCAATTAGCAGAAACTGGTCGGTGGACTTTCTGATAATGGCTCTTTCAGCCTCGCCCAGTTTTTCACGCGGAGAAGGGAATTCCTTAGTATACCAGGACCCCTTTGGCCAGGGTCAATTGGTACTTGAACTTCTGAAAAAGCCTGATGTGAGAGATCGTTTACGCACTTATTGTTAATCAATGCTAACTCGCTTCAGGTCAAGTACTTCCCTGAGAATGCCCAAAAGTTCACCGAGATCGGTCCCGAATATGAGTTTCCATATTCGTCCAGGGTGGATGAAGTGATTTATTCACTATGGATTGCGCGGCGAAAGGAAGTTCGTGTCAGGAAGCGCTTTCTGACCTGGCTTCGGAATTGCCAGACAGAGTCGAGTTGGAAAGCCCTGCACAAAAGTTCGCCGTACTGCAGACCTTAGCCAGGTTTGGTTCACTAGGTTCGAAAAGTGAAACATTGACATTTTGGAGGAGGAAGTTAGGCTTGGTGTAGCTACGAGCTGATGGGTATTCGTTCTTGATGGATGATCTTGTGCGTTTGTGAAATGTGGTAATTTGTGCAAAAGCGATGGATCTTTGATTATGGGACAGTCTGCTTGGTAAATTTTTCTTGACGGAAATCCTGTTTGTAAGAGAGCTACAGATTGTTGTATTGAGTCTGCCTACTATTCAGTTCCGCTTGAAACCCACACCCGTCCGACTGGATATGTTGTTTCAATCTTGGTCTGTCGATGGTAATTTTACCAGTCACATTGGAAGCATCATGCGTATGCGTTTCGTAAAAGTAGGTTGCGAAGCCAAAGGTGAATGGATATGTTGTCAGCTCTATGTCAAGGATGATCCTGGTAGAAGGGGATGAGAGGGAACGAGAGGGTGAACAAGAACTTCCAATAGGTTGACGGATGGAAGGATAGGCAACTATCACCTGACACCACCGGTATTGTCAGTCGTGCTGTCCTTCTTTAGAGGAACAAAAGAGCGGATGAGATACAATCAACTTCGAGGGGAGCAGGATCTCTTGTTCAGCCGGATGAACCAACCCTAGCAATATAGACAGCATCAATTCAGTATTGATGGAGTACTACGCCGATGGCTGCCGGGAGAATGACACAACTGGCAGCCCTTAGTAAGCCGAAGTATACAAAGTAGCAAGTAGTTGACAAGTAAGAATCTAATTAGTATGTACACAAGGTGGTAGGGACAATTCTATCAATGCACATTATGCAATGATCGGTTTACAAGGACAAGCGCTGGCGCGAAAGCATAATGGACGTATCGACAGTTGCCCCATCGATAAAGTCATTCATGAGAACAATAGTCCTCTCGGCCCGAAGTCTATCCAGAGCATTCTCTCTAATCCAAGGCAAAGTTTGCATGTCAAGCATCCCCTTGGTCGACGTAAGACAAGAGCTAGCCGCTGCTGCGGAGAAGACGCTGTACACAAGCACTTCCTTGATGGACTGGGAGGTCGCCTGGCACTGCAGGATGGTCAAGTCTGAGTCGGCCTGTCCCTCGGTAGTCATAGACTCAAAGCGGTCGATTATTGGGTCGGCACTCAATGTCGCATATGCTTCAGCGGTCCAGCTATCGTACTTGTCGGCTTCAATAACAACAATCAGGCGAGTCCCCGTGCGGCGCAATTCCTCAATTGGTTGCTCAAAGCACTCGCGTGTTCCCCAGGTGATAGGGCCACGCACCGCTCGAGCACATGCCTCGTTAAGCAGGTTCGAAATCTCGTCTTCGGTGGGCCGCTGGCAGTCTGCCACGACGTTATCCCATCGGATATGAACTGTGACTATCTCTGTTTGATTCTCGTCGAGAAAGGCGACCTGCTCGCGGAGGAATTCGTCAAAAGCAAGACCTGGGATACACGCATGCTGGAAGTAGAACGTGTCTCGTAGGGCAGACACTTTCTGAAACATGGGGAGGAGCTTGGCTGGACGGAACTCAAAGTACCGTGCCCCCATGGCCAGCATAGTCGAGACGGTTTTCTTTTGGGTGATGGAGAGGCCGTATACGATATGAGGTAGCTTCTTCATGAGAAAGTGGTCCGGGACGTGGTTGACGTGCTCGAGCTGGGGAACAAGCCGGCGAACGGCTGCCAGCATGTCCGAATCGAGATGCTGAAAGATGGCCTCGCATGCCGTCATGCCATTCATGCCATTGTCGTGCGGCGCGGCGAGCACGAAGCGCGAGAAGGGCTGCTGTGCAGCAGGGGATCCTGGGGGAGCCACACTTCCCATCCATTCTCGATTCTCTCTTGAGCAGATCGTTACATAACACTGATGGCGATCAGTGAGACCAACTTCGCCGTGACCCGCGGCATAGAAGCCATAAGTGATGATGGTGTCCTCTGTCACGACCGGGTGGAAGTCCTGCGTCGCAACCATCGTGCCTCCCTCAATTTTTCCCGTCAGGCTGCTAACGTCGTTATGTGCGCCAGCCACACGTTCTCCATAGCGAAAGACGGTCCATTCGAAGCGGCCTGTGAAGTTTCCGAGCCCCTGAATGTGCGACGAGTCGATTTCGAGCTGACGGCTCGTAAAGTTGTGGGTCACATCATGGAGCACCTCCTGCTGAGGCACAGCAAAGCCGACCTCGTAGCCCGGAACGCCGATGTAGCTGTATACAGTGATGCCTTTGCTGGGCATGGTGAACGGGTGATGTTCTCCCGAAGGTGACCGGGGGTTGCTCGCCTTGGCGCATTGCCTTTCTGCAACTTGTCCCACTTGGATCGGCACTATTGAACTACTAGCCATATTGGGAAGTTCTGCTATTCCCGGCACATCGTGGGATCGTCGGACATGATGATATGTCGCAGTGTCAGAGCTAAGAATCTTCCATGAATTACCGTCGGCTAGTTGCCCTCTGCTTTATTATGTTCACTGGTTATAGTGTTGCATATCCTTGATCTTAGAAATTCATGTTGTTACTCCGATTCTTTGGTATTGCCAATGTAAGCATAACAAGAACAATTCAAGCAGTCAACATAGACGAAGTATTCTTTGTGTTCTCTACCTAACCTTTAGACCATATTTGCTGTCTCAATTGTGACTTAAAACTCGTGAAATTTCAAAGGGAGCCCAATTGACGTAGTAGATGCGTAATGCGTTGGTTTGTGTTCCCTCCGCACACGGCACCAGAGAGATAAATCTCCATGCGAGAGCACCCATAGTACCTCTGGTAATATCGTCTACTGTCAAGTAACAGAGAGTTTTCAGATAATGCAGATAATAAGATGTAATAGATCGTGCTGATTACTCCAGAACGCAATAGTCTCTTTAGTCCATCCACTACCTTATCCATTCGGATAGATGGGACTGCTATATTACCCCATGCCTGTATTCAAGTCCCTTGTCCGTGATGCCTCACACCGTGCAACCGAAGTACAGTAATTTCCTTTGCTCGGTATCTTCAAACTCTATGATAAATCTCGGTGAAGTGGCAGAAATAAAAAACGAGACCAGGAATTTGGATACTATAGCCTAGCCCCTGGTTTTGTGTTCGAAGGTGACCTTTGGCGAGATACTGGAAAGGCCCAATTTCTCTTCTACTAACACTGTATTTGGCATCATCTTTGAAATATATATATATACAGCTTCTCGGCTCTCAAATCCTAACCACCATCTCCTATCCTTGACAGCCAGCAGTACTATTGCTTGATTCTCATGATTGGTATATATCCAACCATCTCCGCAATTTGTGGAAAAGCATTCTGGTAGAGCGCCAAATCCTAAAGCTCCGATTGAAAGAAAAGGATGACGATTCTCATCAAGCTAGATCAATTCGATGAAAAAGTTCATACGCCATTATATATAGTGTCAATATATAAACCGATTATGTGCTACTATGTTGGCATATTAGATCGATTTGACTATATATGTTACACATCGCTACCCGTGGATTATCCTCTCTTTTCTGAGCCTACATAGTAGTGAGTCTACCAGGGCTTGAATGAATGAACCAGAACACTGGTGCCTGCTGGGCAAGGCGCTGTACGCCAAGGAAGGAAACTGAGGCCCGAGAGCTCCGGGTATTTATAGCTGTCTGGCAACTATTTCGAGTCAGGCGTGGCATTGCTGGGCGTTATGNAGGCGGGAACAGACGAGGGGGGGGGAGATTCTAGTGGGGTGTTTAAATCGTTGGAGAGACATTATTTAAACTAGTATCAATGTTCATGTTATTGGTGGGATGAGCGCTGCTTAGTCTCTTTATTGAGGTATGAGGCAAGTAATGAAAGACTATAGATAATCTTGGGGCATGTAGGGGTCTAAGGGAGTAGACAGGCTGGTCCTTTCACTTCAACGAATATGACTGACTCGGAGACACAGCCAAATACCGGATTCCAACTCTGAATTTCCTACACACTTGCACGACTGATAGTAGTCAATGCCCAGATGTTCGTACTACGTGACTAGTAGAACACATAATCTCGTCGCCGTTCCCGTGCTACTCTAATGTGTTTCCCCCAATAATTCAATAGGCGGATGACTGAGCAGCAATCAGAATTGCGCAATAATCGATGGTGGTTCACCGAGATGCAGCTTGTCTCGGCTAGGCGCCGGCCAGCACGGAATCGATAGAGGCATGATGGCCCGGTTTGAGGAATGTCAGTTCAATGGGACATAAACTTGATCTGGTGACCGGGATAGATTTTTTTTTTCTTTTCCC